GCTCTTTGAAATCGTCGAAGAAAGAGCATGCTCGATTGCACCTCAAAAATTGTGGAATATAGACACCAAAGGCTGGAGCTTCTGGAATATTGTTCGACATGAAGGGAAAGTTTACTCTTGCCATACAGTCTTGTGGGGAGGGTTTTGTCGCTCTAAATCTTTATGCTTAGCTAAGTATGAGTGAGTGGGTTATGGTTAACGCCGCTTTTAACAGTATTCCTGTTAGATCACGGCGTGTCAGCTTAATGTATGAGGTAAGCCCGAGGTGATGCAGGTCTTAGACGTTTACCACTTCGGTGAAACCCTCGAGCACGGGTATGGTGCTAACAAACCTAGAAACATAATCGGGACGAAGTGGGATTCGATCCCACAATCATAGGTTTCTGGCGTGCCCAAGGGACGCAACTCTGAACAGCGAATTGCGGCGCCTTAGACGACTGGGCCACCCGTGCCCCCAGCTCTAAATATGAAATAGATGGGGCGGTCTCACTAGTCTCCGTTATTATCACATAATGGGTAGGTTTCTCGGCAGGATAAAGCCAACGGATAAAAACGATATCCGTTGGGGTCATATGCGGATAGAGATGCAAATATCAAAGGTCAAGTTGGACTACTAAAAATGGCGTCGCCCTCGTCATTCGGCGATCGAGTCAGAATTAACCATCGGGAATCTGGAGAACTACAGGGATAGTTGCTATTATTATCAAAAGAACAGTCTAATATACTGAAAATCAGTGTCTAACTGTGACGTAGCTAAGGTATTTTATAAGTTTTGGCAACTTTCGAGATATAAACGAGGCCTAGCCAAGCGGGATCAGTAGCCATATCTGTGCTTGTAGACCTTTGCGGCCTGAAACCTTATCCACAAATTTAAATAGTTGGATTTTGCCGAAATATGTTTGAATTGTTACCTTGTTTCGTTTTGTCGCTCTGTGTACATCTGACTACACTTCTTAACGTTATAACAGGACAGACCGAGTGTCAACAACGTCTGACCGTGGCCCCGACGTCTCAAACTAGGGTTAGAGTAGCTTCCCTTTGACAAAGGGCAGTTACTCTAGCGGACAGACCGATGGATTGCCGCGAAAGGCAATTACAAACAACTGTTGTTTTGCGTGTATATGTTGCTTCGCCACTGTATAAGAAACAGATTTCAGTTGGAACTATATTGGCTACTGTCACTGTCCGACTGACACATCAGTTACCCTGTGACGTAATAAATATTAATGCGTGCATTCCAGGAAAACTCGCAATGTTTCGGTAATGTTTGTGAGAGAGGGAAAGCTATTTTCAAGCACAGAATTAAAGAATGACATTATATGATAAAGAGGTTATCACGCTTTTGTGTTTGGGGATGGTAAATATCCTGTATTAGGAATAAACACTATGTATTTAGCTCGCCAAGGCCCGCTAAATACAATGTTTATTCCTAATGCAGGATATTTACCATCCCCAAACACACTCGCGTGATAACCTTTATTTACTGGTTCATGTGGGTAAATCAGTGGAAGGGAATTAGCTATTTGACCATTACTGGAAGACATCACATCATTGATATAGTTCAATTAATCTGCTTGGTCAAATTTAGGGGTGTCACGATAAATCGAAATATCGATATATTGCTATTGGTAAGCACTTAAAGTCAATAAATCAATTGTTAAATCAGTTTCCGATCAATAGTATCGATTTCAGTTAGGAATATCAAGTTTCGATTGTATTTAGCATATCAATAAAATACATGCAATGCTGTTCAAATTTGTCATGAGTGGTAGTAATTTACACATGGAAATGTGGAAGTTTCTTTTTCTTAAATTATTAGGGTAAAGAAAATACAAATCAGTCATATCTCAAACTTTACTTTTTATTTCTTATTATCGTTATGACATTCAAAGGAAACTTCAGTTCCAAGGTTTAATTCAACTCTAAAATCCATCTGAAATGATACACTGAAAACTATCGATATTTAAGGCAATAGTTGCTTGCAATATCAATAGTTATCGCAATAGTTTCTTTCAATATAAATAGTTATCGCAATAGTGATTTCCAGACCAATAGTCACCCCTATTCAAATTTCCTTGTTTTGATTGTGCAGAAAGAAACCGATCAGCAAGAAGTGAAGCACAGTTGGCGCTTATGGGGATGCCTACTTGTCTTACCCCCATATCTTGCATAGATGGTTCACGTATAAACCTTTTCCAATTCTCTTTCCTCTTTTACAATTCACCGAAGTGGTAAACGTCTGAGACCTGCATCACTTCGGGCTTTCCTCCCACATTAAGCTGATACGCCGTGATATAACTGGAATAATGTTAAAAGCGGCGTTAAACCCAACTCACCCACTCACTCCTCTTTTTCAGTTTGTGCATTCTACTTATAACAACATCGCGCACTGACTTAAAGCTTTTGTCAGATTAGTGATTGGGCTAAAGAGAGGGTCAATGTCACTAGGTGTGGACTAGGCATAACAAATCACGTGTATCTTGAGTGGACGTGAAACGTGATATTCCTTATACCTGCTTTGGGGTCTGGACCAATTCAGATCTCGCGTGACATCCAAGAGGAAGGCCAGCAGATGTCATGTTATGTGTTATGAAAAATTGTCGTAGACTTCTGTAATATTTGGATTAATTCATGATCAAACTTAACATTTCAGTCTGTGAAGATAAACTATAAAACTATAAATAACCAAATATACACCAGTCATCGTGATGTCATCATATTCCTGCGAGTGGTTGGCGAAGCTTAAAGGTCCGTGTCCCACTTTTTGGCCTTGTGGTAATCCAAAACATTTGCGAATAGTTTTAATAGGACAAAGGCCAATTGTACAGACATTGGTGAGTGAATGAGTTGAGTTTAACGCCGCCTTGAACTGTATTCTAGTTATGGTCCGGTGTGTCAGCGTATTCTTGGAGAAACGCCCTGAGCGATGCAGATCTCAGACGTTCACCTTTGACAACAGCGAAACATAATCGGCGCGAAACGCGATTCGAACACACGTTCACGGGTTTCTGACGTCCCCAGGGGACGCAACTCTGTACAACCTTGCACGATTGGGCCACCTGTACCCCTGACATACATGATCACTGTGGCGTTATCAAGACAAAATTAGAACTTAACTGACGTGAACAGATTTTTAAATATGTTGAATCGGGAATAGTTGGGATTTTTTAGAAAAACAAGCATATTTCAACGATTGGCAAAATATTAACACATCCATCAACCATGCTAATATATTTCAAGATCGTTCTGCATTTACAGAAGGCTATAATAAAAGATAATTTATCTGGGCATGCAGTTTGAAATGTCCTTGCAACTGTCACAGAATATCTTAACAGCATTCTATTTTGATAACGTATATATATGTATTTTATGCATTATTACTTCTAGACAAGTGTTGAGTTAGTAGTCAGAGTAACACATCGTTGAGGGAATCCAGAATACTTTCTATGCTGTAATACATGCGTGTAACAGCGGTCACTTGCGCCATTGTCCAGCATGACAATTAATTACATAACATTATGACATTATAGCCTCTATCAGTTATCCCCTGGATACCATGTAATCACATCCACACGTCCCTTGTCCAGGTGGTCACGCCATTGTCCTCATGTAAAACCTTTACCAGTTATCCCATATGTTATATCTGTATTAAGAATCTTGCAATTCCATTGGTTAATCCGTACCATTTGACGAAACATTACATTTGAATGTTGACCCCAAAATCATGTGACTGAGACGCCCTCGAATATTGACTCGTCACATGATCAGTATTGACCCGTCACGTGATGAAAATTGACGCGTCTGCTAGAAAACAAGATGGCGTCCAAGGCCGTAGTAAACTTTTTTTGACAGGGGTGCAAATATTTGTACAAGTCTCACTTGTCCCCAACTTGATTCAAATAAAACTGTTTTCTATATAAAAAAAAATAATCGATATTTACAGACCGCCGTCATATAGCTGGAATATTGCTGAGTGCGGCCTTAAACAACAAACAAGCATTATCTTAAAATTTCAACTCATTATCTTGAGATTCCACGATCATTTTCTTGGAATTTTCAACTTATGTATCTTGAAAATTCCACTTTTTATCTTGACCTTTCATGAAAAAAATGAGAATGTAAGTCTTCAGCAACCAATGCTTGCCGTAAAAGGTGATTATGCTTGTCGTAAGAGGCGACGAACGGGATTTGGTGGTCAGGCTCGTTGACTTGCATGGTTCACCATGTCATCGATCCCAATTGCCTGGTTTTATGCTCATGATGTCAGTCACCGGATTGTCTTGTCCAGACTCGATTATTTACAGACCGCCGTCATATAGCTGGAATATTGCTGAATGCGGCGTTAAACAACAAACCAACCAACCATGAAAATAATTTTAAAAAAAGCATATGGCCCTAAAATACTTCCGTAACATATCAATCCAGCATAAAATGATTACCTGTCTTACACAGATATAATATTGAAATTGCAAACAGGACAAGGTACCGCACAATAATTATTAGGAGGATGAGGAGCACGTTATTAACTTAGAACATACAACATGTACATAGGAATATACCTTTGTTCGTTTTAAGTGTCTCACATTCATATTTTGGTCTTTTTGGACGACCAGTTGTCGTTTTTTCGTATATAATCCATTTGGTGTATAACACCATGATGAGAGAACAGTATGATATTGACAGGGCGGCAGTCCGCATCAGGCGTTAAATCGTCTTGTTGGCGCAACAGCTTGCTTATTGTGCAAGCAGCATGCATTGTTCATAGTGTGTAAAGGAATACTGGCCGTATTTATAAACTTATTGAGCTATTTATGAATATATATTTTTTAATATTAACGGTTGGCGAGAGATCCATAAGAAATACCAACCATTAATTTCGTTTTCAATTTGATTCAAAGAAAGGTAGTAAAAGGAAATTGTAATTATTCGGGTTCGAACTCTTCTTTCATATATAAAATAGGATAAAGGCGATAAGTCGTGTAAATAATGGATTACCTCCCTTGAAATATGGACGCTCCGTGCTGTCGTAAGATGTGACGAAGAAACCATATTGTGAATAACAGTGAAAGAAACATGTTTTGCATTTGACTGACGGCTTTCTCAGATTCACTTATTTATTATCATGAAACTATCCAATGTATTTCCCTGTACTTGGATGTAGTTTAGACAATGGAAGTTACAAGCAGGGATCTACCCCCGGCTTTCAGAAAACTGAGACAGGTTTGTTGAAACACACTATAGCCTACTTCAACTGCGAATCATAACTTTTGTAAACATGTATTTATTGCAGGATAGCATGCGGAAATATGGCAAATTTAGAAATTTATGAATTCTGATTACACGTAGACCATGCACATAACATTGAGGTGCTATCAACTGGTTATTGTGTTTTGTTTTGAACTTATGAAACTGTCATTAGGCCAAGGCTAGCTGGCCATTGTCAAACATTAGGCTATTCCGTGATAGTTTTGATCTGTGAACATGGTGAGAGGTGTTTCAGTTCTGAGCATGACTTTATGGGGAATTAATCTCTCAGTAGGGAATGCGAAATAAGCACCAACCATACATGTTTGGTAGTAATGTGGGCCTACATTTAGTACAATATGTATCTGCAACTGCATGCATTTGTATTGTTTGGTACTATCACAGGACCATGGAAGTAACATTCTATACTAACAAACTCGCAGAGGAGGCCCCTTCTGCACCTTTGTTATTATATGGCCTCGTCTGTGAGTTTGAAAGTCTAGAATATAACTTACATGGCCCTGTGTTATTATTCAATCCAAATCATAAACGTGATAAAAGAAAAACAAATGCTAAGTTGACTGGCTTCACTTAAAATCACCAGGAACAATAGCAACCGAGTTAAAAGATTCTGATAAAGCTGAAAGAGAATATGAGATAAGTATGTATAGCCCCACCCCTTCCTATACCTTACCAAAAGGGTGGATTGTATCCTATCCATGTGATCCATCAAAATAGACAAGTTCAATATAGTTGCCAGCTTGTTGCCAGCTTGTTGCCATCAGTCATCAGAAGTAGAGCATGTAAAATCAGGACCCCAAATGTTTAAATCGAAGGTCAATATCACTGCTTATGACAGGAGTTTTACCTATATTAACTTATCATACATGCATGATCTCTTGAGTAGGTTCTGCTGATATTGGTAATTGAAACCAAATTTTCACCTCGCCCACAGGACCATGTAACTAATATTCTATCTGTACTAACAAACTCATAGATGAGGTCAAAGGCCCAGTTTGAAATTTCCAAAAGTCATATTATTTGAGGATTTAAACTTCAGCAGCATATGTCACATGTGACGTACTATATGCCTCAGCAGAGTAATAAATGTAGTTATAAAAACATCAAGGTAGTTCAACGTACTGTTTTCTTAGTTAAGTTATTTTGTACACAGCCTGTAACAAATGCAGTCATTGTCTGACTGATGTCGTAAGCTTGGAAAGGGAGACAACTCATGTTGAGCTTATTGTTCCTTGACAGCCTTTTGTTTGCTCTGACATATTTACTTTCAAACATATCAAGCTTATGATATTGTGGAGCATAAATTTTTTACCCCTCAGCTGCATTTTGTGAGTATGCGAAGAATTGCTTACAAACTAACCACAAGTTTTTATTTTATCATGCTTCTTATAAGAATGATTCTTTAACACTGTTAAAGCATGATGCTTCTAATTTCAGATTTCCCTTTGAGTTATTGATAGACAATGGCTGAACACCAAGAACAGCCAGAGACACCACCAGAACCAAAGACGATAGCAACTGTGAAGTCTTTCGAGCAGCTGTACAGCCTGATCTCTAGTGGTGATGCCAAAACTGTCATTGAGTACCTAGATCACAACCATATCACACCAGAAACATACACATCACTTGTGCAAGATCGTTATTACTCACAGCTAAGATATTCTCCGGTGGCCACGGCAGCCAGAACTGGACAACTTGACATCATGAAGGCCCTTATTGCTCATGGGTTCAACCCAGAGGAAACAAGTAGAAACCTTACTGGGAAGAATGAGTACCCAATTCATCTTGCATGTGCTGCAAACCAGATAGCTGTAGTGAAATCTTTGATTGAAGATTATGGTGTTTGTGTTGATACCAGGGACTCGGGTGACTCAACTCCCATGTTCTGGGCAATATTGACGGAAAATATGGATATGTTGAAACTATTGGTAGATGCAGGTGCTGATGTAAACAGCACATTTCATGACACCATGACACCCCTACTCTTTGCAGCGTTCATGATAAATTCATTAATGTGTGAATACCTCATGGAAAATGGTGCAAATGTTAATGACACTGGTGACTGTGGTAACACTCCTCTTTGTCTGTCTGTCAGGTGTGTGAGCACCTCTCGCGTTCTGATTGATGCTGGGGCAGATATCGATCATATCAACAGTCAAGGTGACACCCCACTTATTCTAGCCAGCAAGAGGAACTACAGGAACACTGTAGAACTGTTAGGCTCTCGAGGAGCATGTGCTGACATTCAGGACAAGGAAGGACGCACAGCTTTGCATCATGCTGTGGACAGAGATCATAACAAGATTGCAGAGTATCTCATTGGACACCTTAATGTTCAGTTGGATGTGCTGGACAATTTAGGAAGGACTGCTTTCTATATGGCATTTTTTCAAAGAAATGCTGAACTGGTTGAACTCTTAATCCAGGCAGGAGCTGACCCTGGCAAAGAAGATATAGTGTATGAGGACGATCCAGGAGACAAGGAGCATCCAGTCTGGTATGCAGTGGTGAAAGACTGTAGGCGTATTGGAAGAAATTCAAGGACACTTCAGCACCTGTGTAGATTCAAAGTTAGGAGCATGTTTGGTAGGGATATCAACACAGCTATCAAGACTCTGCCTCTGCCACAGACTGTTAAGGATGACCTTGCATTGCTTTATTACATAGGTCATTGATTCATTAAATGTACTTCATGGAGTTGTTTCTCATCATTTACCTTCCCTGAATCTACAGTTCACTTGTGCTGTTAGTGTGGTGAGGCAGCTGTAGCTATTGCAGAATGGTTGTTATCAGAAATTTCTAGAAGATCCTTTTTTAAAAAGATTAATTATATAGAACCAGGAGAATGTCCTGCAAAGACTTGATAAAATGTCATAGGATGTAATAAATTGTTTCCTGCCAAAATCACTGCAAATGTAAAGATCACTTAAATATAACATAAAAATTTATAATTTTGATAGAAACAAACAAATTTATTTAATCTAAAAGGAGACCCATTGAGATGGGAGATCCTGAATGTGTGGAAAACTGCTTCATTTAGAGATGTAGCAATATGGTTCAGGGACAGACAGACTAATAAAGCATGTTTTATTGGGTCATACATACAATGATCATGATAAAGTCACTGTTAGATTGTGAGATACCTTCAAATTTCCAGACCATTAACATCGCACATTAGTATTATTGCACGAGATATACTGTTCAATTTTATCCTGTAGACTCCCAAGCATAGTCTGTCAGACGTGTCAATTGAAAACAAGCATGTAGTGCAGAGTTGACGCCCTTGATTTGAGCCATAGTTTATCAAAGGAGGAATGATGGTATTTCTCATGTTTGGGTCCAAAAGCATGATACAGATTTGCATGTGTCATCTTTTTTCTAATAATTATAAGTGGATAATAATCTGTTGTAGATCTGCTCCAAAGTTTCCCTGATGTATTTAAGTTAATCATTTGGAGAAATTTCATTTTGACAAAATCATATTGTTCTTTCACAACCGCCCCCATGGTGTAGTGGATAGAGAGTCTGCCTCGAGAGTGGAAGGTCGGTTGTTCAATCCCTGGTAACGTGTTACCAAATGATATTTCGAGATGGTACCAGTTAGTTACCTAGCCAGGTGCTCTGCATTAATAAAATAAAACAAGGGCTGGTTGGCTCCATATACTTTGTCTGAATGGGGTATCCATATTAGACTGCAGCATGGTATTTTGGTGGGCTAGCACTATAAAACCAGCATTAATCCAGATTAGCACAAGACACACGCACACATGCATGCATATCTCAAGTGCAATAATCTAGAACAAAATGTTAAAGCCTGATTCAGTTGCCCTTTCAGTTTTTTATGTTTAATATATTTTCTGACATTAGTCATGTGACTTATTGTTGAAGGGGCTTTACTTGATGAATTAAAAGACATTGATCTTTATTCATTTTCTGCCCAAGTGAGCTTACTATCATGACTATGGTATGGCACATTGTCCATAGTCTGCCCATCTTTCGTAGGTCAATCATAGTCTGTTAATCCCACTTTATTGAAAATCTACTGGACCTAATCGTTTTCTCTTATAATATAGTCATTTTACATAAACCATTATTCCGAAAAAAGGACCAGTTGGATATGACCAATGGTGTCTACCAGTGTCAAACTCAACATGCACAAAGATATTAACTTTTGACTTTTTTTCTCAAAATTCTTTCATGGGACTAAAGTCAACAGTAGTTTTTACAGGACAAAAAGTGAAAAGTAACAAATTTTATCATACAAAATGTAGGATTTTGACATTTGGGTATACCATGTAGTAGAACAAAGGGACTAAAATTCTAAGAATACTTTTTTATCTAAAGAACAGTAAAATAAGACAAATTTGTACTTGTTCAAAGATACAAATACATTAATATTAACATTGAATAGTTTTGAAATAGTTGATAAACAGAACATTCAAAAAGAGTATCTAAAGGTTTCTCAATATGTGTATTGTTTAGAATGGAAGTTCCACATGTTGTGGGCCGATTGTTATTAAATTAACTCCAAATGGATTTTAGGGCAGACAATCTATACTGAACCACAAAAGAAACATCACCATGGATAAATATATTAGATACCTTATTTGTCCAAACACTGTAAACATACTTTGAGACATATCAAAAAGATGAAACTTGGCAACACTGATCATCCAGGTTGAAATTAAAGTGTCAAATGTTCTCAAAGTGAAACACAACACTATTCTCTGAGAAAATGGAATCACAAGTCAGTACTAGTATCTCCTTTGTCCGCCATGTGCATTGATGACTGCTGTGCAACGTCAATACATGGAATGGAAGAGGCGGTTGATGAAGGCCATAGGCACTTGAGCCCACACTCTGAGGAAAGCCTGACGTATTTCAGCTGCAGTTGTCGGCCTTGGTCGGACGTCATTCAGTCGTCTTTGAATCTCGTCCCACAGGTGCTCAATGAGATTTAAATCGGGACTGAGGGCAGGCTATTGCACGGTTCTGATGCCATTCTGCTGTAGGAAGTCTCTTGTTGCTCTCGCAGTGTGGGCACAGGCGTTATCATGCTGAAACTTGCGGCGACGTGCCAAATGCATGAGGTGTGGCGTTTGGCCTCAAGACTTGATCAATGGACCGAGGTGCTGTGACACCATTGCCTCTCCCTGGAAGACCACAGGGACGACCCTCTGTGCAAAACCAATTCCACTCCACACCATGATGCTCGGACCATCCCCCGAATCTCAACAACACAAGCATCGGAATAACGTTCACCACGGCGTCTGCCATCTGCTGTTGAGATACAGTAACGGCTCTCGTCTGAGAAGAGGACTCTTCTCCAATGCTGGTGGCGCCAAATGCTGGTGCTGTTACCAACCGAGGACGGTCCCGGCGATGACGTGGTGTCAGAATGGGTCCTCGGTGTGGCCTGTGACAGTGGAGGTGTCTGTTCGTCAATGTGTCGCTGGTGTGTCCCCATGGTCTGTCGAGCAGTTTCCGCAGCAGTAACAAAGCAATCTTGAAGATGCTGTCGCACAATCTGACGATCCTGACGTCGGGTGGTGACCCTAGGTCTTCCACGACGTGGTCGGGCATCTGTAGTGTTGGCGGTCTGGTACAGTTGCTTGATCCCGTGTATGGTCCTTACGGAGACTTGAAATGCTTTGGCTACTTGCCGGGTGGTTTGTCCAGCTTGCAATCGTCCAAGTGCTTGGTGTCGCTGATTTCTTGTCAATCTTGGAATGTGGTTGCAATTCAATAACAAATGAATGTTATCTGGGTTGATATTTATAGGGCAAGAAATGGGGGAACACATGTGCATTTCAATTTGCACGGAACTCACGTGCATCTGGTTACCATTGCCGTTGCCGTGATGCGTTTGGGCGATCGGTTTTATTGTCATCTGCTTTGTTTTTTTATCATCAAAGTTCATTATTCCGTACAAGGTAATGTTAAATTTAAGAAACTTTGACAAAAACTACCCAGATATTTAAATGACAACTTTTCATGCAATGTTACTTGGGGTGACGTTTCTTTTGCGGTTCAGTATATTTGATGCCTTGATAAAAGGAACAGGAATCTTCTTGATCATGCATGATGTCATGGTGACCACCCATGAAGTCCAACTACTTAGTTGCAACCTGGCTTGTTTGGTATGTCATCCATTGATTGGTTGTCACAGTTTACATTTTACAACTATTTTCTATTTTACATCATATATTAGCTCTTTCTTTCCTCCACACTTAAAACAAGACACTGTCTCTTACAGAGGCTCGTGCCCTGGTTATGTTCGCACTACCATCGTTTTGACAACAGGTACACGTAAGTCTGCACGTGAGTTGCGTGCTGAGGTCACGTGCATTGAGCACTAGATTCGAAATCCGTGCCGGTGGAATGTATTATATCAGGATGGATTGCAAAACAATGGAAAACCTTATATCAAGCATACTGCGTTGTTCGAATACTTTGCAGTGCATGCATTGCGACGACGTATGTAATCTTTGTTTGTATTGCCGCACCACCCGACCCCCCCCCCCCCCCCCCCCCCCCCCCCTCATCTCTCTCTCTTTGTTAGACAAGGCTGGGAACCCATGATAGAAACTAAGCGTTCCCTTACTCATTTCTGCAGGAATAGTATAAATTATTAATACCAGAGAGAACCAACCACCTCAGAATCAGCCAACCGCATCGTATATCCACAGCCCTGGTCAATTATCAAATAACAAGATGGTCCACTCACAAACTATTTCGGGGCGGTCGGGTAGCCTAAAGCGTTCGCTCGTCACGCCGAAGACCCGGGTTCGATTCTCGACATGGGTACAATGTGTGAGGCCCATTTCTGGTGTCCCCCGCCGTGATATTGCTAGAATATTGCTAAAAACGGCGTAAAACCATACTCACTCACTCACAAACTATTTCTCTGAAACATCTCCGCGCACAATGTTATCTGAAACACCTCCAAATCATCCACTGTTGCTACATAAGGATCTTTTCTTACATCACGTGATTGTTTTGGCTGTCGTTTGACTTTTCGTGCATAAGATGTTCGTGTTTTCTTAATCACACCAAACTTCAATAGTCTGCCAATCGTAACGCCTCGGCGTTTGGCTGTTATGTAAACACAGCTCAATGAGGTGTGATAGCTCAGTGTTATGTCATCTCAATACCCCGTGATTGATGTCACTGCTGCGGAGATAACTATGTTCTGGCAGTAAGTAATTGAGAAATCCCTATCAAAATATTTTGCTGAAATGAACTCAGTGTCTCTTCATTTGCATGACATATGTGTGGTCACTGACAGTGTCACTGCAGAAGGACTGCTCCAGTTAACATATACACCGAGGTGACTTTCAGATCTTATAAAAAGGTACGTAGTCATCATGAACCATTGTTCACATTATGATCTTCTGGCTTGTTGCTGTACATTTTCTCATTAAATCTTCAAACGCTCATTTTAAATCTCCGTCCAGGCATTTTGAATCTTCTCTAGAAGGAAGGGCGATAGCCGAATGGACGGGGTCGGTGTGTAAATGTGACATCATCAGCAGATACTTCTATGTCACCTGCTCTTGACTGACCCACGGCAGGGATCTCAATCTAATCTTTTTGACGTTAAGTGGGAGTCCCATTTGGTAAACTTATAAGGTAAGTTATACCCTGGTTATTTGGACGACTGAGTCAAGACAACATCGATACAAAGGCTGCGGGAACACCTAATATAACTTTAGACCGTATTAAATTATCACCCTCATAATCAGGGTTTTGTGTCAGTACGCTTGATGTCGTAGAAGTTTACATGATAAATGTGTACGGAGAGTTGTGTGGGTTCGAATCCCGGATGGAACTCAACCCCTAAAAGTACTAGAATCTGTACTTTACTAAGAAGGTGTTATCCCAAACATACATGTGTTGCATTAACAGTTGTTTTATGTAATTTATATGAAGATTTTGTAAGTTTTGTGTCGTCATTTATCTATCAATTCCCTCACGCAGGTCGGCCGAGATCGGGTGATGGAATCGACACAACTCGATGATTTTGATGCCGAAGTGTGGAGCTGTTTCCGTGACAACGACGTGAAAGGTATACAACGATAAGGCCAAAAGACCCAGTGTGCATAACTGGAAGCGCTCGTAGAATCCCTTAGAAGCCAGTCAATCAAACGTATCCTTCCTTAATTGTCATCGTGTCAGTGTAATCAGGTGGTACTCAATTGTACATTCTTTTGTCATTTTCACTCAGTTGTCAATATAAAGGAAAGGTTCCAACTGGACATAATACATTTCACTTCATTCATACACAACGATGAAATATGAATTGTCATTTTTTCAGAATTCACCAGTTCGCCTCCTGAAACTGGCTTGATTAGACCAATTCCAGTTCGCCTTGAACCGCCATTCCCTTGGGATTGTGGGATCGAATTCGATGCTATACATACATTTGAAACTGCACCAAAGAGGTTTTCGGCATTTATCCCAGTTTCTAAAACTGCTGACAGAGGTAAGTCACGGAAGCCTTTTAGGGCCATTTGTTGTTTTTTTAAATACTAAGTTGAATTACTAACTTGAAAATTCAAGATGTTAGTTGTTGATTCAAGCATAAGTCTCACCTATTTTCAAACTTTCGATTCGGTCGTGTTCATTTATCATGCAATAATCTTTAGAGCGAGAAAGCTTTATCAAAATCATGATTCGAAATATGGTTTCAACTGCGATAAATTATTGACATGTTCTTTGTTATAGCTGTCGGAAACCCTGGTTCTTTCGAGAAAGCTCAACCGACACTGCAACCTCTAATTGTCAAGGACACGCACCCAAGTCTGCAAAGGTCCATTTACTGTAAAAGGCAAGTGCTTTAATTTAACAAAACAACATTTATTTTTGGGATTGACTTGGACTTTTTACAGAGACGGGATGATGTTATCGGTTCAACGTTTTGTGGGGTAAAACCTGAAGCAAATAAAACGTGAAGTCTTAACATATTGTTTATGTTATACTTTAAAGTTAACCCAACATATGGCTAATATACACACGTGTGACCTTAACGTACACAGATGCTTTATGTCTTGGTGCTGGTTAGAATGAGGATGTTGGTCGTTCCAATTGGTATGGGACGCTGCGCATGCTGTCAACCAATCATTGATGATGATAATGATGATGTTGTAGATTTAACGAGCGCTTCCGGTGTAGCCGATTTCGCACTCGGAACCAATCATTTGTTTCGTTATGACTCGATTACAGTATTTAAAGTCGACCGTGATATAGCTGAAATATTGCTGACTGGTGGAAAATAACACCCACTGACGTCATACAACCGCCTAATAACACTTTTGTCTTTCATCAGTGACCCTGTCGAGGCAGAAGTGTCGGACCTGCTGCAGAGGCTGACCACTACTCAGGCCGAACTGGACAGTGTACGAGACGATCTCACAGACGCCCGACTCAATGCCCAGTGCCTTGAGCTGATGAACAAACACCTGACGACAAAACTTCAGCTGATGGAGACAGAGAAGGAGAACCTTAAGGAGAATGTTGATGATCTGAAAAAGGAGAGTGAATGGTTGAAGTTAGAACTGAAGCGGACACAAGATGCAAGACGGCATTGCGGAAAGCCAGATGAACACGTGGATGTCAAACGATTCCAGCAGGCGCCTGCTGCAAGTGACAAAAAGTACCCTATGGATGGGAAAAGTGCATTGTCCAATGATCTGGCTAGTGCAAAGGACAGTGTCGAACCTAAAACGAAAAAGAAGAAATTTGTTCTGAAACAGCTCAGAAAAGCCTTTAGGAAGATAACTAGGTGAAACGAAGAACTACACTATCCACTGTGATGCAGTTATGCCAGTTGTACTCATATTACTGTTTGTTATTATTTATGTTATAAAATATATTCCAAATTGACTTGTTTGAGTTTTGTTTCATCAAAGAACTGTAGCGGTATAAATTGTAGTCAGCTGAGCTTTACTGAAGATAGTACTGCTGAATGATTGTTTGTTTGTTGTTTAACGCCGCACTCAGCAATATTCCAGCTCTATGACGGCGGTCTGTACATAATCGAGTCTGGATCAGATAATCCACGCAATTGGGCACGAGGCGACTAACGGGATCGGGTGGTCAAGCTCGCTGACTTGCATGTCATCGTATCCCAAATGCGTAGATCAATGCTCATGATGTCAATCACTGGATTGTCTGGTCCAGACTCTATTTTTTACAGACCGCCATATTTAGTTGGAATATTGCTGAGTGCGGGATTGAACAATAAACAAACAAACAAAGCATTTCCGCGGCAATGCTCACCTTCCCCATGCGTACATGTATGTAAATACATGTTCAAGTCAACGAAGTCGCTGTTTTGAGAACAATGATGACAATGTTTCTTTTACCTAGGATCTAAAGGTGCCTTTTCGTTGACATATGATCTTTTATATATCTTCAGTATATACTTCCAGCTTCTAAACATTTTGTATACAGTATCTATTTTACTTTTGTCCAAGTTAATGAGCATAACATATAAAGCCATATTTAAATATACGAGGTTTCGTCATGTCGCCGTTGTGCTGTTATACTTTAGGGCGTCGTGAGTCAAGAGAAGTCCTATTTTCACACAACACATTGACTTGAGTTGATAAGAATCACGAAAAAAGGTTTTATTGCAAAAAAAACCAACATCGTTTAGATAACAGAAGAAAATATGTTACAGAGGGTAAGTGCTGTCCATGCTAAACAGGAAGTTGGTAGGTAGTAACTTTACCATTTTCTTGTAAAAAATACATTGATACAAATATCCGTATAGCCCAATAGCCTAATCAAGCTAAAAAATATATATTAAAAATGCACTGTATTATATAAAAAAAACGTCGTTTTAATGCTGAAAAGGATTTAGTTTTCGATTCGTCCCTGTCTCGCCAAATGACATCAAAAGTGAAAATAAAAAATATTAAACTTTTTATTGAGTGTCCTATATTCATATTGTAAAGATTATGGCCCGGAAGCCCTTCGGTTCAGGATGTACGACAGATTTAGTTCAAAATATTTATTAAAACGGCCAAAAACGGGTGAAATCAAACGTTTTACTGCCCAGCAAGAAAATGGTACGTTACGCTGAAGGTTGCCGCCAATATACAGCATGGACAATGCGCTTTAGCATAACGTGTATCCATTGGATACATACAAACATTAAAAATGAAATTTAATGAAGTGGGGTAAGAGAAAACAAAATGAAAAATAACATCTGCTTCGTGATATGCGAGGTTTATTTCAGGACCAAATATTTGTACCTGTTCGGAAAGAAAATCAACACAACGAGTGAAAGATTAAATGAGAGAAATTAAATTGGTCACAACATTAAGATTCTATTTATTTATATTAAAAAATATTGCCCTTTGCCATGTTTGCACCGACCAGGAACCATCATCATAAACTGGTTCCATTGTTGGTATGCGACATCAAATGTTTAAACGAGCACAAGTATGTAGTGGAAATGATGCAGCAAGAGAGTTACCTTCCTTGTGCTGTCGCTAGGTGTCAGTGGCATCCAATATGGCTGCACCCTTGAAGCCGTGGGAAAGAGCTGGTGTTAACAGTCAAAATCCAGGCCCTGCTCCTGTCAACAGCATGTCTGGGTAGGTAGCAATAACATGTACATATATCTGCATCAAAAGTACGGGTTGACACATGATATTTTGTCTCAATAATGAGTATAAACCCACACTGGACTTTGGCCATGACGGTGGTTGCCCACGATCAGTCACTATGCTACTGTGACTGAGTAGGTCAAACGTAAATGAATTTTTGTTTATCACCACAGTCAAACAGAAAATGCCCAGGTAGACTTGCCATGAAGGAGTGCAGTGGATCAAACTTTCGCAATGAGTGATTGAATGTGACACTGGTATCGTTTCCTGTAGCGCTTTGATAAGAATACATTTTACCGGACACTTTCCGCTCAGTCTGATTCTGAGCATGATTCCATTATAAATTATTCTGTATTCACGCAATTATAATGATTACGACCTTCGCGAACTGAGCTGAATGTCTGCTAGGATACAGGGAGACGTGGAGGAACTATAATTTCGCCTGAAAAGTGCCCGTCAAAACCAGATTTAACCAGAAACAATGGCACCGAAACAGTTGATTATCTCATACTCTTATCACATTAACTTATCCTGATAAGAAAGTTGTTTTAACAATGCAATTTTTTCAAGGTATGTTTCAGGAAATTAACAGTCCTAGCCCGACCCAATAAGTGTACTTCCTCGATTACATCCCCGGCATTTAATCGCAAAGATAATAGTGGGGAGAATTCCATGCATAACAACTACCTGTTGTTTAATTCAGACCCAGCATTTATTCAAGCCATCTGTTTAATCGAGGAGATACAGTGAATGAATATGCTTGAATACCTCACCAAAGCATCTTTACAATGTCATGCTTATCTGTGTCATGTTTTCTTGTATTTAGCTTAAAGAATATTGCTTTGAGGTCATACTGTCATCTCTTAGAGGTATCACGATGTATATAGATGAAACAGACAATAACTATTCTGCGGTTGGCAATGACATTCAAGATCCTCCTTACAATTTTGTTTAGCCAGTTGCACTGACTGGAATTACACTAGCAACAGTTTTATGAATTGCTGCACAGACTTATGTGATACCATGCAGGTCCATCAGATAGTGACGGTGTGAAGCAAAAGGCAGAGATTTACCACAAAAACATGTAAATATTTAAGATTGGCTTAACTTTTGTGTATATAAAGGTATCTTTTTGATTATTGAACTTTACTGTTTTTAGGAGCCCACCTGCACCCTGCTGTGTTCAGGGCACAACCAGTGCCCCACCCCCAGTTCCAGCCCGCCCCGCCCAGAGTACAATCGGAGCCCGCCCCTATGCAGGAGGGTATGGTATGGGGAGCTCAATGGGTTACAGCCCTTACTCCTCCTATGGTGGTGGGTTATACAACAGCCCATATAGCTCCTATGGCAGCTATGGGTACGGAGGTTATGGAGGAGGTTACAATCGATTCGGTGGTAACCAGGATTCAATGAGCGGATTTGCCCGCCATGCAGAGGAGAACTCTCGGCCAGCTTTCCAGGCTATTGAGAGTGTTGTGAGTGCAGTCAGCTCTGTAGGAATGATGATGGACTCGACTTTCCAGGCAGTGTATAACTCTTTCCGGGCTGTGATCGGTGTGGCTGACAACATGTCCAGACTGAAGAGTCAGCTGGTTTCTGTGATATCTGCTTTAGCTTTCATTCGGACCCTTAAATACATCTACAGGCGTTTCTTGGAACTGCTCCGTCTGCGACCACCAGGTCATGCAGCCCAGGCCTGGAATGATGCTGTGTTCCAGGCTGCAGCCAACATGGCCCCTGGGGAACCCTCTCCCAAGAACAGTGCCTGGCCAATTATCATGTTCTTCAGCATCATCATGGGAGGTCCCTGGCTTATCTGGAAGGTCATCAGGTCCTTCTCAGATGGCAGTGGTATGTATTTCATTAAATCATTATGCCTTTTGTAATATTCATCTTTCTTATCAGGGGGCACGGATGGCCCAGTCGTCTAAGACGCCATGATTTGCTGTGCAGAGTTGCGTCATTGGCTAGCCAGAAACCTATGATTGTGGGTTCGAATCCTGGTTCGCCTCAATTATGTTTCTAGGTTTGTCAGCACCATACCCATGCTCCTGGATTTCACCGAAGTGGTAAACGTCTGAGACCAGCATCACTTCGGGCTATCCTCCCACATTAAGCTGACACGCCGTGATATAACTGGAATACTGTTAAAAGCGGTGTTAAACCCAACTCTCTCACACTCTTTCTTATCAATGCATTACTGTTAATGTTGTCATGGCAGTGTTGTGAAGTACACAGTTTCAAGGCAATTATTGGGTTAAAAAGTAATTGGTGATCAATGATGGAGATGATAAAGGGAAGAGTGAGTGAAAATTGTTTACATCGCAGTCAGCAATATTCCAGCTGCATCACTGTGGCCTGTAAGGGTACTGGTAATAATCAACCTGTTCATGCTGACTAGGGAAAAAAAAATAACTGAAGGCATGGGCAACAATTTACAATCAAGCCAAATGAAAAAATGAGTAGAGGGCGTAACATGTTTGCGAGACAACTGAGAGACGGTCACTTGTATGTGTGATTAGGAGCATGATTATGTGATTTCTCACTATACATGTTAAAAGCAATGATCAAAATCATAAAATTGTAAAACTTAGACATTCTGTTTCATTGATTATTTTTATTTCTACTTGTGTTAAATTAGAATGAGTGTCCTATATCTTGTTAATAGTTGTTATCGTGTATGTAAGTGCTGTAGATAATTGCCAACTAGGAAATATTATACACCTGTACATCATTAATACCTTGCTGCATGCAGTCGAGAGCAACAGCTGGGCAAATGGGGACGAGGATCACTTTGTTGCCCGAGCTGAGCATGACTTCCGTGCGAGCAACAACACTGAAATATCCTTCACTGCTGGACAGATGATCAACATTGCTCCTAAAGGTTGGTGTGCATTCTTTTGTTTCACTTGCTTTTTGTGCCTGTAGTTTCAAATTTGTACAAGTCCTTATGGCCTGCTGTAAATATATGTGTCGATTAATTTGTCCCAATGAGGTGCATTTTTTTAAATGAGGGCCTGAAGAGTAGTGGTGTCACGATAAATCGAAATATCGATATATTGCTATTGGTAAGCACTCAAAGTCAATAAATCGATTGTTAAGTCAGTTTCCGATCAATAGTATCGATTTCAGTTAGGAATATCGATAGTTTCGATTGTATTTACGATATCAATAAAATACATGCAATGCTATTAAATATTGTTTTTCTTTTGATCATGAGTGGTAGTAATTTACACATGGTAATGTGGAAGTTTCTTTTTCTTAAATTATTAGGGTAAAGAAAAAACAAATCAGTCGTATCTCAGACTTTACTTTTTATTTGTTATTATGGTTATCACATTCAAAGGAAACTTCAGATCCAAGGTTTAATTCAACTCTAAAATCCATCTGAAATGATACACTGAAAACTATCGATATTTATTGCAATAGTTGCTTGCAATATCAATTGTTATCGCACTAGTTTCTGTCAATATCAATAGTTATCGCAATAGTGATTTCCAGACCAATAGTCACCCCTACTGAAGAGTTTAGCCAGGACCTGCAGCTTCTAAAGTCTGTGGGTCCTGATGGCAGCCTGGCAATTTCTTTTTATATTTCTAAGTTCTAACACTGCCAGGCATACAAACAAGATAGTTTAAGATCATTCTTTGTCTATTATTTTATGTTCCCCAGAGCATGCAGTGTACATTCTCGTGATTGCGGAGATCTCATTTAAAACAAAATAAGACATACACTTATTACTTAGTGAATAAAGCCCAATTCGTTTAGTGTTGTCCACAGATATTTGCAGACAGCACTGAGAGTTTGGTTTGGGGACAAATCACAGGTAGGGTGGTGGGAATGGCTACAGGAATTGAATGTGTGGAAAATTAGTTGAAAGCAAGCTGGAAGATAAAACTTTTAGAACTGTTACAGTCTCAAGGATTATCCTGAAAGTTTTGCCCCTGGTCCAAAGCAATGATATTTAGATATGATAATTATATTTTGCTAATTATCAGATATTTCCTCTTTTGCTAATTATCATTATCATGCAGGAGACAACAATCTGCCATTATCAAATTTCAATGTGTGTTTAGATTGTAATTGTCTATATTTAAGTGATAAGACATGAAATAATGACTGTTGTAAATGGTGTAACAGTTTGCTGATATTTTATGACACACACTGCTTTTTTCAGTTCGCTCTCTATTTCATCGGTAGTGTGTGCCGTATCGAAGGCAATATTGTTGAATTTCCAGTTTTTTAGTGGTGACCGTTCATAATATTTTCGTTATACAATGAATATTATACCAGGTTCAGGCTTTTGTTATGCCCCTGGCGAATATGGCGAATAACATCAAAAATATGATTGTCTGTGAACTGAAATTTGTATATCATTATGGAGAAAGAGTTGTAGGTAAATCCATTTATATTTTGTCTTGTCATTCCAAAATCTAAATTTGTGTCTGTTTTTAAAACTTTACCCATGATTGTTTTCTTTCCTTGATTTATGGAAAGATTTAAGTGACCAAAAATATGTTTAAATACACTTTGGTGTTGTAGAGCACTGTTTTAAACGAAATAAGACTTTGGTCCGCTACCAAAGTGTTTGTTGTAAAAACAAACACTTGTTTTGTCAATCCCTGCAGTGTGTGCGTGTTTGTCATGCTTGACTGGCCTGTTCATCAGATTTGCATAATAAGGGCTTGATTTAAGGAACTTGATTTAACTTGCACCCATCTTCCAGAGGCAAGGGAGTTACAAGACTACAATAGTCAAGTTTCCAGCCTTGCTGAACTAGACTGGAATTTTGGAATTATTTGGCTGGACTAACAGGTCTATAGCATGGTCCAATCAGAATCTTGTAACAAAGTCGACATCCTGTTCATAAACAACGGTCAATTGCGGGATTTGCTAAGCATGGGTACCTTCAACTGGGCGTCAACAGATGTTTTCCAACTCTTTTTTTGTTTTTAATCAAAGTGCTCGAGTGTTGTGCTACAATACACAAACTCTGGGTGTCTGTGAGGCAGGGAATGTGAAACTTTTCCTCGATCAACTTGATGGTTGTCTTGACTGGGCGCCGCCATTTTGTTTCAAGCAAATACAAGTGATAACAGAGTTGGGCTTGCATGTCTAGTCATTGAAGATTGGTCGTGACTTCGCCACTATTTTAAATAGTATAACATTGTGAGAGGGCCCATCCTCTGTATCTCCAGGGCCCGCTTGTCGGTAAACGTACACTAACATCTGGACCCATGCCCGTGCTTCCCGCAATCTTAAATTACCGGCCTTAAGTTTCCTTATGACAATTTGATTGGCTACTCTTTCCGTCTAACATAACAATCAGAATGTGGGTTACAAACTAGTCTCAATGTTGGGTTGGTGATAATAACAACATAGCGTCCAGTCCCAATGATTACGATAAAGTTTGCGAGAAATTCAACGTTGAAAAACAGACAGACACTCAAAAGAAAGTCCTCAAAAATCTTTTTGATGGAAAGGATGTCTATATGTTCATCTAAACTAGCAGTGGCTTTGGTTTCTAGGCAAATATGAGTTACCTCCCTTACACATTTTCCTTTTCCTCATCTCGACGTTTCATTGGTCGGTAAAATGTTGATGAAAATCAAGATCAGGTAATGTAAGATCCATGAAAACCATGATCCGTGAATGGTTCCAAGGGTTAGTGTAGGTTTACCAAAATGCGAGCCCTGTAATAAGAGGAATGATAAGGAACAGACTAGTTAATTACTCATTCAGTAAAAAATTCTGTGAGTATGCACCAATCGCCAGCTTTGCAAGTCTGAGATAATACCTTGTGTTTGTGTTTTGCAGAGATGCAGCCCAAGGTAAGAGGATGGCTACTTGGATGTGCAGATGGAAGCAATACGGGGCTGTTGCCAGCAAACTATTTGAAAGTATTGGGAAAAAGAAGAGGAAAGAAATACCAGACCCCCACCCCCCAGGGTGTCCCAGCCCCACCAGCCAGCATCACCCCATCAGAAAGTGCTTTCTCCCTTACTGGGCCCACACCTAGTTCCACAACCTTGAACTCTGTACCAGAAAGTAACCTTGACACTGTCTTCAATGAGGCAACTTCTGCAGAGCTGGATGCATCCGATATTTTAGACAAATGTGGTTCCGAGGGCAATGACTGTGAATGTCCTTCCGTGTCTCAGCCTGTGCCTACAAAGGACTGCTGTGCTGGCAAGTCAACGTGAAGATCCACAATGGATTGTTTTATTTGATTTGTACATATGCAAATCTGTAAGATTTGTTAATGTTTGTAAATTATGATTTTTTTAATATATATTAATAATGCTCCTCAGCAAGAAATAATAATTTCCAATTAATAAAAACAGGTGCGGTTTGTTATGTTAATCATCTGTGCTGCTTATTTCAGTACTTCAGCAGGCAAAGAAGCTTTCCCTTTACTGCTGTTTCAAACCCCCTCAAATGGGAGATGTTCTCAGTTTATCACCTTGATTATATGATAAACTTTGTTTCTCACTCTTTGCTTAAGAGCTGGAAACAGTCATGTTTGTTGTCATCATGATGGTATCAAATGGCATCAATATTAGTATCGCATTTTTAGCTCACCTGACTGAAAGTCAAGTGTATTTATGTCTGTTGACTGTCTGTCCCATTGTCTGTTTGTCAAAGATGGAACTTTGTGTAAATGATCTCAGCTATGGTGTCGCTACATATTTGTTCGCATAATTCTGATACAATATCAAACATGGCCACCATGCTGGCCATATTTAGAAACTAATTAGTGGCTATTGATCGGCCATCAGTTTTCAAAATGTATTGAAATGTGGCATACATGTAGTTCGTAGTGGGGCCAAAGCGTAAAAGTTGATGTCGCAAAAGTGAAAATGCTGTCATGCAAACTTTGGAAACCATATCTCAGACCCCACAGCACACTTGCTTGCCACCATGTTATCTGCATACATTGGGCAGGAATGGCAAAGAGCAGTCGAAAGAAATGGTTCGAGCAACATCCCACCCAGAACAGACACTGAAGTTGTTGGTAGGATGATGAAGACAAAGTTTGATCATCATTCACCTTTTGATATAGGAGAAAATAGTCAAACAAGTTCAAGCAGACCCAAACTGTCCCCGGACAACCAGTCAGCATTTTTGCGTTTTTGACTAGTGTGTCTGTTACCCCTTGGCTGGTCTCAGTCATAGAGGCAAGAGCTACAGGTCTCCAGTATCTCAAAAGGGGCCCCATTCTCCTCTGTCCCTGTTAACCTTGAAACTGACCATTGCAGTTATATTTTATCAGTACTGGTATTTGAAAATTCAAATTTATGATTTCAATAAATATTATTTTTATATCTTGTTCTCCAGAACCACTTTGCACAGGACTCAAACTTTGTGTGAATGTCATGACCGTAAGGTGATCAACGTTTGTTCAAGGCATCACTATTTGCACCCGTCCTTGTCCTAAACTATGTCACAAAAATACTTTTATTTCTTTTTCCCAGAATCTTTTCTATAACTCACGAAATTAAGGTTGTGAAATTCCAACTTCATAAAGTGAGGTGAGCTACAGTCTTGAGGCTTGATTTTTATCATTTTATTGCCTTAGTTAACATAGATCAGCAAGGGAGTTTTGAAGCTGTAATCTGGGTTTTATCCACAAATTTTGTCTCTAAAGGTATGCAATATGTATATGTATATGTATGCTGGTATCATAAGATTTTCGTTCAGATTGACAACATCTACTCTAGACACTACATATGTTGTGCTCTCCTGTGCACATGCTGCATATAATTATACATTGAAATTTTGTTTGATTTAAAATCTGCCTACCCTATTTTGGTTGATCTGAAATCATGAACACTCATGTATTTTTGGGGCCTGTTGTGAATGTCCAGGAAAAGCATGCTACATATTTTGGTCACTTACAGAGTCCTGAGCTCCACACAGTACTGATGAAGATGCTGTCAGTACTGTGTGGAGCTGAGACAAGCAGGAATTGTACATTGGCCTGGGCCTAGTACATCTTAAAAAACAATTGAACATTTTATGTGATGTTGGAGATCAATTTTCAGGAAACACATTTCCAAATGTCAAAGTATATTCTGGATTTATTGCATTTTGATATATTTGACACTTAAATAACTTTGTAGCTAAAAACATTGATTTTTCATGAGCTCACTGGCAGTTATTAAATAGTAACCAGCTGATGACAGTGTATTGGGATTGTGACATATTTTATTTATATACCTTGATTATGAATCTGATTCTGTGGAGTTTTCATTAAATTGAATGAAACAGCTGCTCTGACAAACCTCCCAATGCTGCTTATTTTACTAAGCGTCATTTTATTAAAATATTACATCAGATATTGTGTTTTGTGTTTTATTCGATGATACAGCTGAACAATGGTTGTGATCTTGGATAGGAACATTTTTTCTTCAAAATGAGTTTTCTATTATTCAGTTACTGATAATGGTACATTATTGTATCATAGATGCTTGCAATATACTATTAACTTTGAAATATGGGGCACAGGTGGCCCAAACATCTAAGGTGCCGCAATTTGCTGTACAGAGTTGTCGGTTTGGCACACCAGAAACCAATGATCATGGGTTTGAATCCTGGTTCACCCTGATTATGTTTCTAGATTTCAGCACCATTCACAGCTGACACGTTTGTGAAATACTGGTCAAAGTGAAGTTAAACCCATCTCTCACTCACTCACTCACTCACTCACTCTATGCTTGTCGTAAGAGGCGACTAAAGGGATCAGGTGGTCAGACTCGCTGACTTGGTTGATGCATGTCATCGATCTTAATTGCATGGACCGATGCTCATGATGTCAATCACTGGATTGTCATATAGCGACGTTAAACTACAAACAAACAAAACCCCGGGAGTGCTTATAACCACCTTCATTAGAGTAGCTAGAGGCGTGGGACTTTCTTTTTCCATGGTGTACTGCATGGGCTCATGTATTCCCAATTCTTAAATGATGTCACTAGACCGGAAGTGCACCCCTTGTTTGTCATACGGTAGCTAAACAGAAAAGGAATGGGACTGTTTATATTAAAGTTACACTGCATTAGACATGTGTTTGTCCAAACCAGAAGTGTTGTCATTACAAGGGAAGTGCTTATATCTTTGTCATTGTAGTTGGTTGGTTGGTTGGTTGGTTGATTTGTTGTTTTACGCCGCACTCAGCAATATTCCAGCTATATGACTGCAGTCTGTAAAATAATCGAGCCTGGACCAGACAATCCAGTGGTTGACATCATGAGCATCGATCCACGCAGTTTGGACATGATGGCATGCATCAACCAAGTCAGCGAGCCTGACCATCCGATCCCGTTAGTCGCCTCTTACGGCAAGCATGGGTTGCTGAAGACCTATTCTACCCCGGATCTTCACGGGTCTATGGTAGCTGGAAGACTGGGACTTTCCGTTTCTATGTTGTATTGCTTCAGAGATGTGTTTTCTAGTTATGGTAACTAGATACATAGGATTTGCTTTAAATGATGTACTGCATTAGGGGTCGTGGATGAATATTGATGGGCACAGCTGTCAATTGAATTTCAAATGGTTCAGGATACATGCTTCTGGTCGGAAGGTGTGGCATCAGGATAAGGGGGGGGATAAGGCTTTCTAGTTCCTTTAGTTCCCTCTTTGATGATGTGGTGGCCCACTGGTAAGAGTGAGTGAGTGAGTGAGTATGGTTTTACGCTGCTTTTAGCAATATTCCAGCAATAGCACGGTGGTCCGTCACTGCTAATGGTGGTCATACCCGATACTGACTTGTGAACTGACAATTGACCCCACGCCACTTTCAATTTGAGATGACGTTTACAGAAGACGTGTGGAAACTGCCACTCACCAGACTGGAGCGGAAAAGGCACTGTACATGTGAAGTTTCTGATATATTGCTATAAGCACCAACAAGCCTACCCACTCTATCACTCATACGGGTCACGGATGGCCCAGTCGTCTTCGGCGCCGCGACCGCCTCCGTGGTCTTGTGGTAGAGCGTCCGCCCGGAGAGCGGAAGGTCCAGGGTTCGATCCCGGGCCGCGTCATACAAAAAGACGTTAAAAGATTGTACTTGTTGTTACCCTGTCTGGCGCTCGGCATTAAGGGGCTAAAACAAGGACTGGTCGGCTCGGAGTCAGTATACTGTGTCTGAGTGGGGTATTCATGTTAAACTGCGGCATGGTATCTCAGTGAGCTAGCACTATAAATCGGCATCAGTCCGGACTAGTACAAGCAGCCACACACACACATACACGTGCATGCACGTCGCTATATAAGTGCAATAATCTTGGACGCGACGTTAAACCCAATTTCACCTCACCTCACCTCTTCGGCGCCGCAATTTGCTGTGCAGAGTTGCGTCCCTTTCGCACGCCAGAAACCTGTGATTGTGGGTTTGATTCCCGGTTTTCCCCGATTATGTTTCTAGGTTTGTCTGCACCATACCCGTGCTCGTGGGTTTCACCAAAGTAGTATACTTCTGAGACCACCGCTGAAATGCCGTGATATGACTGAACTAAAGTAACTCTTGGAAATGAAAAAAAACCTGCTTTGCTGGATTTAATAATCGACACAAAGCATTACGTAGATGTAAATACGAAATAACAAAACAACTGGAAAAATACTAGTCTGGATTTGCTAGTTTTATCTCAGTGCTCAATACAAAATGGGGTGGTCGGGTAGCCTAGTGGTTAAAGCGTTCGCTCGTCACGCCGAAGACCCGGGTTCGATTCCCGACATGGGTACAATGTGTGAAGCCCATTTCTGGTGTCCCCCGCCGTGATATTGCTGGAATATTGCTAAAAGCGGCGTAAAACCATACTCACTCACTCACTCAATACAAAATGTACTTTACAGGAGTTTATTTGTAGGCACTTTCAACATTCAATAATAAAACTAAGTCCAAATTGACATGGCAGAAACAGGCTATAGGCATTATGCAAATTAGCCTGGAAAAAAGTTATCAAAACAACAATAAAAATAACAACTATGTTTATGTACATAATAATAATGACATGTAAGTTTGAATGAGAAGGGAATATGTTACTTTTACGTTGATATTTTGACGATGATTCACTATCCCACAATGCCACTCACAAATCACTAACCACTGACAAATCACATGCACGTGGGTTTCAAGCACCTGTTTTCACCTGTCGTCAAGGTGTCATAGGTCATGGACATTCATCTTGATCTACTAACACCTGGTTATGCTCAGTTTCACAATAGTCTGTTTTGTTCATATTTTTACACACTTTTACGTGTAAAAAGACATAAAAACCTTTGATACGCTGTATTTGTGCCAAGGTCCAATTAGTACTAATTGAGTTGTTTGAATATTTATATATTTTGTATATTAACTGCATTTATTTAAAATCTGAGATCGAAAAAACAGGGTTTTTTTAATATTAAAAGCCGTGTTAAACCCAACTCACTCACTCACTCATACTGCAGAGATTAGTGCTGGCACATGGACTGATTTGTCAGGTCTGCAAGCCATTGTGACATAGCAGTATCTAGTAGTCACTCACTCCAGGCCAAAATTCAGGAAACAGCTGCTGTAAAGGAGACATGCAACGCTATTCTAAAGAATGTTTAATAAATATTTTACAAACTTCAAAATTTCTGTTTTATATTAAAAGGTAGGATTACAAAAATAAATCTAGATTCATGAAACCGTTAAAAGATAAAATTCCATGGACATGCACTTTATATAAACATGTTGTATGTATCGTTTTTAACTTCACATCACTCAGGATAGAGTTCACTTAAAGCAGGTTGAAGGTATCTGTATTCCCCTGTCCTTAAAGAGCTTGCACCATAGGCGGAGTAAGATCAGGCTTGCAACTACTCTGGGACTGGTTCCATTCCAAGGTTGTCGTTTGGAGGAAAGGACCCTTTTTCCTCTAGCAAATCCTGGATATGTCAAGAAAAGCATGCTGAAGGAATCATATGAAGAATGACACACTTACACATCAATATACCCAGGTAGAGACACAATTAAGGAATGAAGCAATAGGTACATAAAAAATGCTGGCGGTCAGACGGAATAGTTGCTCTTCAATAGTATAAGCTAATAACAATAACAAGCTAACGACGTTAAAGCTGGTCAGTCGGTCTTATCGCGTCTTTCCCGACCTGATAGAATCAGTAACAAAACACGATACGGTTTCATGGGGATGGGAAGTATCTATGAAAAGTGAATGTGGGACACCAGGGGTAGAGGTTTATGAAGACTTGCACAAGAGTGAGTGAGTGAGTATGATTTTACGCCGCTTTTAGCAATATTCCAGCAATATCACGGCGGGGGACACCAGGAATGGGCTTCACACATTGTACCCATGTCGGGAATCGAACCCGGGTCTTCGGCGTGACGAGCGAACGCTTTAACCACTAGGCTACCCGACCGCCCCACTTGCACAAGAAGCAGGTTATAATGACGTTTGTGAAGATAGTTCGGCGACTCTCGGGTTATTATCCATTTTTAAAGGCTTACGTCGGTGGAGGTAACAACTTTCGCTTTAGTTTATTATTTTGTAAAGACATGAATTAAATTTCTATTTAATTTAAGGAAGTCAGTTACAACTAGAAGGAGAAAAGGGGGAGGAAAGAGAAAATTTGCCTTCTGGTAACATCGTGTAATAAACTTATGTTAGGGTTGTTATCAAGAATGACCAGACATCTTAATACTGCTGGGGGCGGTGGATTAACTAAGTAGTTAAAGCATTCGCTCGTCACGCCGTAGACCCAGGTTTAATCCCCGTGAATATTTCTGGTATCCCCCGCAGTGATATTGCTGGACTGTCTCTAAAAGCGGCGTAAACCTCAGTCACTCACTCACTCACTTCAAAGTCCTGTCTTAAACCAAAGAACGAGTGATGAATGTGCTGTGCCCTCATCTGGTACTATCTCGGGGTTTGATTAACACTGGCTTTATAGTACACGTTTCCTTCTTTCAATCTTAAGGTGTACCGGGGAGAGTTGCATCCCTTACTCGTGCAAGGATCTGCTAATCGTATGTTCATCCCGGATTCGCCCGGATCAACATCTGCATTCTCGCAATTTTCACTACCTTGTAGTGGTGCACTACCTTCGACACTTCTGGTTTTTCTTCTCTCAGTACTGTGACACGCTATATACTGTCAACTGAAATACTATCAACGCCGCGTCAAACCCAACTAATTAGAAACTGAGGGCAGTGGGGTAGCCTAGAGATTAAAACGTTCGTTCGTCACGCCGAAAGCCCGGGTTCGATTCCCTACATGTGTACAATGTGTGAAGTCCATTTCTGGAGTCCCGCGCCGTGATGTCGCTGGAATATTGCTAAAAGCGGTGTAAAACCATACCTAACCACGTTAGAAGCTAAGCCACGACACAAACGGATGTAATGGGTGTCGCAATGAAACCTGTTATGTCAGGTCCGAAAACCCCGCCTTCCGGATGCTTAGAGTTGAACGAATTATCATTACACGAGTCGTTGTTGGAGTAATTCTGAAAGATTACCCTTCCCAAAAGTGCGCATTGACTTATATTTGATACTTCCAAAATATTTGTCCCATATTTCATGCCCCTTTTCAAGGCGCCCGAAGACGCCATTTGACTAAGATAGTTTGCTGTCGAACTGGAGATGATGAGATAGTCAATTGGTTAAAGCGTTGGCACGAAACACGGGAGGTACAAGTTAAATGTCTGCAACGGTGTCCCTACCAATGTCTCTAATAGCATTAGAAGCTCACTCACCCACTTGACCATGGTGCTCTAACGGAGATATCCGGAGTTAATTGTTAACTATCTGCAATGTTGCTCCATGTTATCAACGATGAAATATTCGTCGGATTCCTTGACATACATACACAAACAAACGTAGGAATTTGATTAGAATTGACTTATAATAAGACTTACCCGAAACACAGCAGGAATGAACTGTCATTAACAGGAACACGAGGGTCAAAGCGTACTTGACTGAGGCCATCTTCTTCCGCTCTGATGAAGCAATAACCTTCACTTGATTTTGAGTTGGTGCGGGCACTGATATAAGAAACAGCAATACAAGTATTAGTGCATGAATTTTATGTGGCTAACGGCGGTGGATGGTTAATGTAGCCCACACAACATCCGTAGTGTCGGGGTGGGGATGGAAGTTAACCCCTGAGGGGGGGTGGTGTGTCACATCCAAAATTAGCTCTGGTGACGTCAAAACCTTTTTTTCTCTCCCATGCTTTATTGCGTTCAATAAAGCGTATCTGTCACACCCGTTATATCATCATCCGGATATCGCCCAGTACAACATTACATATATCTTTATATGTGTTTCACTGCTGTCGAAAATGTCGTGGTCTTATGTGGATGTACAGGGACTTCCATTTGTTCCCGATGGGGTGACGCTGGTGACGCATCTGGATTGATGCCATAGTAGACACTCGTCCACAAGAATTTGCTAGCAGGGTAGAACCGATCAGACACTCAATCACAAGAGTTGGTTAGCAGGGTCCAGCCAATCAGACGCTCACCCACCAGAGTTGTTAGCAGGGTCCAGCCGATCAGACACTCGCCCACAAGAGTTGTTAGCAGGGTCCAGCCGATCAGACACTCGCCCACAAGAGTTGTTAGCAGGGTCCAGCCGATCAGACGCTCGCCCACTAGAGTTGTTAGCAGGGTCCAGCCGATCAGACACTCGCCCACAAGAGTTGTTAGCAGGGTCCAGCCGATCAGACACTCGCCCACAAGAGTTGTTAGCAGGGTCCAGCCGATCAGACACTCGCCCACAAGAGTTGTTAGCAGGGTCCAGCCGATCAGACACTCGCCCACAAGAGTTGTTAGCAGGGTCCAGCCGATCAGACACTCGCCCACAAGAGTTGTTAGCAGGGTCCAGCCGATCAGACGCTCGCCCACAAGAGTTGTTAGCAGGGTCCAGCCGATCAGACGCTCACCCACCAGAGTTGTTAGCAGGGTCCAGCCGATCAGACACTCGCCCACAAGAGTTGTTAGCAGGGTCCAGCCGATCAGACACTCGCCCACAAGAGTTGTTAGCAGGGTCCAGCCGATCAGACGCTCGCCCACTAGAGTTGTTAGCAGGGTCCAGCCGATCAGACGCTCGCCCACTAGAGTTGTTAGCAGGGTCCAGCCGATCAGACACTCGCCCACAAGAGTTGTTAGCAGGGTCCAGCCGATCAGACACTCGCCCACAAGAGTTGTTAGCAGGGTCCAGCCGATCAGACGCTCGCCCACTAGAGTTGTTAGCAGGGTCCAGCCGATCAGACACTCGCCCACAAGAGTTGTTAGCAGGGTCCAGCCGATCAGACACTCGCCCACAAGAGTTGTTAGCAGGCTCCAGCCGATCAGACACTCGCCCACAAGAGTTGTTAGCAGGGTCCAGCCGATCAGACGCTCGCCCACAAGAGTTGTTAGCAGGGTCCAGCCGATCAGACGCTCACCCACCAGAGTTGTTAGCAGGGTCCAGCCGATCAGACGCTCGCCCACTAGAGTTGTTAGCAGGGTCCAGCCGATCAGACACTCGCCCACAAGAGTTGTTAGCAGGGTCCAGCCGATCAGACGCTCGCCCACTAGAGTTGGTTAGCAGGGTCCAGCCGATCAGACGCTCGCCCACTAGAGTTGTTAGCAGGGTCCAGCCGATCAGACGCTCGCCCACAAGAGTTGTTAGCAGGGTCCAGCCGATCAGACGCTCGCCCACAAGAGTTGTTAGCAGGGTCCAGCCAATCAGACGCTCGCCCACTAGAGTTGTTAGCAGGGTCCAGCCGATCAGACACTCGCCCACAAGAGTTGTTAGCAGGGTCCAGCCGATCAGACACTCGCCCAGAAGAGTTGTTAGCAGGGTCCAGCCGATCAGACACTCGCCCACAAGAGTTGTTAGCAGGGTCCAGCCGATCAGACACTCGCCCACAAGAGTTGTTAGCAGGGTCCAGCCGATCAGACGCTCGCCCACAAGAGTTGTTAGCAGGGTCCAGCCGATCAGACACTCGCCCACAAGAGTTGTTAGCAGGGTCCAGCCGATCAGACACTCGCCCACAAGAGTTGTTAGCAGGGTCCAGCCAATCAGACACTCGCCCACAAGAGTTGTTAGCAGGGTCCAGCCGATCAGACACTCGCCCACAAGAGTTGTTAGCAGGGTCCAGCCGATCAGACACTCGCCCACAAGAGTTGTTAGCAGGGTCCAGCCGATCAGACACTCGCCCACAACAGTTGGTTAGAAGGGTCCAGCCGATCAGACGCTCGCCCACAAGAGTTGTTAGCAGGGTCCAGCCGATCAGACGCTCGCCCACTAGAGTTGGTTAGCAGGGTCCAGCCGATCAGACGCTCGCCCACAAGAGTTGTTAGCAGGGTCCAGCCGATCAGACGCTCGCCAACTAGAGTTTTTAGCAGGGTCCAGCCAATCAGACGCTCGCCCACTAGAGTTGTTAGCAGGGTCCAGCCAATCAGACGCTCGCCCACAAGAGTTGGTTAGCAGGGTAGAACCGATCAGACACTCGTCACAACAGTTGGTTAGCAGGGTCCAGCCGATCAGACGCTCGCCCACAAGTGTTGGTTAGCAGGGTAGAACCGATCAGACACTCGTCACAACAGTTGGTTAGCAGGGTCCAGCCAATCAGACGCTCGCCCACAAGAGTTGGTTAGCAGGGTAGAACCGATCAGACACTCGTCACAACAGTTGGTTAGCAGGGTCCAGCCGATCAGACGCTCGCCCACAAGTGTTGGTTAGCAGGGTATAGCCAATCAGACACTCGCCCACCAGAGTTGGTTAGCAGGGTCCAGCCAATCAGACGCTCGCCCACTAGAGTTGGTTAGCAGGGTATAGCCAATCAGACGCTCGCCCACAAGAGTTGGTTAGCAGGGTAGAACCGATCAGACACTCGTCACAACAGTTGGTTAGCAGGGTATAGCCAATCAGACGCTCGCCCACAAGAGTTGGTTAGCAGGGTAGAACCGATCAGACACTCGTCACAACAGTTGGTTAGCAGGGTATAGCCAATCAGACACTCGCCCACCAGAGTTGGTTAGCAGGGTAGAGCCAATCAGACGCTCGCCCACTAGAGTTGGTTAGCAGGGTAGAGCCAATCAGACGCTCGCCCACTAGAGTTGGTTAGCAGGGTATAGCCAATCAGACGCTCGCCCACTAGAGTTGGTTAGCAGGGTCCAGCCGATCAGACGCTCGCCCACTAGAGTTGGTTAGCAGGGTCCAGCCGATCAGACGCTCGCCCACTAGAGTTGGTTAGCAGGGTAGAGCCGATCAGACGCTCGCCAACTAGAGTTTTTAGCAGGGTAGAGCCAATCAGACGCTCGCCCACAAGAGTTGGTTAGCAGGGTAGAACCGATCAGACGCTCGCCCACAAGAGTTGGTTAGCAGGGTGGAACCGATCCTCAGGCGTTAGTGGGTGTCCGGGGTCACTGTGCTTGTAAGATGGGAATAGTTACACACTGTGTGCCTGCGTGTGCCCACTGATGAACGTCCGGTGACATCTGTAAATGCTGATATGTATATAGCCATGAACACTCAATTTCAGTTGAATTTTCTTGCCAGTGAAGATCTGAAGGTTCTTGACAATTGTATTGTATCTGTGTGTATTTCCCCAAAACATGTACATGTCCTGCCATTGTTTATTGTTGGTCAAGGTTGAATCTACGCCTTTGATGATCGATCCTGACTTTCAAGACAAGATCGAAAAGATCTTTGATCTCACAAAACTTGTCTCCTGCTAATTTCAATAATAGTTGAAGCTTTACATTGTTATGTGAAGCCCATTTCTGGTGTCTCCCGCCGTGATATTGCTGGAATATTGCTAAAAGCGGCGTAAAACCATACTCACTCACTCACTCACTCACTTTACATCGTTAGAAACGGCAGCATCTGCAGTGTTGTGCACGACAGGGTCAGTGCTTTCATGTGTATTTGTGAAATTTTGCGGTGAACAACGTGAGAGAGTGGGTATGGGTTTACGCAACAATATTTTAGCAATATTCCATCAATTTCACACGGCAGGGGAATCGAACCCGGCTCATGACGGGCGACACTTTTTTTTTACCAGGTTACCCACCCGCCCAAACGGACATGATTAAGATATTTTGAAAGTTCATTTCCACGATTTGATCATAGCAATAGCGGCAAATTAGAGGCTTTCGATTAATTATATATTATACACCTTCACAATGCCTTGAGATAGACATGTACCAGTATTCGTGACGTTTCTTATGTGAGTGAGTGAGTTTGGCTTTACGCCGCTTTTAGCAATATTCCCGCAATATCACGGCGGGGGACACCAGAAATGGGCTTCTCACATTGAACTCATGTCGGCAATCGAACCCGGGTCTTCGGCATGACGAGCGAACGTTTTAACCACTAGGCTACCCGACCGCCTCCTTTTTTCTTATGTGAGTGAGTGAGTATGGTTTTACGCCGCTTTTAGCAATATTCCCGCAATATCACGGCGGGGACACCAGAAATGGGCTTCTCACATTGTACTCATGTCGGCAATCGAACCCGGGTCTTCGGCGTGACGAGCGAACGTTTTAACCACTAGGCTACCCGACCGCCTCCTTTTTTCTTATGTAATAGATTAAATACAATAATGCAGTATCCCGATTGAGCAATTTCTTGAAACCTGTTCATGGATTAAACACTCGGTGTAAGTGTTAATCCAATTATTAAGTATCTGCCTCATCTGTGATCTAATTAATGTGTTTACTCAAGAGTGAGTGAGTTGTGAGTGACAGTATTCCAGTTATATGACGACGTATCAGCTTAATGTGGGAGGGAAGCCCGAAGTGATGTAGGTATCCTACGCATTCCACTTCGGTGAAACTAACTAGCACGGGTATGATGCTGACAAACCTAGAAACATTATCTGGGCAAACCGAGATTCGAACACACAATCATAGGTTTCTGGCGTACCAAAAGGACTCAACTCTGCACAGCGAATTGCGGCGCCTTAGACGAAAAGGTGTACGCGAAAAGGTTAGCGTATCCTGCTCCACCGATGGCACCCTTCACAGACAAATGCAAACGCAAGTCAATTGTTCACCTGAAAAAACACGGGGACATATGGTACAAGTAAAAAAGGGAATTGCATCGGACATACCGGACAGTTTTATCTATAAGTCTTTTGTGGGCATATATGACAAAATATGATCACATTAAAAAAAGACATTACAACATGTTTTGAAGATATATCTTATTTATAATTGAATTTTGTGTTTTTACAACATCTTGGTACAACATCTTCACCTCCTAAATGGACCCATGAAGATCCAGGGTAGAATAGGTCTTCATCAACCCATGCTTGCCGAAAATGGCGACTGTGCTTGTCGTAAGAGGCGACTAGCGGAATCGGGTGGTCAGGCTCGCTGACTTGGTTGATGTATGTCATGGTATCCCAATTGCGTATATCGATGTTCCTGATGTCAATCACTGGATTGTCTGGTCCAGACTCGATTATTTACAGACCGCCATCATATAGCTGGAATATTGCTGAGTGAGGAATTAAACAACAAACAAAAACAAAACAAAAACCTCCTAAATGTCACCCCTCAAATAAAGGTGAGCTTCCGTACCTGCGTTACTCAGGCTTCTTTCGTGCACTTGCAAGTTTTGAACATGAACAATACATTACTAGCGCTACAATTAGAGGACATCCATTTGATTTCTGAATCGTTTGTGTTTAAAGTGAAAGTGCATAGATTGTTTGATGGTGCTCAATGCATAAACAGTTTGTTGGGGGAAGGGGGAGGGGGATTGTTGTCAAACAAATTAAATAAATGCTCCTTCAGTGAAAATGACTGATTACTCAAACTTTCAGCGAAACTTTGACTATGACTAAGTACCTGACACATATGTATTTTAATGTTGTTTGTATGTTTGTCTTCACCTACATCTACATTATAAGTAAGACATTTGGGCCAAGGACTGGTGTTCAAATATTAGAGAAACGCTTCGTTAGCTCTTAGATCAGTCTTTCTCGCACATTTTAGCCTTACCTATACATTTAGAATTGCTACTAGTCCATAACGTGCAAGTGTTCAAATTCTCAAAAGATGCACTTTCATGACGATTTCTAAATGTTTTCTTCATTTCTTAAATTATTTAGATCACTTTGGCCAAAAAGGCTCCCATAATACCCTGGCCTTAATGTTTTACACGTGAGGGTAGGATTACAAATACACATTGAACTGGATGACAGGAATACGATTGGTTGGTTGGTTTGTTTGTTGTTTAACGCCGCACTCAGCAATATTCCAGCTATATGACGGCGGTCTGTAAATAATCGAGTCTGGACCAGACAAGCCAGTGATTAATATCGTGTGCATCGATCCATGCAATTGGGATCAATGACATGCATCAAGCCTGACCACCCCATCCCGTTAGTCGCCTTTTACGACAAGCATGGGTTGCTGAAGATCTATTCTACCCCGGAATCTTCACGGGTAGACAGGAATAAGAGAACAATACATGAAACATCCACTTTATATAACCATTACATGTATGTTTATGATCTTCACATCTTATAGGGGAGGGTTCAGTCCGTGAAGCAGCCTGAAGATATCTGTATTCCCCTGTCCTTAAAGTACTGGCACCATAGTCGGAGAAGGATTAGGCTGCCTGCAAAACCGCTAGCTTGACCAGACCAAGGATTCAATGGTTCAGAAGAGTTCGCCATCATTCTTTTTGACCAAGGATTCAATCGTTCAGAAGAGTTCACCAGCATTCTTTTTGACCAAGGATTCAATCGTTCAGAAGTGTTCACCAGCATTCTTTTTGACCAAGGATTCAATCGTTCAGAAGTGTTCACCAGCATTCTTTTTGACCAAGGATTCAATCGTTCAGAAGAGTTCACCATCCATCTTTTGGACCAAGGATTCAATCGTTCAGAAGAGTTCACCATCATTCTTTTGGACCAAGGATTCAATCGTTCAGAAGAGTTCACCATCCATCTTTTTGAAAATCCTGGAAAAGTCAAGAAAACCATCGTCAATGAATCATGTGAATACTGACCACACTGATACATTACATATACCCAGGTAGAGGTTTTTTGTTTGTTTTTGGTTTGTTCTTTAACGCCGCACTTAGCAATATTCCAGCTATATGACGGCGGTCTGTAAATAATCGAGTGTGGACCAGACAATCCAGGGATTGATATCATGAGCATCGATCCACGCAATTGGGATCGATGACATGCATCAACCAAGTCAGCGAGCCTGACCACCTGATGCCGTTAGTCGCATTTTACGACAAGCATGGGTTGCTGAAGACCTATTCTACCCCGGAATCTTCACGGGTCCCAGGTAGAGGATTCTGGGAATGAAGCAGTAGGTGCTTAATCTCAATAAAATCAGATCTTTTACTCTGATACGATAACTCCCTGCTTGAAGATATAGGACACGTCAGGCAAACCCTGAGTGAACCTGGACGCCCAGTCTAAATGAATGATACGTCGGTTCTTTAACCACTCAGTTTCCTAACATGAATCGCTTCATTGGTTTGCAACTTCGGCTAGGACGTAATAAATATACAGACCACAAATATCTTGGCGCTCAGGAACAACAATTATCTTAACTATCTGCATCGGATCTAGTCGGTTTGGTTCGTTTCCTTTGACCAATGAAAGCCTGTGTGGGCGTGTCATGAAGAGGCATTTAGCCTTGAGTTCTTAATCATTAAGTGTCTATTTTGTCAGGAAAATCCGACCGTCTGATTGGTTAAAAATGTAGGTTGAGTTCTAAATACAGAAATCAGATATGCCGTTCTGACTGCTTCGCTCACTCGTTCGCAGAACTGGGAAGCCTCGAGGCTGATTTTGAAAATTCACCTGCCTCGACCTCCGATAGATGTGTCGTCAGAGTTTCACGTACCATGGCATTGTATAGGAGTAGAATATCTCATTTATATCAGATTGAAAAGGCACTGTGCATGACATAACTACATCTGCAGCCGGTCCGCCAGACCAATAGCTCGATAGTAATATCCAGTGTCTTGGATAACTAGCCAACAATGTAACAGACCATTTGCAACAATGTAACAAACCATTTGCAACAATGTCAAGTTCAAGCAGGCAATCATCATAGATATGAATTACCGTATTCGACGTAATAAGGGCCCAGAGCGCTCTCAAAATTAGAAATAGGGGGCTCTATTAGAATATTATTTTGTTGAATAAAACATGTGACATGTATATGTACGACGGGGTGCTAATTGGGAGTGTTCACGAGCCAATATATTAGCAAATATCGCCGTGGGCGCTTATTAGAGCGGGGCGCTTATTACGTCGAATACGGTATAGTGCTGTTTGAGCAACGATGTCTTATGATTATGAAAAGGATTTGTTTGCTTTTATTTGTATGAATACATCACAAACATCACAACTGCAATCGTTTCATTCAGATATATTTATTTGGATTCATTAAGATGCATTACTAACAATTCTTTCAAAGCTAAGGTAAACATACCCGTGAAACACGAGTTTTGGTTTGTCAGCACCATGCCTACACACGAAGTACATGTATGTCACGTGGGGTTTTGTTCCCCCTGAAGCTGTCGCGTCATGATTTAACTGAAATACTATCAAAGCGGAGTTGCACCAACTTTCTCGCCATATAACCGCCGAGACAACGAGTAGACCGTTACATCTGGACCGGATACCTCGAAAGGTTTGGGATGTACAAAATCTGTATTATGTTGTCTTAATTATATTATGCTGTGTTAATCCGGATATCCTAAGGAAGACGCTTCTCTCTCCCCGTGTACATAACCCTCCCTAAAGTCATTTTTCATGACCCTCTTCATGGCAACGAAACATCAAACGTCGTTTGCTATCTGGATATTGCGTTCGCTCGACACGTGTTGATTATCTTCATTGATATTCCGTGAATTTAGTTTCGAGGCTTAAAACCTCACTCACCAGATTGGCGCCGAAAAGGAGGTGTCTGAATTACAGGGGTTAAGTGAGTGAGTGTGTATGGTTTTACGCCGCTTTTAGCAATATTCCAGCAATATTACGGCGGGAAACACCAGAAATGGGCTTCACGCATTGTAACCATTTGGGGAATCGAACCCGAATCTTCGCCGTGACAAGCGAACCGCTTTACCCCACCTCCCCATAGGGGTTAAATACCTGCACGTAAGACAGTAGTATTGCTTTAAGACCCTTGAAGATCCGGGGTAGAATAGGTCTTCAGCAACCCATGCTTGGCGTAAAAAGCGAATATGCTTGTCCTAAGAGGCGACTAACGGGATCGGGTGGTCAGGCTTGCTGACTTGGCTGATGCATGTCATCGATCCCAACTGTCTGGTCCAGACTCGATTATTTAAAGACGGCCGTTGTATATCTGGAATATTGCTGAGTTCGGCGCTGAACAACAAACCCACCAACTATTGCTTAAAAACCGCAGTCAATTACTTGGCTACGATTTAAGTTTAAGTTACATTAACAAACATTCTTGGTGGTGTCCAGATTAAATGGTTAACAAGATGCACTCGTGCACTGTTGCTTTCTTAGATCAATGATTAAACATTTATCTACGGGATTCCTTGAAGGTTAAGATACATAAACACACATTCTAGATTTTGGAACATTAATAGGACTTACTTGAATAACGGTAGGCTTGAACGGTCATTACCAGGAACAGAAGGGTCAAAGTATACCTGACGGAGGCCATCGTCTTCTGCCCTTAGTAAGCAGTTGGCTTAACTTAATGAGAAGGTAATTTAGTTTGCTTATATATCTATATATATATATAAGGATACAGGAAGCCACGACCCTATAAACCACGATAAAATGAGTAGTGCGTGGATGGGTTTTTTTATTAGCCGAGGGCGTCGAATGATTGATTAAAGACGACACAACATCCGTGAAGAAAACTTGTGTGACAGGGTAGGGTGGGATGGGTGTTGGAGGGTTAACACTTAGAGGGAATTACAATGTAGATGTGCCACATCTAAATTATAGAGGTTATCACGCGAGTGTGTTTGGGGATTGTAAATATCCTTCATTAGGAATAAACATTGTATTTAGCGAGCCTTGGCGAGCTAAATACACAGTGTTTATTCCTAATACAGGATATTTACCATACATCGATGCTCATGATGTCAATCACTGGATTGCACGTGCATCCGATTCGTCACACATTCACAGAAGACGTTGGGCCGAGTCAATTTAAACAGTAAATCGTTGAAGTTTTTTAACTGTGAAAAGCAACTTTGTTGACGGCTAAGCCTCGTAAATGTTCCCTCCATTTGTCACACATTCAATTTTGCCAGTTGTCACACAGAGGATATTGTTAAAGCAATATGTACTGTTGTCGTGGAATACTCCAAATTACTTCTAATTAGGACGGTCTGACGGTGATAGATACAGAGCGAATTGTTTTATAGGCATTACTTAGAAGTTGACGGATGACAAAATGGAGACAAATTATGGATAAGAACTTCAAGTCGTGCTTGACAACGGTACAAGGATCTATACCGAAACGCCTCCTTTACAGAAGTCCATAAATTGTCTCTACTTTGTTACTGAGCGAGCTTTGACAGCCGGACGCATCCCTGACATTACGTCCGATTGTTGAATGTGAATAACATCCGACCACGTCCAGCTGTACCTCCATTTTGCTGCCATGCATCGAACAGCACGCCTGGCATGGTCAAGACACAGTCAGAGGTTCAAGTTTCATCTTGCCAGCAGTAAGGGCCGTCAGCATGTTTATCGACGTCAGTTTTTTATGGAACGTTACACTGACGCGTGCATGCTACAGGACCCATCTTGTGGTCATCGATGGCAATTTTACAGGTTATGGTACCCTGACGTCATCGCGTCCTCCAGTCCCATCACTATACGGGTGCCGGTGGGACAGGGTACTCTCACCTGTTCGCGAAAAACTTGAATCATCACCACTGTTTGATCGTGATTGATAAACATACGTTCATTATATAGTCGGAATCGTACAAGGGCCCTGCTTTTATCCGATATTTCTTATGATTATGGACATGGCTTCTGTAGCTTTTATTTACAGCAGGACAATACCCGCTTCCACCTGCACGTGTGGTCACAGGCTACATTGGACAACAGAGCACACACCCCCCCCCCCACACACACACACACACACACACACACACACACACACACACACACCATTCCTTGGGCTGCTGGCCTGTCGTCGCCAATGAAACATGGGTGGGTGAACTCAAACGTCGTTTACGCCAACTGCCAAATAAGCCGTTGATGTTGATCCGGCTGCGACAGGCTTTGGTCCAGATCTGAAGAGACATCCCACAAGCCTCCCTCAACCATCTTGTGTCGTCAGTGAGTCGCCGGTGTCAAGCTTGTGTCACTGCTATTTGTTTGTTTGTTGTTTAATGCCGCATTCAGCAATATTCCAGCTATATGACGGCGGTCTGTCACTGCTAATGGTGGTCATAGCCGATACTGACTTGTGAACTGACAATTGACCCCACGCCACTTTCAACTTGAGATGACGTTTACAGAAGACATGTGTGGATTCTGCCATTATCAATTCATGTTTCATGGACATCAATATATTGTTCTGTTTCAAGATCTTTCTTTGTTTGCGTTTAGTTATTATTTCCCACAGTCATCAGTGGTACACGGGAACTTTTTCTGCTAGTATATATTATGTACTTATTGATATAATGTTTTGTAATGTATGCTACTCAAAAGCACTCTCCTACCCAGAGTTCCATGCGGCCGGCAGCCAGCCAGCATAGTACCTCTGCCACAGGCCAGCGCCATGTGACGATTCGTCACATCTTTCACAGTCCATTCAAGATATTGCATATGCTTTTCATCCGTTTCATGTTTGACAAGTCTACACATTTTCATAAACAAATGTCAAAGAATGGTTAACTTTCATTGAGAAAGTATGCAAATACGTAAAAATCTACTTGTTTTTGCGTAGTTATCCTATGTTTACATTGGTTGTACGGCTCCACGTGCTGTCATCGAAGCCCAACGGAGAGCTAGCGACACGGTCACTTTGATGCATAAATATATATTGTCATGCAGCTCACTGTCGCAGTTGTAGTAGCATATCTATATAATTATGCAAAACAATATGTAAAGCGCCCCAAAATACTTGCATTAGTCCGTTCTATACTGATTTCTGAAAAAGCGCGTTTGTTTACAAACAAGAGAAAAGTCCGGTCACGTGATATGCAAATTAGCCTGTGGCAGTGGTGTTATGCTGAGTCACCACTGCGACGGAGTGTGACTCAAAAGAAGTTAAAGAACATAAAATAACGCTTATGATATTAAAAGTTGTAAAATTATCTTTATTATAGAAATATGTGTGTAACATACATTATGGTTTACATGTGAGGGGACGATTACAAATGTGAATTAAACTAAATGACACTGATAAGGGAAAATTGCATGGAACACCCTCATGCAGCCATGTTACATGTATCTTCATAAACTTCGTAGTTCAGTCAAAGCAGGATATGACATCTGTATTCACCTGTCGTCAAGTACTTGCACCAAATGCGGATGAAATATAGGCTGCCAGCTAATTTGGGTATATTACAACGATTACAGACCGCTTCCTTCCTTCCACTTACACATCCTGGATAGGTCCAGCGGAGATTTCAGGTAAAGCACACTGACGGTATCTGAAATCCAAGGTCCTGCAAGTACTGGCACCATATGCGGAGAAGAAAGAGGCTGCTGATTGGTCCCTTGGCTGACGAAGGAAACAGTTGTTTGGAAAACATTATCCTTCTTATTTCTCTTCCAAATCCTGTAGAGGTAAAAAGAATATATGGCGAATGATTCATGTAAACACGGACCACAACTTCAAAACGTTTTATGGAAGACAAATGGAGGACATTCCCAAATCTGACACATTAGTGACGATTATGTTTCTAGGTTTGTCAGCACCATACCCGTGCTCGTGGTTTTCACCGAAGTGGTAAACGTCTAAGACCTGCATCACTTCGGGCTTACCTCCCACATTAAGATGCCACGCCGTGATATCAATGGAATACTGTTAAAAGCGGCGTTAAACACTACTCACCCACTCACTCATAAACACATGCTCATTATATATTCAGAATCGTACAATGAACTCTGCTTTTAGCAGATATATTTTATGATTATGGAAAGGGCGAGTCGCTTATATTTAGTAGAACGCGATCAAGTACTTGTCGGGAATCTTTTAGGTTTAAGTTACATGAAAAAACATGTGAGTGGGTGTCCCGATCACACGGTTTACAAAATGCACACTAGACTATTATTTTGCTTCATTGGATGAATGATACAATATTTGTCTACAGGATTCCTTGACGTTTAAGATACATATATTGTAGGAATTTTAACATGGGTGGGCTTACCTGAATCACAGTAGGCTTGAGCGGCCATTAACAGGAACACAAGGGCCACAGCATTCATGACAGAGGCCATTTTCTTCTGTTCTTAGTATAAGCAGTTGGCTTTACTTAATGTGTTGTTTGCTTATATATAGGAAACCTCGACACTATGACCTCCAATAGAATTATTGGTGCGTTGATGCATTAGGTAACTGCTTGATGGGGGCAACCCCAAGGAGCAATTAGATGTGTCACAAATAAATTAATGACTTAATCTCGTGAACGTGAATCATCCATTGTAAAGCCACTTCAGCTATAACAAGATCGGGACATCGCCGAGTACAATCTGTCAGATATTATATCTGTATGTTTAAAATGTGTCAGTAATGGGGGTGACGGTGGTGCCTGATGCCCAAGTAGATGCTCACCCACACGCGTTGTTGCCCTCAGTCGTCACCAGGGTAGAGGCCACCCTGGTATATGTGCCTTTACGATAGGGATCGGATGGTAATAAGCATTGTAGTAAGTGTTATGCAGGCTGTGTTCAAAGGAAAAATATATTTCCAGTGAGGGACATTCTATAGAACATCCCTGGGACAGATAGACTTTCTGTAGAATATCCTTGGGACAGGGGGGCTTTTTGTGGAATGTCCTTGGGACGGGGTTGTCTGTAGAATATCTTTTTCAGTATTTTTTCCTTTTTAATATATATTTCAGCGAGTCCTCCAATGGCAATGAAGCATGGGCTGTGTATGCAACCTGTCTGTATCAAGGGATCCATAAGATAATTTATCATGAGCTAATAAATCTAAAAGGTGTATTAATATTAACATTTGAATAATATATAGGTGTATTAATATTAACATTTGAATAATATATATGTGTGTCAGAGATAGGTGTATATACTCTTGGAGCCAAAACGACCGGACATTTTCCTTCGTTAGCAGTAGGGCGGTCGGGTAGCCTAGTGGTTAAAGCGTTCGCTCGTCACGCCGAAGACCCGGGTTCGATTCCCGACATGGGTACAATGTGTGAAGCCCATTTCTGGTGTCCCCCGCCGTGATATTGCTGGAATATTGCTAAAAGCGGCGTAAAACCATACTCACTCACTCACTCGTTAGCAGTAGCTATCTTCGTAGCTTGTTATTAAACGAATGGTCAACTTTGCGTAACTGGCAGTTTTACATTACTGATTATTCAATATGAATAAGTAGGTCTACATACAAACAGGCTTACGTCGCGGCACAGAACTTTGTCGTAAGTAATAGCTTACTGTTCTCGTTCATCAGTGTCATTTATATAACACCTTGCGGTAAATGTTGGGCATTCCGTGATATATGTACAATATCTATCTATCTATACAGTAAAGTACGTCTATAACGAACACGCTTAGAACGAACTGGCGGAAATAACTGTTTTTTCCCAGCCATTTGTTTTATATATTTTGTATATATGTTTATAACGAATTGCGGTTATAACGAACTAAAATTAGTGGTCCCTTTGAGTTCGTTATAACCGTAGTTTACATGTTGTTATATTAAATGATACACAGAAACAAGTGAGTTTTGTTTTAGGCCGCCTCAATCTATTAAAATCAGATCTTAGCGCTCGCTACCGCTGAACAAAGCAGTACCGGTTGCGAGTAGCAAGATCTTGACAGTATTTCAAGATATATCAACTCTGCAAAATGCAGCGATGTGTGCAATTAGTACACACCTTACATAAGCTTTTTCTTCAGTTCTCATTGTATTGATAAGCACCAACAGGATGACTACAATACTTGGCTTTCTTTCACCTGTACTGTGTAAGAACTAACTGACGTTTTACTGATATAAGTATACATTGTCAGCGTAATACTTTACTGGAGACCCTTGAAGATCATGAGTAGAATAGTTCTTCAGCAACCCATACTGTAAATAGCCACTATGCTTGTCGTAAGAGGCGACTAACGGGATGGGGTCAGGCTCGCTGGATTGGTTGATGCATGTCATCGTATCCCAATTCAGTGGATCAATGCTCGTGATATCAATCACTGGATTGTCCGGTCCATACAACAAACAACAAACAACTTTACGGGGACGTTGATGATAATATCGACCACTGGACATGACTCAACTATTTACAGGCGTCGAGATATAGCGGAACGTATCTGCCCCGTTAAACAAACGTACGTAAACCTGTCGTCAGAGTTACCTGGACAAGTTTTGTTGACCTTTCCTGCTCAATATCCTTTTTCATGGATGCAGGGTCAATTTGCTCTATTGGATATTCGGGTGAGCCAGTCGTCGTCTTAGGTGCATAGTTGTATCCCTTGGGCACTTCACAAACCTATTTGTATGTTCAAATCCCGGTTTGCCCACCTTATGTTTCTAGGTTTGTCTGCACCAAACACATTGGTTTCACTAAACATAACTGGAATACTGTTCGGTTTAAACCCAATCACACATCAGTATTGGATCTTTTACTATCAGTCATACATCTCTCCATACTATCAGTCATACATTGTCCATAGGTGAACTTTCTTATCATTAAGCAAATCATTATTGAAGCAAACTATAAACAGCAGAATATATGGTTTCTGTGGTTTGAAAATGGATGTAAATGGGCAGTTCAAAATGTACATAAGGCTGCGCTATCATCTTGTGGACACTTTACACACTGTCATTTCTGTGGGAGTACAACAGAACCACCACCTTTGAACACAGTAAATATCTATAAGCCTTCTGTACCATACTAGATCGCAAATTCATGTGTAATATGTAATTTGTCATCCTTTCTTGGGCTTTACTTCTATCAAGCTGTCAGCATTGGCATAATGAACCTTACAGCAACAGAAAACAAAACAATTTGCTTTACTTCCGAAGTTTATACATTTTTTTTATATCTCACAGCACATATTCTGGGAATTCAAAGTTCACATCTTTGCCAGTCAACTTCTTGTAAACTGCTGTGAAAGTCTCCATCTGCAACAGAAAAATAGATCTTGGTCAAATATTATACACCACTGGTATAGAGATCAATAACATTTGCCACTCAGTGTTTCCTTTCATAAAAGCTATTGGAGCACTATGACTGTCTCAAGTCAAAGGTAAAGCAAAAGAGTCTATAAGCATAGCTGTATTGCTATGATCGCTTTGTCAAATGGAGTTCATGTATTACTAACAGGAAAGACTGTGTAGGAATTAACACTACAGCCAGCAGGTGTGAAATAGACAAGTCAGCATGATTCAGCCAGAAACAACTTAAAGTTGAGCAAGAATCAAAATACTGTCCAACCTTGCCAACTATTGGATATCTATGTTGTCTCCCAATCAAGACAGAGATTTAGGAACATGTACAACCATGGCATAATTATCAATCGCTATCATAATGATATGTAAACCAAAACTTTATGAGTAGCCGCCTTACCATTTAAAAATAATTTTTTCTTTGACCAGCATAGGTGGACAAAATATTGTGTCTCTGAAAATGACTGTTTTTGCCATTGTAATGAATGAACAGGATGAGTGACTGTTGTTTTATGCCAGTCAGCACTATTCAAGCAATACTAGAGTAGCCTGTAAACAATTCTGAGTCTGGACTAACACAATCCAATTTGGGTTTACATGAATAATGATCCACCCTGTGCCAGTATCAAGACACTAAACTGCCAGGTCCCCCATTGTAACTTCAATAAACCTCATCTTACAAACATCATTGTACTGGATACCTATTCTGTCCCCAAATCCCCACAGGGAGAAGGAGCTGAGGGAGGTTTACCTTGTGTTCAATGTTTGTCTGCTGGTTCTTGTCAAGGTGAACCTTGATGAGTCTGGAGCCATCCAGCTTGATCCGGATCCTCTTGCCGACAATCTCAGCAGGGAAGCAGAGATCCTCCAAGATACTGTCGTGTACTGCTGTCAGGGTACGGCTGAATACCAAGGGAGATAATCAAACAAACATATCCCGCATACAGGAAATTGTTGTTCATACTGACAACAGCAGCTGAACAGCAAAAATGATATCGATCACATCAAGCATATGGATGACCAACGGACTATCCACCAAGCAGAAAAATAGCAAAACTGAACAAATAGACTTGGATTAGAAATCGCAATTATATACTACTGAAGCAAGGTTATGACAAGGTTGCATTTGAGAGTTTATCTAACAGTGACACTTAAATTATGGTTATAAAGATTGATTTGTCAATATTGCTGATGAGATATATTCTTATATATTTAGCCACTTTTGTCAAATTAGAAGCACTATGCTTCATGGACTGGTTCCCATTTCAGTCTCAGTCTCAACGTAGTCTGTGCCATATGTGGATGGGCAATGTGCCAACTCCCTGCGCTTGGTCTAGAGTCTTTTCCAAATTTTCACTCATTGCAATTGAGAAAATTCCAGAAAATGTATGGATTTTCTAAGGCAATTCAAAATGTACTCGGATGCAAAACTATTTCTAGGTTGGTCATTATGATAGTAAACATGCTGGAAACCTTCAACCATGTGCTTTCAACTTATTGAACTCAAAAGCATCTCACCTCCTTGGTCGCTTCTGCTTCAGCTTTCCCTTATTCTTTCGGGTAGGCTTTGGCAATATCCTCCTCTGAAACAGGATTAGAGACATGAACTCTGATTCAAAGCATTTCTAAACTATGATAAACTGTAATATATACACCAAACACAGCCCTGTTTCAGTTAAACAGGACTTCAGTCAAGTCACTGCAATGAATATCCCAAAAAGTGAGCAAGTTAGTTGGGTTCACTACTGCTTTGAACAGAATAGTACTTGTCAGAAGAAATTCAAAGTGGCAATTTTCTAAGTGAGTGAGTGAGTTGTGTTTAACGCCGCTTTTAACAGTATTCCAGTTATAACGCGGTGTGTCAGCTTCATGTGGGAGGAAAGCCCGAACTGATGCAGGTCTCAGACGTTTACCACTTCGGTGAAACCCACGAGCACGGGTATGGTGCTGACAAACCTAGAAACATAATCGGGGCGAACCAGGATTCGAACCCACAAACATAGGTTTCTGGCATGCCCAAGGGACGCAACTCTTCACAGCGAATCCCGGCGCCTTAGACTACTGGGCCGGCAATTTTCTAAGATTCAAAGGGACAAGAAACATGTTAGATACACTTTTTGTGGAAAGCACAGATTCTTGTGCTGCACTCAGTCACATTCCAGATTACCATGGCAGACTATATATAGAAATGTCCTAACCATGCAAACACTATTTATAGGATGAGCAGGACCCACACCCTCTGAATGTGTTCATCAGCGGCATGGTCACACGATGTAACCCTCCAACCCAGGGATCCGGAAAATTTAAAATCCCAATCGGACATTTGCATTTAGGCCACGCCCCCTTCAAATAGCGTATTTTAGTACGACTTTTCACACACATTACAAGTTTACGTATTCATAATATGATGAATTATGAATTGTTTTAATTTAAATTGTTTAATTCATCGGACAATTAATAACAAGTAATATCATTTTTAGATTTACATGGAAAACATACGTTTGTTTCTTTTATAATAACGATCTGTTAACGTAGTGAACGGTCTAATTAATATTCATGAGTTATATTCATGAGTCTGCTCAAGTGTACGCGTTGTAACATTTGGATCGAAACTATTATCCCATATTTGGTTATCATGTGACCTCACTAGAATTTTTTTTTTTAAACTAAAGATTTTTTTAAAAACAAGACAGATAATTTAATCACAAATACAAAAATATCGTTGATAGCAATAGTTATTTGAATACTTTTTTCATCTGTACTTATTTATTGACCATAAAAAAATTGGATATCGATCGTCCGAGAAAGCAAAATGGCGGTCAATCAAGATTCAATATACGACTAGCTACTGAAAACAATAAAATCTGCAAATCCTCATTGTATGTCAACCAAGTGAAAGTCGTTAGCAACGACTTACAAAATGATCGTCCAGACTTTGATGGTTGGGCAGATCCGCTCGACTGATCTGCATCGGTCGACTGGCTGTCGTCACGCTTTCGCTTCTTGTTTGAGGTTACGTATCGTAGCATTGTGAGGATAATGAGGTACATCGATGATGCAAGGTATTAATGTATAGTTGTAAACACCTTTCACTCAAATTAACAAGATGTTCTCAGTAATTAATCCTCGATTAATCCGTGTCAACTCAGTTTATTGCCTATTACAGTGATTGACCGATTGGACTATCATGTAGGTACGATGTATTTACAGCAATCAAAACAAACAAAGCTTGTCAGCGTAGTTAATCTTCATTGTGTTGCAACTGCAGACAGAAACTGCCCAGTCCTAACTGTTGATCATGTCCGGTCAAAATTTAAGAATGTCCGGACAATACTTTTTAAAATGTCTGGTAAGCAATATTTTAAAACGGACATTTGAGATTCCCAATCGGACATGTCCGGCGCATATGACGGTTTCCGGACCCCTGCTCCAAACCACATTTCAAGTGTTTCTTGCAACAGGCATCAGGCCCTTAAGACGTACACTGACCAGCAACACAGGGAACAATTCAAAGAAAAGTAAATTATATGCTAAAAAGTCCATATCCCAATTTTCCGTAAACATTGACGATAGTTGAACAGTAAAGACAAACCTGGGCAATGAAAACAACATGTTTGCCACTGAACTTCTTCTCCAGCTCTCTGACAAGGCGGGTCTGGATCTTCTGGTACTGTCTCAGCTGCGGCACCGGCACAAAGATGATGATAGCCTTCTTGCCCTGGACATCTATTTCCTGGATGAATCAACATGGACAGATACATCAAACTCCAGTACATTCACAAAGCACATACAGGCAAATACAGCGAGTGTCAACACAATGAGATAAAAATAACTATGCAACAGTTTTAGACTTGGATTATGTAACATGACAAGCTGCCCTACCACCCTTCCACTAGTCATACCAATATGGATGGACAAGCGGACATGCTAATCTGGGGGTGTAAGTAATGAAGGCTTGCTATCAACTCTTTGCCGTGTGCTTGCGAAAGACCAAAACAATGTTGATATTGTCTTTAAGTGGAAAACTTAATTACCAAAATTGATTCGACAAGACACGTTACATGTTTTAAGGAATGAATTAGGACATGATATGATGTTGAAGGCCTCTACCTTGGCTCCAGTGATGAAGAGTTCCCTAAGTTGGGCCTTCAGGTCACTGTTCATCTCCAGCTCAAGCAGAGCCTGTTGTACAGAACAAGAAACAATTGGCAGTGTTAGAAACCAAGCATTTCCAACACAGAAAACATTCAAAGAAATCATTGAATCAAGTAGGATTCATATTTTCAGAATTTACTTTAAGTTTAATTTACGGAACAAAACACGATAAATCTGATTCTGTAGAAAGAAGAATATGTGTCAATGAAGGTTCAGAGGGGATTTTGCATGTATTAAATCCATGAAACAAATGGATGAATTTTAATAAATGCATCGGACACTGAATCATGGTCAACTACCAGTGATGAATGAACTTTCAAAACCTGTAAATATTACTGTATACAGCCTATGGGCAATAGTAATCTAATCTGTTAGCAATATAAAATATTGAATAAAAAAAATCAAAATCGACAACATACCTGAGAGATTGATGACTCAAAGTCATCAGGTTTCTCCCCTTGGGGTTTGATGATTTTAGCGCTAGCCGAATACATCTGAAAAACAACAAAAATATATCAATCACTTGAATAACTGTCCCAGGTAAGACTTACATGTGTCTTTGATCAAAACACCTAAACCTAAAATCTGAGTGAGTGAGTGAGCGAGCGAGCAAGTTTGGTTTAACGCCACTTTTAACAGTATTCCAGTTACAGTAAACTACGGTTATAACGAACACGCATATAACGAACTTACTATTTTGGTCCCGAACATTTGCTGTTGTTATGCTGTATATATGCTTATAACGAACTACGGATATAACGAACTAAAATTAGTAGTCCCTTTGAGTTCGTTATAACCGTACTTTACTGTATATCACTGCATGTCAGCTTAATGTGGGAGAAAAGCCCGACGTGATGCAGGTCTTAGACGTTTACCACTTTGGTGAAACCCACGAGCACATTATCGGGGTGAACCGGGATTCGAACCCACAATCATAGGTTTCTGGCGTGCCTAAGGGATGCAACTCTGCACAGCGAATTGCGGCACCTTAGACGACTGGGCCACCCGTGCCCCCCACCTAAAATATGAAATCAAGGACCCTCTTCTGTAAATTGATACATCACGGTATCATTAATTGTAAATAGTTAATAGTTATTTCCTTGAAAATGTTGAAATTAGATAATAAATAAGTGAGCAAATGTAGTTTAAAGCTGCAGTCAGTAATATTGAAGCAAATTCATAGCAGATTGTAAATGATCAACTGTGGGCAAGTCAAGACAGTACTGGTCAAACTGGTCAGGAAGAAAAATGAAGTGAAAATGATCATGGAAAAGTCAACATAGACACAAGAAATATCAAAATGTTCATGACTGACTTTTAGTTCTATATATTCAATACTTTTTGTATTTCAAATAATAAATAATTATGTTTCAAGTTGTTTATCTAGATTGAGAACCTTGCTAATCCATACAGCTTTTTTTGGCTTGTGGATTGCTTAGCACCTAAGAACCGTATACATATAAACACATATCAGTGACAGTGAGATCTATCTGCAGTAAACACAGAAGTAATGAGACCTGCATTGTGACCTCAATATGAACACGTTGCGCAGTCCAAATTGTAGTATGTGTTATGAGTGTGCTTTGGCACAACAAATGTACATGTTACACTGCTCAGCTACCAGTATTCTAAACACTGGTATGTGAGCAGTGTCAGTAGCCCAAGTAAATGTGCACAGAAGCAATCCTCGCATAAGAGTGGCAATGTCCCTATGGTCACCAGTATTGTGGGTGTGGCTGACAGGTGCGTAAATACATATTTCACAGGTACCCTGTACCCAAAAGCATACTGACAAAAATATTAGAATCATCCCAATGATAAAGAACACCTGATTTTCACAAATGCATCTGCACAATTTCAACGTATCTGTATCTATTTATTGTTTTATTACTAGATGCCACAAATATTAGCCAGAGCTAAGGTTGGAAAGTTAATTATCATATTGGAATTACTTGGCTTAAAGACAAGGTACTGCACTGTAGTAATGACTGTATAAAGTAGACTGCATTCTATCTACTGGTGTGCACATGACGTTTGTTTAACGCTTCTCTAAGCAATATTTCAGCTATATAAAAATCGGGTCTGTAAAAAATATTTGGACCAGACAATCCAGTGATTGACATCATGAGCATCAATCCACACAATTTGGATATGACATGCATCAACCAAGTCAGCTAGTCTGATCACCCTATCATGTTAGTCGCCACTTCCAACAAGCTTGGGTTACTGAAGGCCATTTCTAACCCAGATCTCCACAGGGATTAGATAATTCTTAAAGTGTGTTATGAAAGTGAGGATTGTTTTCATGTATGTGAAGTGAATGACAGTTGATGACACCATTCAATACATCAGATAAGGATTTGTAAAACACACTAATGATTTTATTATCAACTATGCAATAATTTCACATCATTGACATGGTGAGAACTAAACTCAAAAGCTTTACTTGGTAACAAAAATATGCCCTTGTAATGTTAACAATGGAGAAAACTGAACATTAGTACTTGTCTGCATGAATTTGTACTAGCTCCGAAAAAGTTAACTTATATAGTGTTTATACATTAAAACATGTCCTTTTCAATGTGGGTGCTTTTTAGATTTCTATAATACTTCTGACCCTTGGCAATTTTGACTTGCTGGCACTGTATATCCAGATATTTAGGGCCTGCAAACAAAACATCGCTAACTGGTGTATTTTCAGCGCATTTGAGACCTGTCATTGAAAACATTCCCGATTTGTTTCTAAAAAAATGAATTGGCAATGATTATTACTCTACATATGACTTTACCCAACTACATGTGGCCCACTTGAGTACTTAGCCCTTACAGATTTGACGCAAGTTGTTCTTTGCTCTTCCTAAACTAATGATAAACATGTGCAAAGGCATGAAGAGTTCGTCATAATCCACGGCATATCTCTCGCATAACGAAGCATCTACTTGATAATATCTACACAGTGGTTTTGACTTTAATTGTTGTATATGGCTGGACAATATAGTTCTAAAAAATCTCTTTATTTGTGGTTTATTTTGATAATATGTCTTGATGCCAACGATATGCACTAACCCTCGGCAATGGCGGCGACGGAAAAGGCCTGATTTTAGCAGGTGCGCAGTGAATGGGAGTTCCGCTTGACGAGTAATGTAGCATCAATATTAATGCTTTATTGTATGAAATAAAATTTCATTGACACAGAAATTGTACAATTATAACCAAGTTCTAAGGCCCTACATGATTTGTCACAAATACATTTACTCATACCGCATATAATCAAATAATATTTTCCATACCACATCATCGCTACATAGATCGATGTATATAAACCATTTTCCCTTAAAAAAATGATATATCTGTGCCATATGACATATATGTCATTTTTACATTTCATAATGTGTTAGTTCTCTCAAAATATCTCCAAAAATCAATATGGGAATCTAATATGTAAATGGTACAAAAATAATTCGCAGCAAAGAAAGTAAGTTGATAAGACAGCACCACGGGACAGAAGCTGTCTGCTACGAATGTCCTCGTGGACGCGAACTTTCGTTGTGGGCATAAACATCGCGACTAAAACTTACAATTTCCTTAGGAATAGTATGTTCTATGCTGTTAGAGTTGGTAGAAATCCAGGAATATACAGAACATGGTAATAGACGTTTTGTGACATGATTCAATAAGTCTGAAGTAGCCAAGTAAACTCGAACACAATATCGAAAGCAGGAAATATTTTAGGAAATACCGAAATTCGATCATTCATACGTCAGACGTTGGCTCAGAACGAGAAGGGTCTTGGGCCTACAAGATCAAACAACGGTAACAGTAGCTTTCGTTCCCTCCATGAAATATAATGTTTTGACACTTTCAGAAAAGTATGCAAATAAGTTACCTGTGCAAACTTTACCCCCTAGTGGGCTAGTGTGAAATGTATAGCGTAGGCGTTAGCTATATCAAGCACAGGTCAGCGTGCACTAGAAAGGGAAATGTGATACACTTCTTGGCGCCAAAGGAGAGAGGAAGGGAAAGGAACTACTGCACTCGGACTACATACATTTGTTGTGTATTGTTTGTATTACAGCTCGTAACTTTTGTTTGTTTGTTACAATTCCTTGCACGGGAATTTCAAGGGTGTGAAATATGGACAAGGCGAGATCGGTATAGGGGAGATAATCGGGATTTTTTTGATGACACTACATGTGCTTGGGTGTGGTTTCCTATTTTGGATACTAACAGTTGTGTTTGACAGAAACTTATGAGAATGTTATGATGTATTGTTATGAATATTGCTTACAGAACCCGTACCTTGGAAAATAAAGGTTCTCATGTGGATGTGTATGCGATGCCATCTGGGTACCTTTACTAATGACACATTTTAGTGTTAATTATGAACTGTCATAGGCTATCATCATGTTATATACATAAACTTAATAAAATCATGAATGTCAAATATAAAAAGAATTTGAAACTCTGCTGATGAATATATTATTTTAGAATTTACCAATGCCTCATAGTTTTGTTAGGATGCTCAATAGGTAATAGACCATGACCCAAACAAGATTGATAAAGAATTGAAATGATATATTCGAGACTACACAAACCAAATTGAATGAAAAATAATCATAAAATAGTTTGAAAAATATAAATTCTAAAATTGCGAACCTGCAGATGATGCACAGCTAAAAATTGGTCATTGCTATATACTTTTAGCATGTTTAGACTAAATTATTTTCATCCAAATACACATCACATTAGCATGATTTTCAAGATCATGATATTATATTATTAATAGAAATATTATGCATTAAGCAATTTAAAGAAGTAGAGGCAGATGTGAGGTTTTGTTGCAGGTATGGAACTGAGCCTTCTTTGTTCAACTATTGATAATACTTTTTTTGTATGTCTTTCATCGAACAGCTAGGCACACAGATTGCATAAAGTAAGTTGGAAAGGCAGCTGATGTATTTTTGTCAAATATTTCTGAACACATGTTACCCGTTAGCCTTGTGGTCACAGAGTGGACAAAGCAATCTTTGTGTAGCATTGATCATTCATGTTTCAGGTTGGAGTGTAAGGCGCAAGTATCTGAATTTCCCTGTGCAAGATACAAAAAATTTGCAACTGAGGATCTAGCCTGGGATTTTGTGAATTCAGGTGAGCAGAATTGGTAATCGAATTGCTTCATAAATTAAACTTAGATATTTTATTGAATGAGTGTTGTTCAACAGTGTTCTTTCATGCATAACGTAAAATCATTTGGTTTGTCAGCTTTGAAATGTATTATTTTCAGCACTAGAATACAAACTAGTGCACTCAAGAAAATACTAGTGTCCACTAGTAGTGCAGATATCAAATATTTGAAAAAAAACCACATGAAAATGTCCTAATGCCCTTTGTATTTGTCAAAAGCACTAGCCATGCTTCAGCTCTACCTAACAATAGGAGATAATTGAAATTGTTCTCAATGATTAGTGTTTACCTAATGATGCTGATCAAGTCATTATTATGTTGACAAATGTACTGAGTTTTTGTCAGTATGGACAATAAAAATCAGTTGTTTAGCATATATGTCCATACTTTAATTGGCATTCTAGGAGTTGATCTAATTAATCACAAATACTGGTATGGATGTAGCGGCTTGTTTTTTACATTTTATGGGATATTTTGGGCAGATTATTAAGCCAACATTTAAGGGACTGTCCAGCTTCAAAGTGTATTTACAGGATGGGATGTTTATGCATAAATTACAATAGGACTATGGCTTTGACTACAAAGGGAAGCCTGTTTGTACATACCCAGAAGCCATATCCTTTGGTAATCTAATGTGTACACACCACACCCTGTATATATATATATATACTCCTACCTGGACAGTGTCTCTTTTGTTTGACAAAGCACTAGTCTCTGGTTTCTGCACAGAAATGTTATATATCCTGTAAATAAAGAATTGTAATCTCTGTCATTGCTTTTTATTAACTCAACTGGTCTAAGACCAGGAAAACTATCACATCCATTGTCAGAATGTCCTTCTGTAGCTTCATTTTAGATCTTCACAGTTTTCAACCAACCCACTGACAAATGATACTGAAACTGGACATTTCATCTCACCACCAGTGTTTCATAAGATTGTGATTTGTTTGTTTTTTAATCCAAACTGCAGTCATTAGTGCATGTATTTGGTATAATAGGATTTTTTATTCTGCTATATTCATGTTTCTTATACACATGTATGTAGAGTAATTTTGTGAAACAAATGGCTTTGGGACATTTTCATGATATTATCAACTTTTGATAGGATATCTTTATTATCATCACCATATGACCCTTAGGACATTTAGGATGACAATCAGTCAATGTCCTGGGAAATGAACCCATCTGAAATCCTGATGTGTATATGTTATTATAAATTGGAAAGTTTCCAAATCATGACATGTCACACAAGGTCTTTTTTATTTATTTTTTGTCTTTGTTTGTAAAATGATCCAAGCTAGAATGCTTTCATTACTTCCTTCTTCCATTTTTTCCCAGGTGAAAGTACCTTCTCTCATCACATTTTTCCTGTACCAAGTATGGCAGACTCAACAGCTTCTTTGAATGCAGTTCGCAAAACAGCCAAGAAATTACAGAGTCAGCATGAAGTGATGTTATCAACCTATGGGACACTGTGTGAGCAGATTGATTCCCTAGAAGAAGCACAAGGGGGGTCCAGCCTTAAGCGATCCAGCTCTGATGGACCATCGGACAAGGGAAGCAAGAAACTCAAAACTGAAGACTCCTCTGATGCTACCGGCTGGTCTGGTGGGTGCAGTTTGGTTCATTTGTAAATTTGAAACATGACATAATTTGTTTCTTACCTTTGGACATGTGAGTCTCTAGTGTTTCTATCTTTATCATGTTGACACTAATCTGAAGACCGAGTACATTCTGTTCGATCTTTGCTGATAAATGTCATATGATAACACTGAAACAGACCATAAATGATGCTAAGTTTGGCCTAGTGAACTCAAATGATTTTGGCACATACTGTTAATACACTGTTTGAAATTGAGAGAAAGTCACTTTGTCAATGTCATAGACTAAATGTTCAAATTGATCAAGTTAGTGGGTGCTTAACTTCAAATACATGTAGTATGGCTAAAATCATCAGAGATTCCAGGAGCCTTCTGAATTTCTTACACTGTTCAGCTTGTGTGGGTAGGTGCTATTGGTAAAGTAAACTCTTTCTACTGAGTTGTAGAGAATACACATTATTTTTATGTTATTTTGCATAAGCTACTTCCGCATTCTTTGCACATTTTACAACACTAATTTGCGGTGAGGATGGGTACTGAACATGGATAAAATTTGTCTACATTGCCGTCGTACTTAGACCATGGGCCACTGCTGATCCTCACAACCATTTGGTGTGATTGCCGTGGCTGACTCTGCTGAGCGATCATTGTCTCAATATCACTCCCCTTCTACAAGTTAATCGGATTGTCGAAAAGTCGGGATCCTTCCCTTTCCTACAACTCCAACCATCAGCGACAAGACTTTCAGCGTTTGTCCCCGGACCACCTTCAGCACAGCGAATACAAGGATCGTCCACACAGCTGGGATTGATACCCCACACATCTGGATCCATATCATCATATGTTCGATTACCATATGTTCGATTTTAACCGGTTGATCGACTCCCTGAACTTCCAAATCAGAGCGACACACATTCCTGGAATCAACTGTGTCATAGCTGACTCTCTCTCCCAACCAGACCAACCCTCTCCAACGGAATAGCATCTCCACCTGACAAATTGTCCAGTGGATTTGCCAACTTTACACAAGCCAAGACATCAACCTCTCTGCAACCGGGTTCAACGCTCAGCCATCTTGGTCATGTCACTCTGGCCATGTCGTGGAAGAACCTAATGTCTAAACCTTTACCCAACCCTCATTCCACCTCAGGTAATTCAGAAGGCCAACCACCGCTTTTATAGCTGGTATAGATGGCAGAAAAAAAGTCACACCGTCTGCCTCTGCAGGACGATCTTCTGCTCCAGCCTCACTCTCACCTACTGCATCCATCACCTGAAACCCTCCCATCTTTGTGTTTGGCACACCTCCAGAAGTCCCTTGTCGCCAAAGGGTATTTGTCTATGCAAAGAGAGTAGCCAAGACTATCACTGAGGCTCACCGTTCCCCCACTAAAGCCTTTAACGACTATTAGTGGAAAGCGTTCAAAGCCTACTGTTGTGCTTGTGACGTCTTCTAGATCTCAACAGGTTCGGAGTATCTGCATCATCAATCGGCGCTCTACTCTGAAGCTTCAAAATTCTACTTTGGCTACTTATCTCACTGCAATCAACTCTGTCATTGTCACTACGACCAGATGAAAGATCACCACAGTCCTTAAATCAAGCCCTGATTTGCTAGGAAAGGACTTTAAGCTGATCCCCCCTAAGACAGTATTACTCCTGGCCCCTGCCACTGCTGCTAGAGTCAGTGAAATCCATGCTCTCATCATTAACATGGTCAAGTTTGAGAGAATACAGAATGGGAAGGTCTTTCTGTGCCTTCGCTGGGACTGTATCGCGAAGAATAAGCTTGCGGGACACCCAGACCACTCATTTGCATCCATCCTGAACCCAGATTACCTTGAAGTCACAACCTTATGCCTGGTTAGAGAGTATCTACCTTGAGGCTAAATGGCCACTTCGGCTCGCCCGTAAGAGACTCTTCATCCCCACGTCAACAGCGGCCACCACTGAAGCCCCCTGTACTACAGTTTGCTTTTGGCTTTATTCGACTATCCTGCAGGCCTACGCCTTCGCTGGATTGCCACTGCCTGTGACATCAAATCCTCATGAGACTAGAGCCATCGCCTCTACCATGGCCTGACACAGGAATTGCACCCTGTCTGTCATCATGGAGGGTTGTTTTGGGAAATCTGATACTGTCTTCACTTCCCGCTATCTCTGTGACATCTCCATCACCAACATGCAGGGCCTCCACCAGTTTGGTTCGTTGGTCCTGGCGCAACAATTTATGACCGCACACTAGGCCAGATAGACGATACTGGTATTGGTGCCTGCTATCCGGTACTCTGTATCCTGTATATACAGTATAAATATTAGAATTGTCGCTCCTGTGTTTATTGTCTTAATAATTTTGGTTCCTAAACTGAGTACCCAGTGGAGGTCGAGCATCCTCGTCTGTAGAGACTCCGGTAGAATTTGCCCAAGGCGTGACCATTTTGGCGGTGTCCCATTCCCTTACCCACTCACCTCTGCTTAAAGAATGTGATGTTTTGATATGGGTTTGAAGATCCTCTTGTGGATGTTGTCGATCCTTCCTCTTCTCGCATCTTAACATGCTTCAATCCCGCAGGCATGGTTGATAGCTTTGAAGAAGCGGTAAAGGAGATACCAAGCTGCCCCACCCTATTGGCCGTCGGGGATAGTGGTGTTATCTGTGATGTAGAACCGATTTCCTGGAGACCCCTTCCAGAGCACTTATAAGTCATACGCTGAATTGAATCCTATCCAAGCAATTCTGTCGTTCTTTTAACGATATCCTACTTGAAAACATGTAACACGTCTTCTATCCAATTTCAGGTTGTTACGTCTGATTAAAATAAAGGGGCTATATCACCTGTTAAGGTGTTTTTACCAGCTCACGAGTTTGTGTCTTATGACACTCGGCAGTGTTATAGATTCTCTTATTGGTATATCTGTTTAACACCGGCTACCTCATGTCTGTCTCACGGTTGTAGTCTCTACAGGGTAGGGTATCTGTGCCCCACAGTCCAACTGTGGGATTAATGCATTTATAAGATGGGATAAGTGTTAAAACTTGTAAATTTTACATTAAATTGTATATTTATATAGTTAGCCTATTTCACATGCTATATGCCCGCCCGACCATTACCCACATAACAGCTCCTCTTGCCTGTCGGCTCTAAGAAAGAGAATGGTGTGGCAGGGGTAATCAGGTGATCAGATCGTGTAAGGTCAAAATGTACAGGATTACAGGGGGCGGTCGGGTAGCCTAGTGGTTAAAGGGTTCGATTCCCGACATGGGTACAATGTGTGAAGCCCATTTCTGGTGTCCCCCGCCCTGATGTTGCTGGAATATTGCTAAAAGCGGCTTAAAACCATACTCACTCACACTCACTCACAGGATTACAGTGCGTGACCCGTTTGTTGTGGTAGTGACTATGGTGTTCTGGGATGGGTTTTTTTAAGCTGGAAAATTTGTTCAATGCATTGTGTGAGATAGGATGTGTATATAAATAGAATATATACTCGGACCCGTGGTACTGCGGCTTTCATCGTATCTCGGCATTTGTGGTTTCTGGTAGTTCATGCGGGACACATATCCTAGCAGCCATTTACTAATGCAAATTAGTAACCAGGAAGTGCTTGTTACATAAATAATTTCAATTTCTGCAGAATGTTCCGTCTACAGTAAGGATTTATTAACATGTTGATACTTACTTCCGACATCTTTTTAATATTGCCTTAGCCCCATATATCTATGGACTATGATATAACACACAGTTTACCAAGTGAATGCAAGGCCCGGTTTTCACTTGGCGCGACTTATGTAAATAATGAACTTTTATCGGTAAAATATGCATTGTTAGATAAAATAAATGACATCTGATATAGAGAACATGAATATTCCATAAAGGTTAGTGAGTGTGTTTTGTTCCGTGTAGCGTACATGACAAGTACCGCGATACCCTGAGGTTGCCGGCTTAAATTTAGTGTAAAATTTATATTTCAGTGAATATTAAATATAGTTTTCTCCATAAACCAGGTACTCCATTCACCGACTCCAGTGCTCCCTCAGTCTACACTGACGGGGCATGTTTCAACAATGGAAAGAAAGGAGCAGTGGCTGGGATAGGGGTTTTCTGGGGCCCGGGACACAAGAAGTAAGTCCACAATAACTGTTGAGTGTGTGGATGGTTTTCATACAATCCTGGGACCCGTGAAGATTCCGGGGTAGAATAGGTTTTCAGCAACCCATACTTGCCGTAAAAGGCAACTATGCTTGTCGTAAAAGGCGACTACCGGGATCAGGTGGTCAGGCTCGCTGACTTGGTTGATACATGTCATCGATCCCAATTGCATGGATCGATGCTCATGATGTCAATCACTGGATTGTCTGGTCCAGACTCAATTATTTTACAGACCGCCGTCATATAGCTGGAATATTGCTGAGTGCGGCGTTAAACAACAAACAAACAAACAAACAAACAAACAATCATGCAATCCTGAAAACAGGAAGTGTTATTGCTTGAGTTTGTACTAATAGTTATAGGTAGCAAGATATCAGATAACATATTCTGTGAGGTATTTTTGTTTGTGGTGCAGAATAAACAGGTTGTAACATGACAAGTGGTGTAAAACTTTACCTGGCCGATGAAGTCACCACAAATAACATGTCTTCCATTAGCCATGGACTGTGTGCATGAATTTCTCCTAAGCTATCAAAATGACTCTGTGTTTGAATTTTTGTCGCACAATATGCAATTATCATGCAACAACAAAACTAACTACTTAAATATCAACTAATATTGTTGAAAAATAAAAGGAAACAGATATACTGACATGTCTGTTATATATGGTATACTCTACTGGCATATTTACAGTATACTTGTGTCCTGTTTTTCCAGTAACTGTTCTGAAAGGTTGGGTGGCAGACCAACAAACAACAGAGCTGAGATACATGTGAGTACAGACAGTCATACTGTACAGATAATATTCCAATACACTTTCAAACAACAAATAGACGTTACTCCGTTACGTATAAAGAATATCTGATGGCAGAAGGCACTTTTGACTGTTGTCTGTTTTTTCAGTTCAGTCCATTGTAATCAGCTACAGTCTAGTGTACCTTTAAAAGTTAAACATAGAGTGAAAGTCAGAATTGTTATTTGTTATACCTCTATTAAGTATCTTGCTATTCCATTGATTAATCTGTACCAAGTGATGAAACAATCCATTTCAATGTGGACATTGAAATCATGGGACTACACTGACCTTGAATATTGACTCTTCACATGATCAGTATTGACCTGTCATGTGATGAATATTGACTCGTCTTCTAGCAAACAAGATGGTGTCTGGTACGAACGTTTCACAGTTCGCAGCTAAGTTACTGTAATGAAATGGAGAACGGTTTAGAGACTTCATAAACTTCAAACTAATTTCAGTGTAATAAAACAAATGATTACTATTGACAAGGTCAATATCCGAAAACAAGGACCCTCTTACCTGACCCCTCCAGCCGTCTGACCAGGCCCCCTCAGGGGTCGGGTCATGGAGTCCTTGTTTTCGCATATTGACCTCGTCAAGAGTAATTATTTGTATGATATGTTTCAAGAACTGTTAGGCCCTGGAAATAATGTTTTCCTGAAGAAATGTTTTGAGATTCACTCTAGAAGTGTTCCATTTATTTTGTCTGTATCGCCCCGATTATGTTTCTAGGTTTGTCAGCACCATGCCCGTGCTGATGGGTTTCACCGAACTGGTAAACATCTAAGACCTGCATCACTTCGAGCTTTCCTCCCACATTAAGCTGACACGCCGCTATATAACTGGAATACTGTTAAAAGCGGCGTTAAATCCAACTCACTCACTCACTTTTTTATCTGTAGTTATGTATTGAGTAACTCCTAGTTGCACTTCTGTGCAGGATGAAAGCAATATGTGACTTACTGAAATGTTGTGTTCAGGCTGCAGTGAAGGCTGTGAAGCAGGCCAAATCCATGGGACACAAGAACCTGGTGATTAACACGGACAGTGAATTCCTTATCAACTGTGAGTTATTGTCCAGTTTATTTGCATATTATTTAACTGAACCAGAAATCATTTATTTAACTTTAGGGTTTGAGTTTGTGTTTGTTCTTGAACTTCAGGACATGTTTACAGTTTTATTTTTTTTATTAAGGAACATCAGGTCCTAGATAAATTCCGTAAAGAAAATATCATTGAAAGGCTCGTTTTTTTCCTGAAATATTAGTTGATTTAAATGTATCATTAATGTTAATAATGTTGGAGAACCATGTAGAGGCGACCACCTCCGTGGCCTAATGGTAGAGCGTCCTCCCGGAGAGCTGAAGGTCTGTGGTTCGATCCCCGACCACGTCATACAAAAAGACATTAAAAGATGGTACTTGTTGTTACCCTGTCTGGCACTCGGCATTAAGGGGCTAAAACAAGGACTGGTCGGCTCGGAGTCAGTATACTGTGTCTAAATGGGGTATTCATGTTAAACTGCGGCATCGTATCTCAGTGAGCTAGCACTATATATCGGCATCAGTCCGGACTAGTACAAGCAGCAACACACATACATACACGTGCATGCACATCGCTATATAAGTGCAATAATCTTGGACACGACGTTAAACCCCATTTCACCTCACCTCAGGGGCGGTCGGGTAGCCTAGTGGTTAAAGCGTTAGCTCGTCACGCCGAAGACCCGGGTTCGATTCCCGACATGGGTACAATGTGTGAAGCCCATTTCTGGTGTCCCCCGCTGTGATATTGCTGGAATATTGCTAAAAGCGGCGTAAAACCTCACTCACTCACTCACTCACTCACCTCACCTCACCTCACCTCACCTCACCTCACCTCACCTCACCTCACCCCATGTAGAAGCTGTTGTGTTTCTAGTTTTTAATGACTGGGTTTCATGGTATACAGATTTACAACTTATACACACAATACTTTTGTTATTCTATTCAATGTTGGTTTAGAATATGATATCTAAGGAAGTCTTACATTTAAAAGATAATCTAACATGCTTATGATTTGCAAGATAGCTAAGACCGTGTAGAGAAGATATTTGCAGTGTTAGCCAGTGCATGTTGATGTGCAGGTATCACCAAGTGGATAAAGGGATGGAAGAAGAAGGGGTGGAAGACCTCAGCTGGGTCGGATGTAGCCAATAAGGAGGACATCCAGACCCTGGACGAAGCCCTTCAAGGACTGAATGTCAAATGGGTGAGCAACAAGGCAACTCGTTTAGAATCTCTGCACAAAATCTTCTACACAAGCATGATATGGATATAATTAGAACAGTAGAGCAAATAATACTTTATTTTTTATTGTTATTTCTTATTAGCTGTGGCCCAGGAGAAACGATTGTGTTTGTTTGTTTGTTGTTTAACGCCACACTCAGCAATATTCCAGCTATATGAGGGCGGTCTGTAAAATAATCGAGTCTGGACCAGACAATCCAGTGATCGACATCATGAGCATCAACCAAGTCAGCGAGCCTGACCACCCGATCCTGTTAACGATTGTGTCATGTGTAAGGGTCGGATAATGAGAGTTGTTGCCTATTACTATTATTATATTATACATTTATATTCTGCACTTATCCAGGTACTGGTATGTGCTCAAATGCGGTTTATTTGTTCCCTGACCAGTGGGTCCATATGCATTCCAGTTTTCTTTCTGAACTCCCTGGGGAGTATACAACCAAAGCTGCTTTTAGGCGCTGTAGAGTTTTTACATCCACCTCACCTATCGGGTTCCCATTGCACAGATCGATGCTCATGATGTCAATTACTGGATTGTCTGGTCCAGACTCAATTATTTACAGACCGCTGTCATAAAGCTGAAATATTGCTGAGTACAGCGTTAAACAACAAACAAACAAACATTCCCTGCCGGGTGAACAGAGTCACTTGCCCAGGGTGACACCTCACGTTTTGACACTTGTGTTTCGGGTGTATGAACGTATAAGTGTTTCCATCTGATCATCTACCACCGGATGAGTGGGTTCTTTTGAGTGCACAGGGTGAATATACTTTACATTAGGGTAAGTGACAACAATGTGAAGACAAGTAAACATTGTTGGTCCATAGGCTGAATAGCAACCCAGGCACTTCTAGGATACGATCTCAGCACCTGGTGCTATCTAGCCTGGCCCTTTAGACCGCTTGCCCACTCCGAACCATTATAAAACCAAATTCTCAGGAATAATGTATGTTTTTTTGGTACAAACAAACTTTGACATAACTGATTTTGTTGATTCCTTTACAGCTTGGTATTGTTGTTCGGTTTAGTGAAGTAAATGAGTTCATAGTCACTGACATATCAGCAATGATGAGATCATTTTAGTTTTACTAAATAAAAGAGAAACATTTTCTCTGGTTAGACATTTTAACGGCTCACACCAGTTATGGGCAGCTCTTTTCTAGAATGTTCAATGAACCACTGACATATAAGTTGATTGTATTGACAACAAGGAAGAGATTTCATTTCAAGGATTGAATGAATGCTATAAACTTCTATACTTCGTTACAGATGCATGTTCGTGGACATCAAGGTATCCCTGGAAATGAGGCCGCAGACAAACTTGCCAATGAGGGAGCCAGGAAACCCTCTGTTGACTAGCTGAAAACACATGCAGACAAAATGTAGCCGAACACTATGAGTACTTGTATTCAAATGAGAATGTGGTGATTGGTATCTAAGCTTTCTACAGCTTACAAGTTATTGTACTTCTTTCTATATGATATGTCATCTGTAGGTAAAGTAGCATATAGGTATTGTAGGCTGCATGTGTTTGTTTGCATTTATTTTGATATGGATCCTTGATGCTTTTGCATGAAATATATATACTACTCAATTAAAAGTTAAGGATCGGCCAATTATTTCATATTACAATAGTTTTAATCTGTCATAGCATTACAGATTAACTATAGCAATATGAAAGAATCGGGTGGTCCTCAACTTTTTTTTAGTAGTATAGGTCATTTATTGTTATCAGCTTTCTCATTAAATCATACACAACTATCATGATATCATAGCTAGTTACTACTGCAGAACCTGGCTGGTTGATTGCAAACACTAATATCAGTATGCCAAAGATTATTCTTGCACAGGTGTTATGAGAAATTTGGATAACTTTTATGGATGTTATTCCCTTAACGCAGGTGGTTGGTAGCCTTGCAGCAAGTACACCAGTTACTCTGAGGCGAGAACAAACAGATAATAAACCCTGTATTACTCTACCACTGATATGATTTTGACCAACGATGCATGAATCTCCAGAGTGTTCTACTGGTCATAATGGTTATATAAATGATTTGCATGGTCATATAGACATGTAATTTGTTATAGAGATTATATACTAGTTTATGTTTATGTTTATGTTTTATTGGAGTTGTACTTATTTACTTCATTCACAAATTATGAGTTGAAGTCCCTGTGTCTGTTAATCCTGTTTTAGGTTCGTAGACATTAACTTACTTGTAAACAGAGTTAAGAACTTGCATTCCATTCCCGTACTACTGTGTTGAAGCAATTCTGTTTTGCATAGGAAGATGCATTTGTAGATGTGCCTTACCTTAACAACTTTTTCTTGCTAATTTTGTCAACAAGCAGGATAACTTACACGATCATCATGTTTTGTTCATTGTTACTCTCCAAATTAGGCAATATTCCAGTGATAGGATGGTGACATCAAAGTAAATGAGTCTGGACTATTACAGTGCTTGACATCATGAGCATTGACTTAAGCTGAATAATTTTTACATATTTTAAGCCATCAAGACATGAACTAAGTAAGATTTACTCTGTTCTAAGTTCATTTTGTCTACCCCGCAGTGATGTAACTGCAAGATTAATAGCTGCCTAAAATTCTACTCACTTTGAGAGATACCGTATTCGACGTAATAAGCCCCCAGGGCGCTCTCAAAATTAGAATATAACTTTGGTGAGAGAAAAAACAGTGTTGAAAGATCGTAAATTTCATGGTTTTTGCTGACAGCCTGAAATGATACAAAAGAAAAATCTGTGCATATTATACACGACAGATATATTTTTCAGAAGTTAATTGCCCATAATTAAGAGTGCATATTATACACGAATACATAAGTCTTGTGTACATTGATCAATGGGAAGGGATGCTAATTGGGATTGTTCACTAGCCAATATATTAGCAAATATAGCCGTGGGCGCTTATTAGAGCAGGGCGTTTATTACGTCGAATACGGTAATAACAATGCTTCTTTTCTTTCAACAAAGTTTATTATGTCAAGGAAAGGCATATCTGCATTGTCTGGAGATTCCTATGTACTGACATGACTGCCTTGCTTACTGTGCTCTGCTTATTATGTACAGTACATATTGAATTGTGTTCAATATACATCCTGTCATGAACTGACATGGACATTGTTGCCTTTACTACTTTCAGCTCAAAATTGGGAAAAACTTATCAAAGAATCATTACTTTAATCAGCTTTTTGAAGCACTGGTAATATATTGCAATACACTTTTGTGCACTGAATACTCACCATCGCATGTTATGATGATGTATCACGCGGATGAATGAAAGATATTTTGAACTCATGTTAGATTATTTTATTGCATTTATTTGTGAGGTAAGAATAAAACATTGTTTCTGATTTGAAAAAAGCATTAATGTGGATTAATGAGATATCTTTCCCCACTATTTAGGGCCTTCCCTTGTCACAATGCCAAACTTTGCCGATAGGTTACAAGACATTTATCATTTTGTTTTACATAATTGACCAAGAACAAATTGCACAAAAAAAACCAATTCTTTTGTCCTAGAATGAAATGGACTACCCAGAAAAGGATCTTCCAGGACTCCTGTTAACCTAGTCACATTAACCTGATCACATGGCGAAACCCTGCATTTAATGTCATGTTTATGGACACACAACGTTGCCTTACAAGTCATAGTTTGAATTTGCTTTGTTATGTCATATGGTTTGTTTTCATGTAGAAATAGTACAACTTCTTGAATAAACATTTTGACAAATACTGTTTTTTGCTTTATGGTGAAACTGTTTCTCATTATCGTTTAGTCAACAGGCATTTCAAATGGGCAGATTTCTTGGAGGATGTATTTTGAAAGCTCTGTTTCTTTGTTCAAGACGTATAGAAACATCCAAAGTTTGACATTAAGTGTAATCTTAGCATGTCCTTATGCCCTACAGACTAGTGGGTTTGAATCCCAGGTTCACCCTGATGATTCCGGTTTGTCACAACCATAGTCATGCTTGTTGGTCTGACTAAAGTGGTCTAAGACCTACATTTCAGGATTTTCTCAAACATTATGTGGGGCGGTCGGATAGCCAAGTGGTTAAAGCGTTCGTTCGTCACTCCGAAGACCTGGGTTCAAGTCCCGACATGGATACAATGTGTGAAGCCCATTTCTGGTGTCCCCCACTGTGATATTGCTCGAATATTGCTAAAAGTGACGTATAACCATACTCACTCACTCAAACATTATGCAGCTCACTCACTTTACTAAGAGGTGTTATTGATTCATAAAATCACAGTTCTTGCAAGTTTTTATCAAGTCATTCCAATAACATTGTACCTTAGTCTATCAGTTGACAGCTGATGTATGTACTTACTGATTACCCTAATTAGAGGGGCATAAATACATTACCTATTACTGAACATGGGCAGAAAACAGTAGACTAATTTCTTCATAAATCTGTTTACAGTGTAACATTACCAAACAAATACCTGCTTATATATATATTGGAAACCTAATATTTAATCAGCACTCATAACGCTTTTATCAAATGACTTCCAAATAGGAGGAATATTTATGAGAAGGCCTACGTTTCCTGATGTCAAATGATCAACCATATCTTGAGTGACCAGTTCCTTTTCACATTTTGCAAACAGACCGCATGACATCGCTTCCAAGATTATAATGCACTACATACGCAAAGACAATCTAGGTTTAAGCCAAATGACAGTCCCATTAATTTTGAAGACATTCAAACAAATCTGCTTGCTCAAGTTTACAATGTATATACCACAGGCACCTGAAGCAGGAAAGTGATATTACTGAAACACCTGACCCATTATATAACATCACTATCCTGCTTCAAGGGGCTGTTGTATTATGTAACTAGCTGTTAATGATAGCCCTAAGCACACAGATACATGTCTCTATTTACACATGATACAATCTACAACATCTAGGAATGAGCGTCAAACCGCGTGGTACCCTTATGTCTGGCAAGACGAAAGATTGTGGGCAAAAACACTTCAAAAGTTTTGACATGCCCCCTCACAGTCGCTTTTGTCAAGGGCAGATCACTCTAGTTCTACTCCCACGGATGTAAACAAGTTGTGAAAGCTTAGTACAGTCTCAATGACGATCAACACACCACGAACTCAAATAACGTGTACGCTATTGGAAACACAAGGCAAATGGAATGTGAAGTTGTGACTCCTAGATCTAGAGGGCGGCCTAAGCTGGAGGATTCACAAAAGAAGAAGTCGGTGAAAGTAAGGAACAAAGTTACAAACAGTCGGCGGGTGTTCCTGGGAGATTCTGCAGCCACACGATGGAAACGTTTAAAAAAACAACTGGGCGATGTCACCGACCAATGGCTTGCTAATCACTTGCTGGAAACACACGAAAAGATGTGTAAATGCTTGTAAGTGTATTTTGCGTGAAAAGGTTCAAAGCCCGCAACGCTAAGATTTGGGTAAAAATATAGACTATATAGATCTTATCTAATGATTAATAATTTATGTCTTCCCCGGAAAGACCATTGTTTCAAAGTGGAACCACAGGAACAAAGTTGATATTTTGTGTAATATGGATCCATTTTTAGCTCATGAACCATATTTGAATAAACATCTATGCAAGTTAGTTCATTTAGCTTTGCGTGTCTAGCCACGGACTTGTATACACGGTTATATATGTCCATGGTCTAACTAAAAATTAGCCATTTTTTACATGTCCACACAATTCCAATCCAAAGGAAAAAGCCATTTTTGTTTGTAATTGTCTTTTGAAATGGTATATGTGCAGTAAGCATGGTAAGTAATTGGTTCTCACAATAAATATTTGATGTTTTATTGATTATTACATTGCAATAGTGTGTGCAAACAATGCCCATAGAATTCTGATCCATAATTAATGTAATCTACAGTGTTGCACATATACAGAGCATGCAGGTGAACTACAGAGCATTGTGACCCTCTGCCCAGTCTTGTGTATGAACCTGTGATGTTATTTCAAGGCCCAGCCCTTATACTCTCCAGCTCCATCAGCGATAGAAACTAATGTTTTTATTTCACTATAGTCCTTTATAATTTCTTTGAGAGGCATCCTTTATAATGATAACATATAACAAAACCTTTAAAAATGGCAAATTTCTACTAGACCTTACGAGACCTGAACTATTAGGCAGTTTGGCATGGACTATAGGACGAGTGCCAATTCCTATCGCTGCCTCCATGTTACTAGTGAGTGAGTGAATTTGGATTCATTTTATTGCTTTAAACCATTGACCTTATTGAAATCAACAATTCATGAGACAGTTAACAACAGGTGCACTAAACCTGTAGATGACGACACGTTCTTTCGTTTCACAATGAAATGCTCAACATTTCTTGCCTTCTAAACATATTTTATTGCTTGAGCATTATGGCAAAATAACAATGTCTGTAGTATTCAGTTATTTATTACTCAGAGTAACAAGATGATTATGTTACTCAACTAGCTTCACCATTACTTATGAGAGCCTCATCTTGGCAAGTTGAATGTGTCAAGAAAAAATTCTTGATAGTTAATGTTGTTTCAAAAAGGGCAAGTACCGTATTCGACGTAATAAGCACCCAGGGTGCTCTCAAAATTATAAATAGGGGGCTCTTATTAGAAAAAAATAATTTGGTGAGAAAAAACCCCAGAGTTGATAGATTGTAAATTTCGTAGTTTATGCTGACAGCTTGAAATGATACAAAAGGAAAGTATGTGCGTATCATACACGACACATTTATTTTCCAGAAATTAATTGCTCATAATTAAGGGTGCATATAACACACAAGTGTGTATTATCCACAAATAAATAATTTTGATAATCGGAAGGGATGCTAACTAGCCAATATATTAGTATATAGTGATAGTTGTTTATGTTTTTTGAAGAATGTTACTCAAGTGCATGTTTGAGCAAGAACCAAAAAGCAGACATATTGGCCTGCAAATCATTCAGTGAATAGATTATCTGCCACATCTCATTGATGGTCGAATTCGGTGACCTAGTTACCTCTTTATAGAACGTTTTTATTTGTTTTTTTATCATCTTTTGTCATCACATTGGTGAGTCCATTTGTTTTCAAAATTTGTAATGAGGGATTATATCAATTAGCTTAATATAATATCATAGCTTATTGCGATTATTTGGAGCATACATAATGTCAAATATGAAAATCAAATGACTTCTGTCCTGGATACTTGTAAGTAATATATTTTTCCTTCTTTGACTTACTAAGAGACATCATGAAGAGCCGTGACCTAGAAGATTATACCATGGAACCAAATGAACGTCAATATGACTCATCACAGACGGCAGCATTAGAAGATGAAGATCATCACCATGACAACCAGAACAAGGCGCAACACTTACCAAGGCCAAGCCAGGTGTTCATCACCATATCTGATACACGTTTTGCTGATGAAGAAGAATGTGGGACACTGATTGATGTTGCAAGACCAAATAGGAAGGAGTTTGTTGGTGGTTTAAGAATTAAAAAAGTCACATCTGGACATTCCCACCGGTCCAATAAAAAGGCTAAATTAGACAGTGTTGTTAAGAAGCTGATGCATAAGTCAGGCCAACAGAACAGGCAGCAGTCGTGTGGTCAGACAGAAGACCAGTCTAACAAACAGCCTAGAGGATAGAATAGACCGATCCCAGTTCTGTATGGAATGTACATACTGAAAATGTGATATTGACTCATGGTCTTCATTGATGTGCAGCAAGTGATATTTGCAGATAAAAAGAATGATATTTTCAATGTTTGGGGTGATGTTTGACATAGAACCCTGTTGGACCTTTCTGCTAATGCTTCTAGGCGACTTCACAATGTTCACCTTCAATCAATAAAGTCAGAACAAATAATCTCAGATTCTATTCTATGACATGTTAGACAACCATGTTTCAGTTCCTTAGATTTCAAACCCTAAGGAAAGAGAACTCTTGATGGAGAGGATACAGGGAAGATAACTCTTCATGGAGAAGATGCAGGGAAGACAACTCTTCATGGAGAAGATGCATGGGAAGACAACTCTTGGTGGAGAACCAACTTACAAATAGGGTTCCTGAGAAGTGGCAAAGATCTGACTCAAGAGAAATAACGTTATGTCAGTTCAGATTGCTTCTGTCAAGGAAAGCAACACAGATGAAGATGCTCAGATCCTGGCCCCGTTCCAAAAAGTGATCTTGGCGCTAAGGCGATCGTAACTCCCATACTTTAACACAGACTTACGACTGTCGTAGCACTAAGATTGCTTTGTGGAACAGGGTCCTGGAGAATGAGATTATTTCATTGGAGGAAATGACATAAGCGAGTCTTTCTTTGTTCTGCTGTTGGGCAGTAAGAAGTTTTACAATTGGTGAGTTGGATTTAGCAGAGATTTATAATGAGTATGATTATTTACCTTTTTGTGACCACCGGATATCATCCCTTTTTATAGTGTTTCATAAACACACACCTTTGATGTAGTCAGAATTGTACAATAGACTGCTTTTACTTGAGATCCTTTATTCTGGAAATATTTACATTGCTTTTTATTTAAGGCCACATTGAACTGTTTTATTTAATTTATATCACCATAACAAGAAATGTATGTATTGAAAACAAGTATATTCAAGTTAATTTGTGATACTAGCGTCTTCTTTTATATTACAAAAAACATTCAAGCTGTCATGAATGGCGTGAATTGAAGAGACTCAACTGTGTAGTTAACTGTTCTTTACCCCGTCCTGGTGCATAATGTTGTCAAGTGATATGTATTGGACATTTTATATTCTATTTTATTAAATTTTAAATAAACCACATCATATCTAAGACTGTTTGTATTTGTTACAATCCATATGTTGATTGATCATAGACCAGCATGGCCAGTAGAGCTTTTGGACATGTGCTGTGACTCAATGGGATTATAAGGCTGTTAGGCACCGGTCATTACATTACCAGAAGTGATCAAGGGACACATCTCCAATCTTGGTCGATATTTTGCAGTGAATCTCCATTGTTGCACAATTATGATTTTCCTCAGACCAGAAGTCTTGCTTGCTTGTACTGTCAGAGTGACCTTGCTAAATACTACATTGTTTCGGTAGCTTCATTGTATTTTAGAAGATAATTTGAATTATGCAAGTTGATTTTACATAGAAAACTCTTTTTAAAATGCTCCCGTGAAGTGAGTATTTGTTATGGCATAAAATAGAAATGATGAGGTTCGAACATACTGTTACCCAACTAATGCCCGAAAGTCGCACAATATTTTGTCATTACATGGTTACTTCCCTTTGATCGTCTAATTAACAAGTGGAGTAACTGTCTTTTGTCCGGATCTTGTCCGCTGTCTTCATTCCGACTGTGACTGCTCGCCGACAAGCTAACGGGTAAATAAGTACGTGACTATGGGCAGGAGAAGAGTCTCAGATGAACACAAGCGGGAACGAAAACGGGCTGAAAACAAACGAAGAGAAATGACAAGAATTCATCTGGGAACTTGCTTCCCGCAATGGGCTGCACTGAAAAGTCTGAGAAAAGATAACAACGTCGAGCTAGCAGACCATCTACTCAAGGTGCACGAACACTACTGCAGATCTTGCAGGTGCGTTTTTTATATAGAATTACGTATATACGTTTGAAATCAAAGGCCGTGTGTCCACAGAACAGCGAGCGGCCATATTAACAGAAGCGATCGTAAAATACACATCTGAGCACATTTGGGGACCATGTCAAAACAATATTTGATTTGTTATGCTCCAGTCGAGATGGAACAAACCGTAGATCATGATTAATATATATAAAGACGTTGTATCAGTTTTGCAGACCTCAAGTATGGACACTGTATGAGCTTTGTTTTATTATTTTAACGATATAGTTATAATCACATCGTGGATCTAAAACACCAAACATATTGTGTAAATTGCACTAGTTAACGTATTCATTTTTGTATATGCATTCAAGAAAGTGTATCATATCTATTTCAAAGTCTTGATATTTATAGTATGAGTGCCTTGTAAAGGATGTTTGCAGCATATTTACAAAAGAGGGAACATAAGTTAGAAACGGGACTAGATTCCACTTTTTTTCTGGGGTGCACAGAATGCATAATCCAGTTGAAAAGAATCTTGTCCCTCAGGAATAAGAAATATGTGTTTCACCAAAATGAAATGTGTTCATAATGAATAAATAACAAGAAACTGGAAAACAATTGTTTAGATTTTTGTAGGACAAAAAAAAAACATCGAAAGATCTTATAGAGTTGTTTTTTCTCACTTACCTTCAAGATGTTTTACAAAAGATTTTTTGTAAATCACTCAAGGAAAATATCTCATGGAATACAGAGGAGAGAAAAAGTCGTAATGATTAGACGGGCTTGGGTTTTCTTGACAATTTATTGGTGCTTGCCCAGGTTTTTTGTCCGAACTCGGGCAAACGTTTGTCTTAGCTCGGTTATCTCCCCTGAAGAGACTAATTACTGGCTGTGTAGACTGCATCTTTCACGCTTGTCTCATCGCGCAACGTCGCTAACTTATTAACTTCACCAAATAAGAAACATGGGAAGAAGAAGGGTTTCCGATGAGCACAAGCGAGCTATGAAACGTGCTGACAACAAGCGCAGAGAAAAAACTCGAATTCATCTCGGAAATTGCTTTGAGCAATGGTCTGCGCTCAGAGCTCTTCGAAAAGATAACAACGTCCAATTTGCCGATCACCTTCTCAAGGTGCATGATCACTATTGTAGATCTTGCAGGTAGGTTTTATAGACTGAATTGTATCTGAGAGAAATGTGTAAGAAACGAAGACACAGCTGCTGTCGCGTGTAAATAGTAATAGAAGCACTCGTAAAATACAAGCACTTGGCCGTCTGGGGGGCATGTCAACACAAACAAAGAAGAAAAATAATTATTTAGTTATGTCGAATTTGAAATGTGTTTGATAACATATACAACAGTTGATTAGATTATATAATATAAATATATTTACATTGCATGCCTTGATTACAGCAGCAGTTCCGTTCCAATTGTTGCTGGTTGTATTAATTACACGTAACCTTTGAGATGGCCCTCTCTGTGGTCTGGTGCCGGTTTACAGCCATGGTCTAGACGTTGTAATTAGTGTTCTGGGTGAAATGGAGACTACGTCTCTATCTGATGATGGTAACCAGTTATTGCTAGATGGAAGGAGGCTATTAAGTTTGCCCCACCAGATATGTATGAAGACTTATTTGAATGACCATGTTTTATGTTTTATTCAGTCCAGTCTGAGCATGTGAGAAAAAAAACATAATCGTTAGGATGCAGTTAGACATTTACTCCCAGCAGCTATTTTTCAATTAAAAACATTAACAGTAAAAACAAGACATAAATTCTATTTTAAATCGTTTATTGTATTAAAGATATAATTATCAAGTTAGTCCTGAAAATGGTGGTATGTTTCTTGTTGAAATAACCAACTCTAGAGCATGCAGAGTGCATAAATCAAGTTGTGAAAAGGAATTATTTTTGTTGGGATTAAAAAATGGTTCAAACTTGCATATAAAGCAGTAATACTGTTTTGTTTGTACATCTACATGTATCAAGAGAATAAAACACATTGGTGAAATATTGTTTCAGAGAGCTGAGATCGGGCACAATGACAAGAGTCGAGTATCTGCACAGTGATTATGATACCCGCCAGGATGAAGTCAGCTCGAGGGAATCCCAGAGTACTCGAAGCATCAAAGTCGTCAATCAGGACGGTAAGCCCATCATGAGTTGAAAATAGTTAGCCAATAACAGCAGAGTAATAAGTTGTTTTGTTCTGTTTTGTGCCAAACAAGTAAGTAAGTTTGTTCACCTCTCTCACCTAGGTTGTATATTTGTTTTCTTTATTTTGAAGAAATAAATAACCAACATGCTTAATTTTTACATGTTTTATACCCTGAATTCTTATGATATTATCTTCGTGTGGGTTTATGTTCTGGTTCCATAATTTTGCCTCCTGCATCTTATGAAAACGGAGAGAAGGGGCACGGATGCTGTGCAGAGTTACGTCCCTTGGGCAGGCCAGAAACAAATAATTGTGGTTTCAATCCTGGTTCACCCTGATGATGTTTCTAGGTTTGTCAGCATCATACCGGTGCTCATGGGTTTCATGAAAGTGGTAAACGTCTGAGGCATTCCATCTTCCCGAGGGAAGTGAGTTAACTGACTATAAAAGTCCAGTTTCCACCCTTGCCGAACTAGGCTTGTATTATGGAGTTACATTTTGGCTGGACTAACGAGTCTATGCATAGTCCAATCAAAATCGCGAAACAAAATCGAAATCCGGTTCGTAAACTGTCATGCAGACTTCGGTCGATTGGAGGATTTGCAAAGCATGTGCACCGCCAACTCGTTGTCAACAGATATTTTCTAAATCTTGTCATGTTTTTAATCAAGGTGCTCACATGATTTGATGCTCTTCGCAGTGTAAGACTCGTTTTATACAATACATAGATCTTGATTATCGATCAGATCGTCTTGACTGGGTGCCTCCGTTTTGTTTGAAGCAAATGCAAGTGATACGAGAGGTGGAATCTGATTGGTCCACAGGAGAGGCATAGAAGGGACAAAACTCGCAATAGACACTGGTGGCGCTACGATCGAGCCCAGGAATTCCAGCCTAGTTCGGCAAGGGTGGAAACTGGACTTTTAAAGTCAGTTAACTCTCTTGCCTCGGGAAATGGAGGCATTCCTGCATTATGCTGATATACTGTGATATAACTGGAATCTGTTAAAAGCGGTGTGAAACCAAACTAACTCACACGGAAAATGGCCAAGAAAATCCATACAACAGGAAGACTCAATTTTAGAAAACATTACAAATGAAAATATTATTTGAGTATGATATTATTAAATACTGAAAAATTCCATTTATTATTAGAAAAAGCGACAATGTTTCCCATCTACTAATTTATCCACTATGCGTAATGTACCCACCTGTACAGTCAAGTTAACTCTAATATCTTCTCAACTGTTGTTTGAACCAGGCCAGGTTTATGTGACGCTCAGCGGGGACAAGTTGAAGAAGACTGAAACAGGCATCACCCCACAACATCAGCAACAAATACCAGTCCTTGTCGGCTCACAGCAGAGCTTGACCTCCCATCAACAAAACGTTCTTGTGCACTCACCATTTGTCATAAACAAGCCACAAATTACAAACTCAAATCCAAACATTGGCAATGAACAGCCTGGTTGCTTGAACCAGATGATAAGTGGGTATGTTGAGGGTAAAGTGCCCTCTGTCCAGAGTGCACAAGGAGTCACATTGAACAAGGATAACCCAAGTGGACAGAACAATCCAGGTAAGGATGGTGTTAGAGGGACGAGTAGTTCCGGAAAGCAACAGGTGCTTGTGGAAAAGCAGCTCGAAGTAAAGGAAGAACCTGTGGATGATTTTGTGGTTGTCATAAATCCAGATGATGATGATGATGATGATGATGATGTTGATGATGATGAGGATGATGGCGATGATGAAGATGAAGATGAGGATGAGGATGAAGACGATGGAGAAACAACAGAGAGTTGTGACGAAAGTGATCTAACTCATTCAGAATATCAACAAGGTCTGGTTGAGATCAAGGAGGAGCCAGTGGATGATGTCCCAGATCATGCAGGTCACCTTCAAGGTGAGGTGGTGTTATGGAGGTGGGGGAATAGCAATAAAATAAAAGCAACAAAAGTTCTTTCCATAATCATAAGAAATCTCCATTGTACAATTCGGATTATTTCATAAGCTTGTGTTTATGAATCACTATCAAATAGTGATGATACCAGGTTTTCATGAACATTTGAGAGTATCACATTATCACAAACACAGGCAAAGGCAAGTCAATTGTTCACTTGAAAAAACATATGGTCAGTCAAGATAGCAAATTGCATCGTACATAATTTATGTCACTGATGCATCAAATTTGGAAATGCCCTTCGTATGTCTACCATAAAACCTTTTGAAAAATTTGCTGAGGCCTTGTAGGTTATAACCCTGAGACCTTTTAGGTTATAACCCTGAGGCCTTGTAGGTTATAACCCTGAGGCCTTGTAGGTTATAACCCTGAGGCCTTGTAGGTTATAACCCTGATCAAAACAATTTTTGAGCCATGACACTGCAAATCTTCCCACTTTTACAGACCAAAGAGATTTTAAAAGATGTTACTTGTTGTTACCCTGTCAGGCGCTTGGCATTAAGAGGCTAAAACAAGGACTGCTCGTAGTCAGTATACTGTGTCTGAGTGGGTTTTTCTTGTTAAACTGCAGTGTGGTATCTCAGTAGGTTAGCACTATAAAATTAGCATCAGTCTGGGCACACACACACACACACACACACACACAGTGCAAAAATCTTGAACATGACGTTTCATCTCACTTTTACAGGTTGTTATGATGGAAGTCTTTCGCGAAAATTGCGGTAAAATTTGATATTAAAACTAGATGTGGAACTTGTCCATGTAAGAATGCCATTTTGTTAGTAAATTTATTGGCTCAGTGTGACATATTGTTACAAATCACTTGAGTCTTGTTGCTGTTTCTCCCACTTGATTTGTTAAAATTCATTGTATAAGTCAAGGCTGGTTCTGTATTCAGTAATAAGCATGCATTACTTGTAGCCACCACGGACCAAAGTGAGATTACAGCTCAGAAATAAAAAGTCTAAAAATGTGAAAGGTTTGATTTTCCCAATATCAGTCATGCCCATATGTCCCGCAGTGTCTTGGGGGCGGTCGGGTGGCCTAGTGGTTAGAGCGTTCGCTAGTCATGCTGAAGACCAGGGTTCAGTTCCTGACATGAGTACAATGTGTGAAGCCCATTTCTGGTGTCTATTGCTGGAAACTCACTCACTCACTCACTCACTCACTCACTCACTCACTCACTCACACTCACTCACACTCACTCACTCACTCACTCACTCACTAACCAGTGTCTTGTTTCAGTAAACTGCTCCGTGCCACAGGGTCACAGAGGATTTAACACTGCAGGCACCTCGACTAATGGGACGCAAGATCAGCTTTGGAATTCCAGGTATACATGATATGTCACTGCTGCAGACGACCCGTGAAGATCCGAGTAGGGAATAGGTCTTCAGCAACACATGCTTGTTGTAAGAGTGGATCAGGTGGTCAGGCTTGCTGACTAGGTTGATGCATGTCATCATATCCCAATTGGGAGGATGGATGCTCATGATGTCAATCACTGGATTGTCCGGTCCAAACTCAATTTTGTACAGACCGCCCTCATATAGCTGGAATATTGTTGAGTGCGGCATTAAACAACAAACAAACAAACAAAAACCATGTCAGCAATGTCCTCTCGATCCCGTTAGTCGCCTCTGACGACAAGCATGAGTTGCTGAAGATCTATTCTCTACCGTATCTTCACAGGTTAAGATGTAAGAAGTTATCATACCGGGTACTTTCAATTCATATTTAGTTCCTATTTTTCATATTTCTTTTTATACTTGTTGCAAAAATTAGGATGTGTGTAACATTACACAAAGAAGGTGACTTTTCTTTTCTGTCATTAGGTTTGTAGTGGTGCATGTTTAGCCCTCACTGTGAAACTGAAGATTGTGAAAATTTCCATTTTCTTCTAGGGTGTGTCTACAAGATGGAAATCCCTTTAGGTCCCCAAACACTACCAGTCCCGGTTTGCGAGTGACCACAGCGAAAGTGATTACATGTTACAGATATGGAGACTTGGTTAGGAGTCAGATGGCATCCTCGTCCAACCATACCAAGGCCAACCATACCAAGGCCAACCATACCAAGGCCAAACTGTTGGTGGCCTGCAATGCCTTGCTCAAACAGATGCCACAAACCGGTAGAAAGGACACACTCAGGACAGAGACTGGACAGGGGCAGACAGACACCAGGGACCAGGAAAATCTCAGGAAGAGGAGGCATGTCCCGGAGGAACAAGAAGAGACATTGGAGAAACAGAAAAAGTTTACAAAACAGGACTCATTCAACACTATCAGAACTCACAAACCTGAATAAGTGTGATACATTGGATTTGATTAAATGGGTACAGGTCCTGTATCTCATTCTGGCAAGCATAGATCTGGAATTTCTCATGCCAAGGTCATGCCAAGGTCAAATGTGCCTGGAAGGTGTGTGCCATGGCTGATGGTGATGGTGAGCATGACCACTTCAGGACATTCCACCAAGAGGAATCAACTAGGGAAGAGATAAAGCCAAAGAGGGGAAGGAACCTTGCAGAGAAAGCAAGATGAATCTGACCTTGATTGTGGAAGGACATTACCGGTCGTATCAAGCTGATTCCCATGGACACAGTGACAACTGGTGTCGGACGCATCGTGTGAGGTGTCACACTTCATAGTTCTCCTGGACATATCCCAGTCAAAGCATCAAACTTCCCGATTCTGTTATGTCTCACTGGACCTCCAAGATGTCTTTGTTAGGATACAACGACCTTCATCTCCTACCTCCTCAAATCCACTGTACCAATGAAGCTGAAACTTAACTTAATGTTCCCAGCTGTCTCATTGTGGAGAAGATCTGGGGTAGAATAGGTCTTCAGCAACCCATGCTTGCTGTAAATGGCGACTAAGCTTGTTGTAGGAGGCAACTGACGGGATCTGGTGGTCAGGCCTGCTGACTTGGTTGAAGCATGTGATCGATCCCAATTGCGTGGATCGATGCTCATGATATCAATCACTGGATTGTTGGGTCCTGACTCGATTATTTACAGACCGCTGTCATATAGCTGGAATATTGCTGAGTGTGGTGTAAAACAACAAACCAACCAACCAACCATTGTGGAGAAATTATATTCTTTGTACTTGAAATTCAACATGTCTGCTTTTTCTTTCATACTTTGTACATCATTGCATCTGAGTGGGTTTGTTCTAAAGGACAGATACGGATGGATATTACTTCTAATTCTTGTATCTTAAGCAATCAGTGCAATTCTACTATTCATCATAGCATGTTGGATTGATTGTGTATGTTGTTTGTATAGAAAATAAACTTGTGATATCACAAGCTGGTTATGGCTTTATATACCTCCAACCTAAAAGGGCTAGGGTTCATAAACAGTGACACAGCACACTCTTCAGGTGTAAAGTCTTTATTGCACTCATTAGATGAAGTCTGCGTTTACAGACAATAGTCTCATCTTCTAGATTTAGCCAAATTAATGTTAAATACCATGCTCTACCAAAACCATCTCCTGCATGAAATTGACAGTTAAGAGCACATTCGATCAAAACCACCAGGGATGGGATACATGCTACTCAAGATTACCTAGGAATATCTGTAGAATTATATTTTAGAATGAAATCAAATCTAATTAAATGCCAAGATGTGGACCTTGCGAAAAAATGTTCATCTAAAGGAGTTTAATTGTTATCTTAGTGGTCTAAATATCCAAAATGTATGAGAAATCCCATTGTTATTTCCATCTATGATTTAGTTGTGGTCCAAAGTCACAATAATGAAATAGACCTGGCTATCAAAGTCACTAGGAACAGTTGAGTAGTACATGTATACTTTATACAGACAGGTGAACACAATTCTACTCCTCATTCTTGTATATTCCAAAGGACCATCAGTGACCATAAGAAACACGCTTAACTCACAGGAACTTTACAAAACACACAGGAACTTAACAAAACACACAGGAACTTAATAAAACGCACAGTGAACAACAATATGACCTACACTATGTAAAGCTTTTCCATCTGCCCTGACACGTAAACAACGGGCATGCAAGCTGAAACGACAATGTGAAAACAATATAATGTGGTGGTGACTTCATGTTTATAAGTTAATGCTTACCTTACTCTAGAAAGTAGTTGCTATTTGTATTCACTTGTCTAATACCAAATTTATCTCATCGAGTTACCTGAAAAATTTGATAGTTTCATGAGTAGAGAAGCTTAACATCTCAATTGCGTAGATCGATGCTCACAATGTCAATCACTGGATTCTCCGGTCCAGACTTGATTATTTACAGACCGCCGTCATATAGCTGGAATATGCTGAGTGCAGGGTTAAACAAATAAACAAACATGAGTGCAAATCATATACATGTAGCTGGATTATTGCTGAGTGCGGTGTTGAACAGTAGGCAAGCAGACGAGCATTAATTGACACGAAAGTCAAATGGTCTATTTCTTATCGTATTTTCTTACTGATCTTCATGATGTTTCACCACTAAATTCACAATAGAATATATGTCTGTATTATGCTACCATGTATAAAATAATTTCTCTATCAAGGTTAATCTCACCGTCTAATCGTTCAATAATTTATTGTTTTTATAACATCAGCATTCAATTCCTACACTTGACATAAATTGTTGACAGCACCTTACCCTTGGCCCTAGCTTCAGCCCCATGAGGTGTGTGAGAAGGTCCTAATGTGTTGATGGAACATTTTACAGGAGTTTACCATCCATACTCGCAGGAATAAAATATTAATAAACATCTATCAATAAAGACGAGAACAAAACAATTAGCTAATTTTGAGCACACAAACATGTGAATAAAATTGTACAGATATTTCACACAAACAGTATGATTCTAAAAAACAACTCATTTTTATCTGTTAAGAGAAAAACAAAATAAACATGTTTTCACAAGCACACACAAAGAGAAATGATCTTTATGATTCTATTTCCTATACTACATAATTCAAAACTGTCTTAAATATTAAATGGAAAAGTCGAGAACCTCTAACTCGTATTATGACATAGACATAATGGTATTGTAAAAATATTCAAATTAGCTTGGATCACATAATCTGGCACCCAAGAATGCAGATATATGGAATATGTGAGTGAGTGATACAACAAATGAACATCTATCACTATCAATATACATCTGAAAGGTAACGCCACACTAACTCCGATGAAGGATGTTCATACATAATGGCACGAAAGCTCATACACTTACTGCAGGATTACAGCTGATAAACTCAAACAGCTAGAAGTAATGCTAGTACTACCCTAGAACACATAGTAACTTTAGGCTGACATTTTCCATTTGGACCAGGACAACTGGTTTCATATTTTACAGCCTTATCCCGAAAAACACACCAAAAATTAGGAGGCAAAATACAAATTGTTGTCAAGATTGATTTTGGAGGGGTTTTTTCTTGGGAGAAAAAACATTGATGTTCCTACATTATACTTTAGCAAAATGTAGGGGAAACAGAACAAAAGCAAACAATAGATTGTCTCGGCAGGTTTGGCCTAAGCACAGCAACAAATTCTAAACAGTGAATTTGTACACAAGCACAGATGTATACATATGTTTCACCTGAGGTGTAATTGCTTAAGAATAATATCAATATCAATAACATACCTACATGGTTCTTTTCAATATATGTAAGTAAACATAAGTCATTATTTTATTGCTAATTGAGGGTCACATGGATATTCTTGAAATCAGAATATCTTATATATAATCTGTGATTTACCTTCTAGCAAATATACCAGTACATTTGGATTGCAGTGAAGCTATTTTCAAAGTGATGAAGGAGTATTAAAAATTATCTACATGTATGTGAGTGGACAAATGGATATCTACGTCTTAAGTCTGCAATATGACAGCTATATCACACAGGTCTGTATGCTGTCAAATCTGGACCAGACAAACCAGTGTTTCATAACAGCAAAACTTTACACCATCAAGAAATAAAGATATATACTACCTAAAAGAAGTTAAGGATCACCTGATTCTTTCATATTACTATAGTTAATCTCTCATGTCATGACAGATTAGCTTTACCATTATGAAAGAATCAGGTGATCCTTAACTTCTTTTGAGTAGTATATAATCAGTGGGGCGACAGGTGCGTGTTCTCCATCTTGGTTATTTCCTACTCAACAGCCATTTTGACCACACGATCCCCGTTTCTGTCCCTCTTACCACAAGCTGGGTGTGATGCAGCTCCATTGAATCCTGCCCCAAGTGATTGTGAATGTACTGATTCCCACTGTGTGGGAGCCTGGATAATGTTACCTTAGTCAGACTGTATTGCGCAACCCACGTGTGATTCTGGGAAAAGTGTAGGCCCCAAGCCCCCATGCTTGTGTTTGTTTGTTGTTGAACACTGCACTCAGCAATCTTCCAGCTATATGACAGCAGTAAATAATCCAATCTCATTAAAATCAGATCTTAGTTCTCGCTATCGCTAAACATAAGGGTGAAACGATACACCGATATTCCGATGCATCGCGATACTTGACCCACGATACGATATATGATAAACGTGGGCCCATTTATCGATACACCACGATACGGAACGCAAATCTCAAGTACAGTGTTTCCTCGGTATTGTGCCTTTCAATAAACCGCTAACTTGGTTATAGCGCGCGCTGACACATGGCTCCCAAAAACGTACTTACATTTTTAATAAGCTCAGGTTTTACACCGACAGATGTTTTTCCCCATCTCATAAAACGTTATCAGCTGATCACCGCAAGCACATAACACCGAAAATACCAGTCAGCAAATCCGAACTGAAGTACGAATTCAATACCATTATTATACTATCTTGTTATTAAAACGTGTTCATTGTATATCTGGACTTGTGTTTGTAATATATTTTATTAATTTTATTCAAAATTTCATTTAATATTGTTTTCATTAAGTTAGGTGAAATCGTGTGTGAAGAGATACAGCAACCACGGTCAGATTACCGCTTTTGACGCATTGAAACGAACTTAAGTTGCTAGAGAATGGATACATATATTAAAAATGCCATACTTTGACTCGTTAAAAGTCATATTTGTGGCAATTTGGCTAATATATGTCAACATAACGTTATCGCAATCGAAATACATGTAGCACGGGAAGTCCCTAGGGTGACTGGTCAAATTGTTCCATACGTAAAAATATCCTACAACAGCAATCACCAGTACCAAAATAGGATGTCCTAAGATCTTTGTTTAGCGGCAGCGAGAACTTACATCTGATTTTAATGAGATTGTAAATAATTGAATCTGGACCAGACAATCCAGTGATTGACATCATGAGCATTGATCTACGCAATTAGGATACAATGACATGCATCAACCAAGTCAGCAAGCCTGACCACCCGATCCTGTTAGTTGGCTCTTATGACAACCATGGGTTGTTGAAGACCTATTCTAACCCAGATCTTCACGGGTACCCATGCTTGTGAATGGGAGTCAAACAAACTAAGGATTGGGTGGTAAGTATTAGTGACCTAAAGGATTTTGTGTCGTATCCCATGGCCGGAAGTGTTGCTCATGCTGTCAAACACTAGTTTGCCAGGGCCAGCTGTGACACAACTGGAATAGTGCTGACTGCAGTATCAAACAATACTCACTCGCTGTATCCCTTTCATGTATGTTATAATGAAACATTCTAAATGCAAATAACAAGACGTAATACTGCTCCAACATCAACAAATAGCCAAATAACAATGAAATATTAGCCAATATGGTCAACATCAAACACTGGTACCAATAATGAAGGATTTGTTCATATATAACAATGTACATCAGTGAATAATTTACATACACAACAGAGTGTTGTTCAAAGAGTGACAATAGTGAACTATATATATATTATGGAGGGGAAGTTATATAGTCTAATGAATGGAATTATCAGTGTGTATTGCAGACTTCAGCTTCCCTTGTCTATAATGTAAAGGCATTTCAACAAGGAAAGTGATTGAGGGAATGATGAAGAGTATAACATGTTTGTGAGCTAGTGAGGTTGGACATGCCCCAGTATGTCACCCCCATGATTACTGGTTTGGTCGAACAGCACCTTGACCAGTATGTCAGTAAAATCTGTGGGTCACCGTCACGTCCGAGGACAAAGAAGACAATTGCTATTTTTGTAAAACCCATAAGCATGTTACGGCGGAATATTTCTGACAGGCCAAGGATCAAAACTGGGGCAAATTTGGGATTCAAACACAAGATCACTGGATCCAAAGGGACACAACTCCGCACAGCAAATTGTGGTGCCATGATCCACTGTGACCCCTTGCCATTAGATGTGAACATCAGTATAGATGCTCCCTGGTAACAAATATAAAGTACGAACAGTATTACTAGACATGAATGTCAGCTATTTACATTACAAGTAAAAAAAGATGATGTCAACACATTAGACATTTTGCAAAACAAACATGCAAGGGAAAAGAAAGGGTGTATGCTGGTAAGAACGTAACGATTGTTTCTATGGTATATTTGCAGATAGTGCATCAACAATGTTATAAATCCGAGCGCAATGCTCCTGTGTCAGATACAGTGCACCAGAGTTTTCATACACCTGCATACAATTGAGTCAAATACAGTGCACCTGTTAAACATACAATTGTGTCAAATACAGTGCACCTGTTAACATACACTGGTGTCAAATACAGTGTGCCTGTTCACATACAATTATGTAAACACAGTGCATGTGATTACATACAATTGTGTCAAATACAGTGCACCTGTTAACATACAATTGTCAAATACAGTGTGCCTGTTAACATACAATTATGTAAATACAGTGCATGTGTTTACATACACCTGTGTCAAAATACAGTGCACTTGTCTTTACATACACCTGTGTCAAAATACAGGGCACCTGTTTAAATACACCTGTGTCAAAATACAGTGCACCTGTTTACATACACCTGTGTCAAAATACAGTGCACCTGTTTACATACACCTGTGTCAAAATACAGTGCACCTATTTACATATACCTGTGTCAAAATACAGTGCACCTGTTAACATACACCTGTGTCAAAATACAGTGCACCTGTTAACATACATATGTGAAAATTACACCTAACAAGTACACATCCCTGCCTGGGGATTTCTAACTAAACAGGCCATCAAGTTGTGATATGGTTTCACACTCATTAATCTTTCAAAAGTCATAAGTGGAATGCAAATTTCTGTAAATGGAAGACCTCTTAATATCACAGAACAAGTAGCAACACACCTGATACAGGTAGCAACCAGCACCAAGGTAAATTCATGTACAATATGGCTCCATGTTTCTTCTGTCCACCATGCCAGGTAAGTGAACAGGATCTGCTCACCCCCACAGGAACCCTCACTAAAGCAGGAAACATCATCTTCCTGAGGCAAGGGAGTTAACTGACTGTATAAGTCCAGTTTCCACCCCTGCCAAACAAGGCTGGAATTTCTGGCCTCGATTATAGCGCCACCAGTGGTTATTGCGAGTTATGTCCCTTCTATGTCCCTTCTATGTCCCTCCTATTGACCAATCAGATTCCACCTCTCATATCACTTGCATTTACTTCAAACAAAATGGTGGCACCCAGTCAAGACAATCTGATTGTGACGAAACAGGTCTTACTTCACGAAGTGCATCAGATCACATGAGCACCTTGATTAAAAACATGAAAAGATTTCGAAAATATCTGTTGAGGGCGAGCAGGCAGTACACAATCTTTCCAAATCCTGCAATCGGCCAACATCTGCACAGCAGCTTACGAACTGGATGTTGATTTCGTCACGTGAATTTGATAAAAAAATAGATAAATTTTAACTCGATAATTCCAGCCTAGTTAAGCACGGGTGATAACTGGACTTCTATAGTCAGTTAACTCCCTTGCCTCAGGAAGATGAGCAAACACGAGAGCCTCCAAAACCTCACAAACCTAGATATCAAACATGTCCCATACTACCCACACGAAAGACCCATCAAATTTACAATGTCTTTAGGAAAATAGTTCTCTCTGTACAAACTGCTTCCTGGAGAGAAAGTACATGTTGCATATTGGACAAACCCACCTGTTCCCCACAGGTAAGGTGCACTCATTACTGACACAGACACTTGATGCTAAAAACACTCCCACTGAGCATGCTTAGGTGTCAGAATGTTTTCCAAGAAACTGTAGACATTAAACTATCAGCAATAAGCAACGTGTCCATGTGACTATTAGCACATGTGTTTAGGAACATTGAAACGAATGTCGACAAAATTTTGACTATGAAGAGTCTGTCATGAGCGCTTCACCAAAAGGAAATTGATACTTTGATACTGAGTCCTGACACTTCATGACATATTTTCCTTGAAATATGGCAATTAATACAGTTTGTTCTCAGGCAACGAAAACCTTTTTCGTGGTCATTTATCTGGCTCAATAATGACAATGTTTGTGGGGGTGTTTGGGTGGGGTGTTTGTGGGGGTGTTTGGGTGGGGTGTTTGGGTGGGGTGTTTGGGTGGGGGTGTTTGTGGGGGTGTTTGGGTGGGGTGTTTGTGGGGGTGTTTGGGTGGGGTGTTTGTGGGGGTGTTTGGGTGGGGTGTTTGTGGGGGTGTTTGGGTGGGGTGTTTGTGGGGGTGTTTGGGTGGGGTGTTTGTGGGGGTGTTTGGGTGGGATGTTTGTAGGGTGATTGGGTGGGGTGTTTGGATGCGGGTGTTTGGGTGGGATGTTTGTAGGGTGATTGAGTGGGGGTGTTTGTGGGGTGATTGAGTGGGGGTGTTCGAGTGGGGGTGTTTGGGTGGGGGCATTTCGATAGGGGAATTTGGGTGGGGGTGTTTGGGTGGGAGTGTTTGGATGGGGTGACTGGGTTGGGGAGTTAAGATGTGGGTGTTTGGATGGGGGTGTTTGAGCGGGGGTGTTTGGGTGGGAGTGTTTGGATAAGGGTGTTTGGGTGGGGTGTTTGGGCAGGAGTGTTTTGATGAGTGTCAGAGGATCAAGGACTAACCATTACCAAACAGGAAAATCCAACACACAGTTAGATACACAAGACTAGAACACGGTCAGGAAGACATGAATCTCAGGAAGGCATGATTAGACAATTATCGGCAGGAAGTAACAGAGACTCTTTCTGTATTTTGATTTCAGGAATGTAAAAAACAATTGCGGGACATTCTCTAAGTTGAAAAAGCAAAGCCATTATTTTTACCTGGTAGAAGAAAAATCCTCTCGGAGCCATAGTTCATAGGGACTGACAGGGGAATGAAAGCATAATGTGGACACAAAAGACAATAACATCTCGACAAGACAAAGTCAAATATACGGTACACAAGGTCCTGTTTCAACATCATTAACAAATAAATAACATGATCAAGATTGATTTCAATCACAAAACATGCAGTGAGATAATATGTGGGGGCAAGACCAACATGTCCTCATCCCTGCTATCTCGAGCAAAGTCTCACATCATCAGAGAATTTGTATCCATCGATATGTATAGGTAGATTTGGACTTTTTTAGCACTATTATCCTTTGATCACTAGCAACATGTCAGGAATGTATAAAATTCATAAATGGAAATGTGTTATTTACACAACAACTTTACGAAATATTTACATTATTATACTTATGTTCGGAAGAGATTAAGATGACCTCTCTGAAATCAAACCCTCTGGAGAACATTGACATATGCTGCACGCTGGTTGAATGCGTTCTCCGTCACAATGACAGTCACTTTTGATCTTGGGCAAATGGAACCATGGAGAGTTTACAAGAATGTTCCTATGGGGTTCAACCCTTTACCTCATTGTCAAAATATTTAAACAGGATTCCAGTAATAACACAAGACCGCCCCCGTGGTCTAGTGGTAGAGCGTCTGCCAGGAGAGCGGAAGGTCCGGGGTTCGATCCCCGACCGCGTCATACCAAAAGACGTTAAAAGATAGTACTTGTTGTTACCCTGTCTGGCTTGGCATTAAGGGGCTAAAACAAGGACTGGTCGGCTCGGAGTCAGTATATTGTGTCTGAGTGGGGTATTCATGTTAAACTGCGGCATGGTATTTCAGTGAGCTAGCACAATAAATCGGCATCAGTCCGGACTAGTACAAGCAGCCACACAAACACACACACGTACATGCACGTCGCTATATAAGTGCAATAATTTTGGATGCGACATTAAACCCCATTTCACCTCACCTCACCAGTTATATCACGGCATGTCAGATTCATGTGGGAAGAAAGCCCGAAGTGATGCAGGTCTCAGACATTTACCACTTTTGTAAAACCCACGGTCAAACCAGGATTCAAACCCACGTAACTCTGCACAGCAAACCATTACACATGAAGTCGGCTGTATTCTATATGGATATTTGTTCATCACAGGAGTCAGGCCATCTACTGCTATTGTAAATATAGAAGCAACATTAATCGTTGAACTGTCATGGATTTAAGTAGTTTTTACTTGCTGCCCATAGTTGACTACTAAGAAACATAGCGTAACGTGAGTTCCCAGTACGATACACATTAAAACAGGCTTCCCCATGATTCTTAGCAAGGTCTAGTATATACAATCACATATGGGGATATGGTTAGCACGGCTTTAATTTACTAATTCGAAGAGAAATACTTGGTTTTCTGTTTGCCGAAGTGATGCCTTATCCTAAAACTTAACTTTCACACTAATGGAATCAACTGTACACAAGTATTTGCAAACTTTATGAAAGCTCTCCTATTTACAGGCTAACACTTCTGGCTGGGTTAGAGGCTTTAACACTTTCTGATGATTGTGAAGTAGTTGTGCTGGTCACCCAGTACCCCAGCCAGGATGTCATTCCATGGTGGTTCCGTGGCAACTGTCACTCAGGCGTCGTCAAGCTCATCATCACTATAGAAATCCATCCGGTCGTCGGGGACCCTCTCCGACTTGAAGTCTCGGCGGATTGCATCCAACTCGGCCAACTCAAGCTGAGGAAGACAACACATTCCAGTGAAAAGTCAGTTAAATAAGTCTGCATTAATGATAAAACATGGCTGTCAATTAGGGCTGGGACGGGTAACTTGGGTCCTGGGGTCGGCTGGGTACTGAGTAGGACTAAGTTACCCACAGGACTACCTGGGCCCGTAGTTAAGCCACGTGATATATTGTTTAATGAACAAAAGTCACGGTTACACTACAAGTCACTAATGTTTGCATTTCTTTCAGACTAGGCACTCATGCCTTCTGACTTTTATATGTTAAAGCTTCAGTGTATGCATGACCAGATTGTTTCATATATGTTTCTGAATATTTTTTGCTGGGGCTCCTGTACAACAATTCCCAATGAGACATTTTGTACCCAAACGTTGATACCTGCAGCAGGTTTCCGGGTCGGGTCAGGTAATATGGGGTCAGGTACCTGGGTAATAAATTTGGACTCATCCCAGCATTACTGTTAATGGTTTGTAGCACTGTAGCTTGGACATTATATCTTGCTTCAATTCTAACTGAATCAGTGAGTGAGTGAGTTTGATTTTACGCCGCTTTTAGCAATATTCCAGCAATATCACGGCGGGGGACACCAGAAATAGGCTTCACACATTGTACCCATGTCGGGATTCGCACCCGGGTCTTCAGTGTGACGAGCGAACGCTTTAACCACTGGGCTATTCGACTGCCCTTCTAACTGAATCACATTGAATTGATATTGAGCTACATATCCAGGTATCTTTAGGTCTGTCACACCTTAATCAATCGAACACTTAAATCTTCATGAGTCTTTGCATGACATTTGAAATAGCAAAATGAACACTGCCTTGTATATTGGATTTGATTAATAACAAACATGAATCTAGTTAATGTTTCTCTGTATTCTTGTAACTAGGCAACACACTTAGTGTATTGGTGACTTGCTGGGTTGACTGCAAGGAACTCTGGGTAGGAGAACGACCAGGCAGGTTCAGTTGTCATGGAAACATGTGGTGGCATTCAGTTTCTCATGATATCATATCCTTCCAGAGAGTGAATGCCTCACAACTGCTTAATCATGGAAAGAGAGCACCACGGAACATGGCACATGACTTTCCGTATTCATATTTTGTTATGAACAAGATGTGTTCTCAGATTTACCAATGTTATCAGGGATTTCTCTGGACCTGCTTATAGGCCACTAGTCAGCGCCAGGGCCCACTTGCACAAAGCGATCTTAGTGCTACGACTATTGTAAGCTTATGTCAAAGTATGGGAATTACGATCATCTTAGCGCTAAGATTGCTTTGTGCAAGTGGGCCCTGGTCTTGAGCAATTCTCAGTATATTCACAAACTTGAACTATACATCTTCCTATTCATGCTGTTTAAATATAACTAATGTTGCGGCTTTGCTAAGCTGCATTGAATTTCACAGGACAATAAGGATGAAGAGGCTTAGTTCAATGTTATTGCATTGAAAGTTATGTTAAAGTTCAATGTTATTGCATTGAAAGTTATGTTAAAGTTCGATGTTATTGCACTGAAAGTTATGTTAAAGTTCAATGTTATTGCATTGAAAGTTATGTTAAAGTTCAATGTTATTGCATTGAAAGTTATGTTAAAGTTCAATGTTATTGCATTGAAAGTTATGTTAAAGTTCAATGTTATCGCATTGAAAGTTATGTTAAAGTTCAATGTTATCGCATTGAAAGTTATGTTAAAGTTCAATGTTATCGCATTGAAAGTTATGTTAAAGTTCAACGTTATCGCATTGAAAGGTATGTTAAAGTTCAATGTTATCGCATTGAAAGTTATGTTAAAGTTCAACGTTATCGCATTGAAAGGTATGTTAAAGTTCAATGTTATTGCATTGAAAGTTATGTTAAAGTTCAATGTTATTGCATTGAAAGTTATGTTAAAGTTCAATGTTAAAAACACCTCTGAACTTCGTACTTTTGAACAAAATATTTGCTTCCCTAATTTACCTGCCCAGGGCACTAAGTTTAGCATCCTAGATTAATTCCTGCTGAATGAGTTTTGATGCATGGCAATATGTACACATAAACCCTCTCGGTACCCAAGGAAATTTTGGGGTATTGAATACTCAAAAATACCTGCTAATGAGAAAACACATAATTGAAAAAATGTGTCGTGATTCATTAATACAAATAGGAATCTTTTTCACTCCTGAACAATAGTAGCACTACTTAAATATAATGTTTAAATGCACTGAGAGTTATCTACCTTGATTTGATGTAGATGGCTCTGCCTCTTACTAGCGATGCTCCTCATTGGGAAGGGATTCAGGTCATAGAAGGCTATCTGCAACCATGGAAACAAAGGTCAGGTCATTGTTTCAGGGAAAAGAAACACGAAGAAGGTCCTGTCATCCTTTTCTGTTCACAACATCCCATGAAGATTGACATAAATATTTTGTACAAAGAAACAGTGTGAAAAAACAGAATCCTGTGAACGTGACGAATAGTGACTTAAAAAACAACAAATTAACCCTTTGAACTTTAAACATGCTCTTTGTGACTGACATAAAGAATGAGTGAATGAGCTGTAGTGAGTGAACAAGACCAGCTTTGAGCAGTTGTTCAGCCATATCACCATATGACAGTTCAATGTGGGCAGCAAGCCCTAAGTGAAGTAGTTGGTTGGTTTGTTGTTTTACGCCGCACTCAGCAATATTCCAGCTATATGACGGCAGTCTGTAAATAATCGAGTCTGGACCAGACAATCCAGTGATTGACATCATGAGCATCGATCCACGCAATTGGGATCGATGACATGCATCAACCAAGTCAGCGAGCCTGACCACCCGATCCTGTTAGTCGCCTTTTACGACAAGCATAGTCGCCTTTTACGGCAGGCATGGGTTCCTGAAGACCTGTTCTGCCCCGGATCTTCAGGAGTCCCTAAATGAAGTAGGTCGGGTACGTTTACCACCACACTGAAACCATACATCATGGTGCTCACAAACCAAGGATCATATTCAGAATGAATGTAACCAGCACCAGCAGATCCTGACATGGCTAAGGGACTTAACTCTTAACACATCGAACTGAAAGCCTTAGACAACAGGGCAAACTATTCTTATTCTGGGAGGTCACACATTTATTGTCTGTCCAGTAATGACAGTTGATATGTGCTTACATTATGTCATATCAAGAATGAATTAGAGAACAACCAAAGTGCTGACGCGAGTGAATGAATAGTGTTATTCTCAAGCCTTTGGCAATCAACCCATCAGCCTTGAAAATGCACATTTGCAACTATCGGAAAGTTATTACACATGATCATTCCACCCATATTTATTCGAGCTCAACTGTATATTCCTAGCCAGGTTGTTTGTAGTTACAACTTGATTTATAGTGATTTATTACATGACAGGAATCAGTGAGACATTACCTTACAGATCCCCCTTGCGTAAGTCATCCTCTCGCCTACAGTGCGCATGTACCTGTTCACCAGGAAGGATGTGTTCTGAGTCAACACTCCTTCCTCTGCGTACTTTAGGAAAGCAATTGAGAAACGAAACAGCACCTGAAAGAGAAAACACCGATGAAAAACCCTTCCAAAAACTTTGATGCGTATTTGTGTGACAATCTATAGATTAAAGAAATCAGCTTTGATTCCTTACGTCATACCGTATTCAACGTAATAAGCGCCCACGGCAATATTTGCTAATATATTGGCTAGTGAACAACCCCAATTAGCACCCCTTCCGATTGATCAATGAACGCTTATTTATTCGTGTATAATATGCACTCGTGTGTTATATGCACCCATAATTATGGCCAATTAAATTCTGGAAAATATATCTGTCGTGTATAATACGCACAGACTTTTCTTTTGTATCTTTTCAGGCTATCACCATAAATCACGAAATTAACGATCTTTCAACTCTGTGTTTTTTTCTCACCAAAATTATATTCTAATAAGAGACCCCTATTTCTAATTTTGAGAGCGCCCTGGGCGCTTATTACGTCGAATACGGTATAATATATTCATCAAATTACAAATTATTGTAAACAAGACAAGTCAGTAAATATTATGATCAACATCCTGCTCCTAAAAAACAACAAATTTACATTTATTATGACAAGTTTTCAATTTACAGAGATTTATTTTTGATGAACCACAGTTCAGGGTCAGTAGTAACGTCAGTTGAGATGTGACAAGTAAGGTCACATGAGTGAGTTGGATTTAACGCCGCTTTTAACAGTATTCAAGTTATATCACGGCGTGTCAGCTTAATTTTGGAGGAAAGCCCGAAGTGATGGAGGTCTCAGACGTTTACCACTTCGGTGAAACCCACGCGCACGGGTATGGTGCTGACAAACCTAGAAACATAATCGGGGCTTAACGGGATTCGAACCCACAATCATAGGTTTCTGGCATGCCCAAGGGACGCAACTCTGCACAGCGAATCACGGCGCCTTAGACGACTGGGCCACCAAGACAAGAGTGTGTGGATACAGTTCGAAACCCATATGCTCCATTACTTCCTGGTACAAAATGTCAGATACCCCGGTCATCTTGAAACACTACAAACAGACTAACCTGTTCTAACCAATCAGATATTAGTAATAGTCTAATGGTAAGTGTTGCATCCAATCAGAAGTCTCCTCTTATATGATTGTTGTCATAAGGTCAAACATGTTGCCATTTATAATGTCAACTGGGATTGAACAAAACACAAAATATAATCAACTGGTGTTTCAAAAAGTCAAAAACAATCCCAATGACTTTTAATTATAAGACAAAAGTAATCTGTTTGCTTATCCCAGACGTGGCATGAAGCCAGGGCTAGATTGTATACGTATACATGGTGTGGTAGATAGGCCTACCTTGCTGCCTTCATACAAGAAGGAGTCCCAGACTCTAAGGAAAGCATCTGTCGTCTGCCTATCCCAGACGTGGCGTGAAGCCAGGGCTAGATTGTATACGTATACATGGTGCGGTAGATAGGCCTACCTTGCTGCCTTCATACAAGAAGGAGTCCCAGACTCTAAGGAAAGTATCTGTCGTCTGCCTATCCCAGACGTGGCGTGAAGCCAGGGCTAGATTGTATACGTACACATGGTGCGGTAGATAGGCCTACCTTGCTGCCTTCATACAAGAAGGAGTCCCAGACTCTAAGGAAAGTATTTGTCGTCTGCCTATCCCAGACGTGGCGTGAAGCCAGGGCTAGATTGTATACGTATACATGGTGTGGTAGACAGGCCTACCTTGCTGCCTTCATACAAGAAGGAGTCCCAGACTCTAAGGAAAGTATCTGTCGGCACGCTGTCCACAAACACCGTGAGGAACCAGTTGAATGTGAACAGACTCAGGTCTACATCATGGGTCTCAAAATGGCTGTACAACTTGGGCAGCTTGTCCTGTACTAGGTCCTTCAGCACACGCTGGAATAAACATAACAGTAACAATAAACACTGGAATAAACATAACAGTAACAATAAACACACTGGAATAAACACAAGGGATGAATGTTGACTTACTTTACAGTCAGCAATAAACATGCTGGAATAAACATCACAATATGCAATAAACACTGAAATAAACACAAGGGGTGAATGTTGACTTACTTTACAGTCAGCAATAAACATGCTGGAATATACACAAGGGGTGAATGTTGACTTACATCACAGTCAATAAATCAGCTCTATCAAGTCGGTCAGTAAATAATGGAGTTTGGGCCATTGCAACCAGTGGCTGACAGCATGAACAACAATCACAATGACACGTAATCAGCCAGCTCACACCTTGTAACATTTATTAACAGGCTCTGTTGACAAACCGGGGGCACTGGTGATCAACCAAGTCACCGAAACTGACCACCCCATCCATTTTGTCACCCCTTACAACCAGCATAGGTTGCTTGAGACCTATTCTAACCCGGAAACCCCACAGTACAACCAGCATAGGTTGCTTGAGACCTGTTCTAACCCCGAATCACCACAGAACAACCAGCATAGGTTGCTAAAGACCTATTCTCACCCGGAATCCCCACAGTACAACCAGCATAGGTTGCTTGAGACCTGTTCTAACCCAGAATCCCCACAGTACAACCAGCATAGGTTGCTTGAGACCTATTCTAACCCGGAATCCCCATGGTACAACCAGCATAGGTTGCTTGAGACCTGTTCTAACCCCGAATCCCCATGGTACAACCAGCACAGGTTGCTTGAGACCTATTCTAACCCGGGATCCCCACAGTAGAACCAGCATAGGTTGCTTGAGACCTATTCTGAGCCAGAATCCCCACAGTAGAACCAGCATAGTTTGCTTGAGACCTATTCTCACCCGGAATCCCCATGGTACAACCAGCACAGGTTGCTGGAGACCTATTCTGACCCGGAATCCCCACAGTACAACCAGCATAGGTTGCTTGAGACCTGTTCTCACCCGGAATCCCCACAGTACAACCAGCACAGGTTGCTGGAGACCTGTTCTAACCCGGAATCCCCACAGTACAACCAGCATAGGTTGCTTGAGACCTATTCTAACCCAGAATCACCACAGTACAACCAGCATAGGTTGCTTGAGACCTGTTCTAACCCAGAATCACCACAGTACAACCAGCATAGGTTGCTTGAGACCTATTCTAACCCGGAATCCCCACAGTACAACCAGCATAGCTTGCTGGGGACCTATTCTAACACAGAATCACCACAGTACAACCAGCATAGGTTGCTGGAGACCTATTCTAACCCAGAATCCCCACAGTACAACCAGAATAGGTTGCTTGAGACCTATTCTGACCCAGAATCCCCACAGTAGAACCAGCATAGTTTGCTTGAGACCTATTCTGACCCGGAATCCCCACAGTACAACCAGCACAGGTTGCTGGAGACCTAATCTGACCCGGAATCCCAACAGTACAACCAGCATAGGTTGCTTGAGACCTGTTCTCACCCGGAATCCCCACAGTACAACCAGCACAGGTTGCTGGAGACCTGTTCTAACCCGGAATCCCCACAGTACAACCAGCATAGGTTGCTTGAGACCTATTCTAACCCAGAATCACCACAGTACAACCAGCATAGGTTGCTTGAGACCTGTTCTAACCCGGAATCCCCACAGTACAACCAGCATAGCTTGCTGGGGACCTATTCTAACACAGAATCACCACAGTACAACCAGCATAGGTTGCTGGAGACCTATTCTAACCCAGAATCCCCACAGTACAACCAGCATAGGTTGCTTGAGACCTATTCTAACCCAGAATCCCCACAGTACAACCAGCGTAGGTTGCTTGAGACCTATTCTAACCCGGAATCCCCACAGTACAACCAGCGTAGGTTGCTTGAGACCTATTCTAACCCGGAATCCCCACAGTACAACCAGCGTAGGTTGCTTGAGACCTATTCTAACCCGGAATCCCCACAGTACAACCAGCATAGGTTGCTTGAGACCTATTCTAACCCAGAATCCCCACAGTACAACCAGCACAGGTTGCTTGAGACCTGTTCTAACCCCGAATCCCCATGGTACAACCAGCATAGGTTGCTTGAGACCTGTTCTAACCTGGAATCCCCACAGTACAACCAGCACAGGTTGCTGGAGACCTATTCTGACCCGGAATCCCCACAGTACAACCAGCATAGGTTGCTTGAGACCTATTCTAACACAGAATCACCACAGTAGAACCAGCATAGGTTGCTGGAGACCTATTCTAACCCAGAATCCCCACAGTACAACCAGCATAGGTTGCTGGAGACCTATTCTAACCCGGAATCCCCACAGTACAACCAGCATAGGTTGCTTGAGACCTATTCTAACACAGAATCACCACAGTACAACCAGCATAGGTTGCTGGAGACCTATTCTGACCCGGAATCCCCACAGTACAACCAGCATAGGTTGTTGGAGACCTGTTCTAACCCGGAATCCCCACAGTACAACCAGCATAGGTTGCTTGAGACCTGTTCTAACCCCGAATCCCCATGGAACAACCAGCATAGGTTGCTTGAGACATATTCTAACACAGAATCACCACAGTACAACCAGCATAGGTTGCTTGAGACCTGTTCTAACCCGGAATCCCCACAGTACAACCAGCATAGGTTGCTTGAGACCTGTTCTAACCCGGAATCCCCACAGTACAACCAGCATAGGTTGCTTGAGACCTGTTCTAACCCGGAATCCCCATGGTACAACCAGCACAGGTTGCTTGAGACCTATTCTGACCCGGTATCCCCACAGAAGAACCCCCATATCTGTGTGTACTGTGAGCAGCCTCACCTGGTCCGCTTGTGCTGCCGCTAGCGTAGTGGTGAAGTAGTCAGGGGGCATCAGGTGTTCCACGATCGTCACCAGACACCAGAACGCCTCCTCCTCTGACAGGAACAGCAGTGCTATGGCAGCTAGCCGGTTCAATCCCTGCAAAGACACACCCCGTATATCAAGCAAGAGGTGGCAGGTGGAAATGCACTTCGTACCCCGAAGGGACTAAATTAGGGTAGAACACTTACAGATATCAAGATTGTCTCCGTGACTCAGCTGGCAGTAGCCAATCACCAAGTTCTGGGCACTGAAGGCCGTCAAGATTGTCTCCGTGACTCACCTGGCAGTAGCCAATCACCATGTTCTGAGCACTGAAGGCTAGTAAGATTCTCCTTAATTTCTTGATGCCATCTGATTCAAGTGTTTCAAAGTGTCGATTGTTTGGTAAAGTTCTCAACAGATCAAGTTCAATCTGAAAGGAGAAAACAATCAACTTATACAGTGACCTCTAGAATGAATCTAGACACTGGGATATATACTACCTCAATAGTAAATTATTTAATTCACAACGCAAGGTTAGAGTTACTGGCATTTGCAAAGCAGCCTAGAGCAATGTATTTTAACTATTTATAGTGTACCTATACCTTTACATCATACAATCAATGCTTAGAGAATAGCATTCTTACTCCACTATCTTTGCTAAATTGATTAGAAGACACACTGTGTTTTGAAATTTGAGGTAGTCTATCTGTAGATTAGATACCTATAAGGGAGAGAGTTAAGCAAATTATGATGGTAGAATTTCTAATCATTAGTATTTTCAAAAGCCATCAGTATTACTTGACTGATCACTGTTGATGTGGACTGTGCAGATCCATCAAGTTCTGTACAGAGTAATAAGAAAGAACCAGAAGCTGAAACACAGCATAATGTCAACTTTGTTAAGGTGGGCTACACACCTGTTTGGCTGCAGGGTTGGACTTGGTGTCCTTGGCACGTACGACCAGGCTTTTGTAGTAGCCCGGGCCCAGCTTCAGTCTCGACTGCCCTACATGCATGTTGATACACCTGAAGCATACAGAGGGCACATCCTATACTTCCTACACCTGCAGTATACAGAGGGCATACTCTATACATCCTACCTGCAGTATACAGAGGGCACACTTTATACTTCCTACACCTGCAGTATACAGAGGGCATACTCTATACATCCTACACCTGCAGTATACAGAGGGCACACTCTATATCCTACACCTGTAGTATACGGAGGGCACACTCTATACATCCTACACCTGCAGTATACAGAGGGCACACTTTATACTTCCTACACCTGCAGTATACAAAGGGCACACTCTATACATCCTACACCTGCAGTATACAGAGGGCACACTCTATATCCTACACCTGCAGTATACAGAGGGCACAATCTATACATCCTACACCTGTAGTATACATAGGGCACATCCTATACTTCCTACACCTGCAGTATACAGAGGGCATACTCTATATCCTACACCTGCAGTATACAGAGGGCACACTCTATACATCCTACACCTGTAGTATACAGAGGGCACATCCTATACTTCCTACACCTGCAGTATACAGAGGGCATACTCTTTATCCTACACCTGCAGTATACAGAGGGCACAATCTATACATCCTACACCTGTAGTATACATAGGGCACATCCTATACTTCCTACACCTGCAGTATACAGAGGGCACACTTTATACTTCCTACACCTGCAGTATACAGAGGGCACACTCTATATCCTACACCTGCAGTATACAGAGGGCACACTCTATACATCCTACACCTGCAGTATACAGAGGGCACATCGTATACATCCTACACCTGCAGTATACAGAGGGCACATCCTATACATCCTACACCTGTAGTATACAGAGGGCACACTCTATATCCTACACCTGCAGTATACAGAGGGCACACTCTATACATCCTACACCTGCAGTATACATAGGGCACATCCTATACTTCCTACACCTGCAGTATACAGAGGGCACATCCTATACATCCTACACCTGCAGTATACAGAGGGCACACTCTATATCCTACACCTGTAGTATACGGAGGGCACACTCTATACATCCTACCTGCAGTATACAGAGGGCACACTTTATACTTCCTACACCTGCAGTATACAGAGGGCACACTCTATATCCTACACCTGCAGTATACAGAGGGCACACTCTATACATCCTACACCTGCAGTATACAGAGGGCACATGGTATACATCCTACACCTGCAGTATACATAGGGCACATCCTATACATCCTACACCTGTAGTATACAGAGGGCACACTCTATATCCTACACCTGCAGTATACAGAGGGCACACTCTATATCCTACACCTGCAGTATACAGAGGGCACACTCTATACATCCTACACCTGTAGTATACAGAGGGCACATCCTATACTTCCTACACCTGCAGTATACAGAGGGCATACTCTATACATTCTACACCTGCAGCATACAGAGGGCACATCCTATACTTCCTACACCTATAGTATACAGAGGGCACACTCTATACATCCTACACCTGCAGTATACAGAGGGCACACTCTATACATCCTACACCTGCAGTATACAGAGGGCACACTCTATACATCCTACACCTGCAGTATACAGAGGGCACACTCTATACATCCTACACCTGTAGTATACAGAGGGCACATCCTATACTTCCTACACCTGCAGTATACAGAGGGCATACTCTATACATTCTACACCTGCAGCATACAGAGGGCACATCCTATACTTCCTACACCTATAGTATACAGAGGGCACACTCTATACATCCTACACCTGCAGTATACAGAGGGCACACTCTATACATCCTACACCTGCAGTATACAGAGGGCACACTCTATACATCCTACACCTGCAGTATACAGAGGGCACACTCTATACATCCTACACCTGCAGTATACAGAGGACACACTCTATACATCCTACACCTGCAGTATACAGAGGGCACACTCTATACATCCTACACCTGCAGTATACAGAGGACACATTCTATACATCCTACACCTGCAGTATACAGAGGGCATACTCTATACATCCTACACCTGCAGTATACAGAGGGCTCGCTCTATATCACAGTGTGATTGACAATGATTGGGTGACTCTCCCTCTCTATAAGAAATGCTTTGCACAACAGTAAAACAAATGGAAGTGTGTGCCACAATTTGATTGGTTGCAAAAAGTTGTTATGTCGTCAGTTCCAAATAAAATTCTACTTAGGCTTCACATTTTAATTATATTTCATCAAAGATTGTTATAACACAGGGAGGGATTCAAATGGAGTGTGTTCAAGCCACTGCTACCACTGGTGACCCGTGAAGGTCCGGGGTAGAATAGGTCTTCAGCAACCCATGCTTGCCATAAAAGGCGACTATGCTTGTCGTAAGAGGCAATTAACGGGATCGGGTGGTCAGGCTCGCTGACTTGGGTGATGCATGTTATCGTATTCCAGTTGCGTGGATCGATGCTCATGATGTCAATCACTGGATTGTCTTGTCCAGATTTGATTATTTCAAGACCGCCAGCATATAGCTGGAATATTACTGAGTGTAGCGTAAAACAACAAACAAACTACCACTGGTTTCAATATGGACAGATATCTTAAAATTACCAGACTGTTGAGTAAACATTGAATAAACTCACCCTTTCCACACCTGTTCCCTGTACTCGTGTGGTATTCCTGACCTGATGAGTGTCTTCAGCTCCAGGGACCTGCTGAGAGGTCGACCTGACTGGTTGACCATGAAGTTCTCCCACTTGACCTGGTGCGATGACGCTTCATCAGCCACCTGTAACAGTCCCACATCAGTGAGTGAATATGGATCTACACCACTTATAGCCTTATTCCAGAAATATTGCAGGGACACCATGTGGGGAATTGAACCCAGGCCTTCTTTGTCATGAGCAAACACTTTAGCCACTGGGCTACCCCACCACCCCCTCACAGATGAAGCAGATAGCTGATGCTAAATCTCTCAATGATGGTGTGACAAAAATAATGAGTAGTCAAATATAACGCAAATGCCTGTCATATATTCTTTTGGTTTAAATTGAGTGATTTGACTCTCTCCTTCAATCAGTCTACTTCACAAACTCTTAGAATTAGCAGTGATTGAAATTTATAATGAAATTAAGTATTAGCTATCTGGGCTATTTATGGGATGTCATAATACTGCTGTAATACTGATACTGCTGTAATACCGATATGCTGTCAGACTGATACTGCTGTGATACTGATATTGCTGTGATACCGATACTGCTGTTATACCGATACTGCTGTCATACTGATACTGCTGTGATACTGATACTGCTGTGATACCGATACTGCTGTCATACTGATACTGCTGTGATACTGATATTGCTGTGATACCGATACTGCTGTTATACCGATACTGCTGACCACCTACCTCAACATACCCCAAAATGCCTCAACATAATACACGCATGAATGGTGAGGGAGACTTGTAGTGTTAATGGATGTTTTTATCAGCATTTCCTTTTTATCCCAAAATGACAGCTCATTGAAGGAGGACAGACAAGATGTGTTTTTAAACATTTATCCTGGACCTGAGTATATGTATGGTTTTGATAAACTAAAGATTTATAACTGGAGTAAATCTTGGTTTGGAATCTTGACAGTGCATTATTATTAATATTATTATTAATATTATTTATACATTAAAATTAAAATGCAGCAAAGAGGGTTTGGGTGATCCTGGCAAAGTCAGGCAGGGTAGGCTCATTATTATTATTATTTAGGGGTGACTATTGAGGCATTTTTGACTATTGCGATACTATTGCGATAGTTAAAACAACTCTTGCGATACTATTGCGATAGTGGCCCTACTATTGCGATACTATTGCGATAGTTTTCACTTGCAATTATAGCAGGCTTTAGCAGCATATATTTCAGCATTTTGACTGACACCATCAAAATAATTATAACTTTCTGATACTGTTTGTAAAGAAAACAAGAAATGAGAAGAAAACAAGAAATGAGAAGAAAACAAGTTCAAATTGACCTCTCAAAAACATTTTAATACAAAATTTCACTTTATGTAACTTTTAAAGTCTTAGGTTACTGCAGTGTTTTAGCAGCAATGTGAATGAATGTGATTGAATGACTAGTATTTGACTATACAAACTGTCAAACTAATTGTCACATTGGCATTCACTGAATGGCTAAATGCGATTCAACATATCAATTAGGAAACAAAGTTGCCATCTTGTCAATGTTGCCTAGCGACGAGTAGCTAAGGGACGTAACTCTAAATCAAGCAGACAAAGTAGTGCAATCCAAAGGAAAGCACGACAGAGGTTAGATGATCATAGGAGTTGTTTCTATGTTTTTTAAGAAAGTAAATGTACCAAACAAATTAACTATCGAAACTATCGATAGTTAGACAAACTATCGCCAATAGTATCGATTGTTTCAAGTTGCAATCGATAGTGTACTATCGTGAGACAAGCAATCGCAATCAATCGATAGTTCGATGTATCGTTACACCACTATTATTATTATTATTATACCTTGATATTGTTGGCTAGCTCTGCCGACTGTCTTTGCAGCTGGTCTGCTCGGGCGAGGAGAATGTCTTCATCGTCCTCAAACATACACTTCTGGAAGCCATAGCGGTCATACTCTTGCGTGCTGTAAACAGACACATAGAAACATTTCAAAGTCAGAGTCATTGCACAGATTATCTGTAGCATGCTCATATCTCTTAAAGTTTTGTCTAAATAATGTTGTTGTTTTTATGGAGATCACAAAGATCATAAACTATATTGACGCACACTTTCGAAACTTTTTCAGCAATGAATTTCACTCTTTTGCCACATAAATAAGTGAATCTTTCACATGTACATGTACATGCACTAGTTCTTATATCCTGGGGTATTGTGAAGGTGTGTTGATTAAAATGGATGTGGGAGGTTGGACAGTGACTGCCACTTGTCTAATGCCATGTGCAGATGTTTGTCACCCACCTGTTTGATGCCATGTGCAGATGTTTGTCACCCACCTGTTTGATGCCATGTGCAGATGTTTGTCACCCACTTGTCTAATGCCATGTGCAGATGTTTGTCACCCACCTGTTTGATGCCATGTGAAGATGTTTGTCACCTACCTGTTTGATGCCATGTGCAGATGTTTGTCACCCACCTGTTTGATGCCATGTGCAGATGTTTGTCACCCACCTGTCTAATGCCATGTGCAGATGTTTGTCACCCACCTGTTTGATGCCATGTGCAGATGTTTGTCACCCACCTGTTTGATGCCATGTGCAAATGTTTGTCACCTACCTGTTTGATGCCATGTGCAGATGTTTGTCACCCACCTGTTTGATGCCATGTGCAGATGTTTGTCACCCACCTGTTTGATGCCATGTGCAGATGTTTGTCACCCACTTGTCTAATGCCATGTGCAGATGTTTGTCACCCACCTGTTTGATGCCATGTGCAGATGTTTGTCACCTACCTGTTTGATGCCATGTGCAGATGTTTGTCACCCACCTGTTTGATGCCATGTGCAGATGTTTGTCACCCACCTGTCTAATGCCATGTGCAGATGTTTGTCACCCACCTGTTTGATGCCATGTGCAGATGTTTGTCACCTACCTGTTTGATGCCATGTGCAAATGTTTGTCACCTACCTGTTTGATGCCATGTGCAGATGTTTGTCACCCACCTGTTTGATGCCATGTGCAGATGTTTGTCACCCACCTGTTTGATGCCATGTGCAGATGTTTGTCACCCACCTGTTTGATGCCATGTGCAGATGTTTGTCACCTACCTGTTTGATGCCATGTGCAGATGTTTGTCACCCACCTGTTTGATGCCATGTGCAGATGTTTGTCACCCACCTGTTTGATGCCATGTGCAGATGTTTGTCACCCACCTGTTTGATGCCATGTGCAGATGTTTGTCACCCACCTGTTTGATGCCATGTGCAGATGTTTGTCACCCACCTGTCTAATGCCATGTGCAGGTGTTTGTCACCCACCTGTTTGATGCCATGTGCAGGTGTTTGTCACCCACCTGTTTGATGCCATGTGCAGATGTTTGTCACCCACCTGTTTGATGCCATGTGCAGATGTTTGTCACCCACCTGTTTGATGCCATGTGCAGATGTTTGTCACCCACCTGTTTGATGCCATGTGCAGATGTTTGTCACCCACCTGTTTGATGCCATGTGCAGATGTTTGTCACCCACCTGTTTGATGCCATGTGCAGATGTTCGTCACCCACCTGTTTGATGCCATGTGCAGATGTTGGTCACCCACTTGTCTAATGCCATGTGCAAATGTTTGTCACCCACCTGTTTGATGCCATGTGCAGATGTTTGTCACCCACCTGTTTGATGCCATGTGCAGATGTTTGTCACCTACCTGTTTGATGCCATGTGCAGATGTTTGCCACCCACCTGTTTGATGCCATGTGCAGATGTTTGTCACCCACTTGTCTAATGCCATGTGCAAATGTTGGTCACCCACCTGTTTGATGCCATGTGCAGATGTTTGTCACCCACTTGTCTGATGCCATGTGCAGATGTTTGTCACCCACCTGTTTGATGCCATGTGCAGATGTTTGTCACCCACCTGTTTGATGCCATGTGCAGATGTTTGTCACCCACTTGTCTAATGCCATGTGCAGATGTTTGTCACCCACTTGTCTAATGCCATGTGCAGATGTTTGTCACCCACTTGTCTAATGCCATGTGCAGATGTTTGTCACCCACCTGTTTGATGCCATGTGCAGATGTTTGTCACCCACCTGTTTGATGCCATGTGCAGATGTTTGTCATCCACCTGTTTGAAGCCATGTGCAGATGTTTGTCACCTACCTGTTTGATGCCATGTGCAGATGTTTGTCACCCACCTGTTTGATGCCATGTGCAGATGTTGGTCACCCACTTGTCTAATGCCATGTGCAGATGTTTGTCACCCACCTGTTTGATGCCATGTGCAGATGTTTGTCACCCACCTGTTTGATGCCATGTGCAGATGTTTGTCACCCACCTGTTTGATGCCATGTGCAGATGTTTGTCACCCACCTGTTTGATGCCATGTGCAGATGTTTGTCACCCACCTGTTTGATGCCATGTGCAGATGTTTGTCACCCACCTGTTTGATGCCATGTGCAGATGTTTGTCACCCACCTGTTTGATGCCATGTGCAGATGTTTGTCACCCACCTGTTTGATGCCATGTGCAGATGTTTGTCACCCACCTGTTTGATGCCATGTGCAGATGTTTGTCACCCACCTGTTTGATGCCATGTGCAGATGTTTGCCACCCACCTGTCTAATGCCATGTGCAGATGTTTGCCACCCACCTGTTTGATGCCATGTGCAGATGTTTGTCACCCACCTGTTTGATGCCATGTGCAGATGTTTGTCACCCACCTGTTTGATGCCATGTGCAGATGTTTGTCACCCACCTGTTTGATGCCATGTGCAGATGTTGGTCACCCACCTGTTTGATGCCATGTGCAGATGTTTGTCACCCACCTGTTTGATGCCATGTGCAGATGTTTGTCACCCACCTGTTTGATGCCATGTGCAGATGTTTGTCACCCACCTGTTTGATGCCATGTGCAGATGTTTGTCACCCACCTGTTTGATGCCATGTGCAGATGTTTGCCACCCACCTGTCTAATGCCATGTGCAGATGTTTGCCACCCACCTGTTTGATGCCATGTGCAGATGTTTGTCACCCACCTGTTTGATGCCATGTGCAGATGTTTGTCACCCACCTGTTTGATGCCATGTGCAGATGTTGGTCACCCACCTGTTTGATGCCATGTGCAGATGTTTGTCACCCACCTGTTTGATGCCATGTGCAGATGTTTGTCACCCACCTGTTTGATGCCATGTGCAGATGTTTGTCACCCACCTGTTTGATGCCATGTGCAGATGTTTGTCACCTACCTGTTTGATGCCATGTGCAGATGTTTGTCACCCAGCTGTTTGATGCCATGTGCAGATGTTTGTCACCCAGCTGTTTGATGCCATGTGCAGATGTTTGTCACCCACCTGTTTGATGCCATGTGCAGATGTTTGTCACCCACATGTCTGATGCCATGTGCAAATGTTTGTCACCCACATGTCTGATGCCATGTGCAGATGTTTGTCACCCAGCTGTTTGATGCCATGTGCAGATGTTTGTCACCCACCTGTTTGATGCCATGTGCAGATGTTTGTCACCCACCTGTTTGATGCCATGTGCAGATGTTTGTCACCCACCTGTTTGATGCCATGTGCAGATGTTTGTCACCCACCTGTTTGATGCCATGTGCAGATGTTTGTCACCCAGCTGTTTGATGCCATGTGCAGATGTTTGTCACCCACCTGTTTGATGCCATGTGCAGATGTTTGTCACCCACCTGTTTGATGCCATATGCAGATGTTTGTCACCCACCTGTTTGATGCCATGTGCAGATGTTTGTCACCCACCTGTTTGATGCCATGTGCAGATGTTTGTCACCCACCTGTTTGATGCCATGTGCAGATGTTTGTCACCCACCTGTTTGATGCCATGTGCAGATGTTTGTCACCCACCTGTTTGATGCCATGTGCAGATGTTTGTCACCCACCTGTTTGATGCCATGTGCAGATGTTGGTCACCCACCTGTTTGATGCCATGTGCAGATGTTTGTCACCCACCTGTTTGATGCCATGTGCAGATGTTGGTCACCCACCTGTTTGATGCCATGTGCAGATGTTTGTCACCCACCTGTTTGATGCCATGTGCAGATGTTTGTCACCCACCTGTTTGATGCCATGTGCAGATGTTTGTCACCCACCTGTCTAATGCCATGTGCAAATGTTTGTCACCCACCTGTTTGATGCCATGTGCAGATGTTTGTCACCCACCTGTTTGATGCCATGTGCAGATGTTTGTCACCCACCTGTTTGATACCATGTGCAGATGTTTGTCACCCACCTGTTTGATGCCATGTGCAGATGTTTGTTGTCAGCATCCCCGGACTCAGCATCCATGGCTTCCTGCAGTAGCTGGTTGACGATCTCCTGGGACCGCGTGCTTTCACTGCCGCCTTCAACACACAGAACAAACAGCATGAACACAAAAACAGTTCAAGGATCAACATTAGCCAATCATGTAAGGAATGGGGCAGTGGGGTAGCCAAGTGGTTAAAGTGTTCGCTCGTCACGATGAAGACCCGGGTTTGATTCCCCTCATGGGTATAATGGGTGAAGCCCATTTCTGGTGTCTCCACATGAAGTTGTTTTACATGACATAGCGATCAATACTTGCATTTAGCTAACTTTGCCTTATAAATATTAAACAAATGTCCTTCAACTTTACTTGAATCCAATTACATTATTTTGGGGGTCTGACTATGTTTTACAATTACCATAGTGTGCACCCAAGCATAATGCACAGCCCTACCTCTAAGGTGATGTAATATATAAAAGTATTTTGGAGAAGAAACAGATTGACAAGTATTATGCACAGGTGAAATTTAAAGACAGGACATTTTGTCACCACTGTACATAAGAAATGTGAATAGTCCATATGAAAATCATTATTCTAACAACAACAAAAAGAATTATCTTTCTGTATGGTATCTTGCCATGTTAAAACTTGCTTGTTTTTCATTCCTTAGTAGCAGTACTATTGAAAGTTGAAATTGAAAAAACATATTTCAACAACCTAACACTGAATTTTAGGCCAAAATATTTGTAAAACCAACTAATAAATAATAAAAGGCATAACTAAGAATAGAGGGTTACTATAACATCCAGTAATTATTTCTTGAAATATATGTGCTTATAATACTTAAATATCAAGATTTCTACAGAATGTCAATTGTCTGATAGGCATTTCCAACAATTCCATCAATGACAATAAATTTTCATCATTTGAAACGCCGTCACAAAAGTCTGGTGAGTTATTTAAAACCCCTCTAACATGGCATTTTACAAAAGGAAATAACAGAAATTGTACAAATGCCCTATGTTTAGTGGGTGATAAGTCTCACAAAGCTGTTAACACAAAAAAAAAAGTCATTAGCAAAAAGGAAGTTCATCCTGGTGTTTTTTCTGTCATGTGATTGCTATTTAAATATTTTGGTTACATCTGAGTTATAATCATGACAGTTTGCTTCAAGCTAGTGGCCTAATAGAGAATCACACCTGAGTGTGTTTTGACATCAAATGTACCTACACGAGTCAATAAAAGCTTAAGAGGCTAGTTTTAAATTCTTATCGATGAATGTTGATATATTTGATATCAAAAGACACAAGGTTGAGATTTTATCTATCATCCAACATCATTCTTGAAACTGTTTCTGGTGTCCCCCGCCGTGATATTGCTGGAATATTGTTAGAAGGGACGTAAAACCATACTCACTCACTCACTCCAACTGTTTCAGTTTGTAAACAGTCATAAACGGTGTGTTAAGTGTAAAAAGTACTGCTCTAACCACCATCAGTCACACACAAATCAGTGATGGAATTTAATTGTGACATCATAGTAACCGATGAGGTCACAATGGTGTGTAAAGCATTGTGATGCACTTTCATAGCAGCAATATCTCCTGTGGAGACAGTTTTGGATACTAAATGCTGATTTCCAACATATGTGGACTATTGTGAGTGACTGAATGCTGTTATACCGCAGTCAGCAATATTCCATCTCTATCATGGCGGAGAGTAAATAAACAAGCACAAGCAAGGTAAACAAGTGGCTGATGGCATGGGAGTCATGTCGTCTGGATACGCTGACACACAATAAACTATGTCACACATTTTGACTACCCAATCTGTATAGTCGAGGATTACAACAAGAATGGGGTGCTAAGGATCTGTTCACGGATTCAGGACTAACGGATGCAGCCGGCTACAGACTTACGGGCAGGCTTTTTAAACTTGTCCCAGTAGCTGACTTTGTTAGGCTGTGTACCTGGCGACCATGAGTGATGTCGTCGAGGCCGGCGCATGTGAGATGGGTGAAAGTGACTGATCGCATCATGATCAAAACACAGGAACTGCACAATGAATCTACGATGCATCTTGGCAGTTCGAATCTACACAAACGTTTTAAAAAGGGTTCAGTTGCAGGAATTTCTTTTTTTTTAAAATCCAATACTATTCCGTTCCTTCACGATGTCCTTGCTCAATGAAGGGTCCACATCCAGATTATCAAAACAAATTTGAAGTTCTCTCTTCTCTTACAGTGTTACTTCACTTGCAGATTCTAATTCTAGAAATCCTCCACAAGGTTCAAGTTATCCAGTAAGATCCGATGCAAGTCAATTTAACAATAATAAACCAGGAAGACAACATGTTCAACACAGATATCATATTCTCATAATGAAAGATAAGACTTCATCTGGCAGATGAGGATTAAAACTATGTTGCTGAACACAAATAAGATAAATCCAAAAGGCAAAGATGTCGAACAAACAATTATCAAAGCTTCACAATGAAAATACACAAAATTCAAGATGGCGACATTTATAGTTCACACATCAATACTGCAACAAGACATCTACAGATGTTGAACAATTGTAATCCAGGTTTGAAAACTAAACAATCCAAACACAACCAGAATACTTTCAATGATCTCAAAACATGCTGCTAAGGTTATTATCCGAGCTGACAGTTTCCCAAATCCAGGCCATTGACAACACAACATGAAGTTAATCCTGTCGTCTGACACACAGAATGACTTATTGAGCCTGGGAACCAATATTGGTGTCCCCTCAGGAGTAGCCCACTAACCCAGCTGTGACCAACATACACATTCTATAGCCATCCAGGGAACCATGCAATGCAATACGTTCATTACACCATGCCCATCTGACATATATCTGCTTATCAACCAGGGAATCAATGTTTTATATTGGTAATCAATGATGCAACAATACTACTGATGCGTGTCAATTGCATGACATACACAACCTGTCACCACCAACCTATATTAACTGTAACAAGAGTATACATACATATGCTACACACTGAAATAAGCCTTGTTAATTCAATCAGTATGATAATTACATACATCCTTGTGGAATAATGCATTCAACAAATGTGTTTCTGTTTTTTTCTTTATATAAACAGCAGTTTAACCTAGTGGCATTTTAACCTACATTTCCAGACATAATTTTCAAATATTATGAAAGGTACTTTCAAAACTATGTAGACTAGCCATTTGTTTACTCCATGCACGCCTTGTAAATATATCGACAGTAAGACGGTATGGTTGATAAGATTCATTATCATGATCCTGTTCATATTTCTCAGATGAATTCCTTTAAATGCATTAGCGTGTTGTCAATAAGGTAACAATAGCCACAACTTGGTGACATGTGGTGGTAGCTATACCGAATATTGATGGTACTTCCTTCACTAGGTCATTGTAGTTTAGAACTCACTGTATATCAGCTTGTGTCTTGTCAAGATGAAGGCAAAAACAGGATATAAGAAAACTCAGATGTTTTTTTTTAATGAAAATAATAAGATGACTTGTTCTAAAGTAGTAAGTATGACACTCAGAGTGTATAAGTTCATGTATTTATACATTTACATAAACTTTAAGTATCTATAAATTCGAGTTTATGTCTCTCAGGAAATAATTTTCTGTTTGCCTAGGTCAATACATTCACAGGTGATACACACTTGATATTGAGTTGGAGCAAGTGTACTGTATATTTATGACAACAGAGGCAATCTTAAGAGGAAACAACACATCTGTATTCTCAATATGTGATCTATGGTCTATGTGATCTTGATAAAATACTTTATCATGCCTCCATGTCAGAATGATGACACCTGATTGGTCTATGTGATCTTGATAAAATACTTTATCATGCCTCCATGTCATAATGATGAGACCTGATTGGTCCACGTGATCTTGATAAAATACTTTATCATGCCTCCATGTCAGAATGATGACACCTGATTGGTCCACGTGATCTTGATAAAATACCTTATCATACCTCCATGTCAGAATGATGAGACCTGATTGGTCTATGTGATCTTGATAAAATACTTTATCATGCCTCCATGTCATAATGATGAGACCTGATTGGTCCACGTGATCTTGATAAAATACTTTATCATGCCTCCATGTCAGAATGATGACACCTGATTGGTCCACGTGATCTTGATAAAATACCTTATCATACCTCCATGTCAGAATGATGAGACCTGATTGGTCTATGTGATCTTGATAAAATACTTTATCATGCCTCCATGTCAGAATGATGAGACCTGATTGGTCCATGTGATCTTGATAAAATACTTTATCATACCTCCATGTCAGAATGATGAGACCTGATTGGTCTATGTGATCTTGATAAAATACTTTATCATGCCTCCATGTCAGAATGATGAGACCTGATTGGTCCATGTGATCTTGATAAAATACTTTATCATGCCTCCATGTCAGAATGATGAGATCTGATTGGTCCACCTGATCTTGATAAAATACTGTGAGGGTAACAAATTTCTCAGCCAGGGAATAAATCTCTTATACCCTGCCACGAACAATGCAGGCTGTCCATGCATTCCTGAGAGACAGAATAAATCCCTTATACCCTGCTTCAAAGCAAAAAGCCGCACGCTTTAACCGAGTGAATGGAAGTCAAGTGACATAGCGCAAGTTAACCTCAGCTCAACCAAACAGCTGTTTTCTATCAATTTTGAATTTGAGTTTTTTTGACCATGTCACATTAAAACATGTCGGTAAGATAAATTTGTTGTAGCAGGATAAAACGGGGTACATGGGGTTTTATCCATCTCACATTTTATACCATGAGCCCATGTACCCCTCGTGATCCTGCTACAACTTATATTGATCCATTGCCAATATCATTTATCAGCTGTTTTATTGTTTTTCAATTAAGATAAAAAACAAAAGTGTATGTGGATGGTTAACTGAGCAGTTATTGGTACTTTCTTAGTGCAGTAACGCGATGACAACAACATGACATGTGCATTTGACTGTAACCCAGACATCATTTCACCTTATAAATTTCCCTGTCTAAAATATACTGTTTTGTTTTGTTTGCTTGGTGTTTAACACTGC